ACTCCTCTCTGCCGCTCTGTCTCACTGCTCTCTGTCGCTCTGTCTCACTGGCTGGCTGTTTGTCTCTCTGTCTCACTGCCTGCCTGTTTGTCTCTCTGTCTCACTGCCTCTCTGTCGCTCTGTCTCACTGCCTCTCTGTCTCACTGCCTCTCTGTCGCTCTGTCTCACTGCCTCTCTGTCGCTCTGTCTCACTGCCTGCCTGTTTGTCTCTCTGTCTCACTGCCTGCCTGTCTGTCTCTCTGTCTCACTGCCTCTCTGTCTCACTGCCTCTCTGTCGCTCTGTCTCACTGCCTGCCTGTTTCTCTCTCTGTCTCACTGCCTGCCTGTCGCTCTGTCTCACTGCCTGCCTCTCTGTCTCTCTGTCTCACTGCCTCTCTGTCTCACTACCTGTCTGTCTCTCTGTCTCACTGCCTCTCTGTTGCTCTGTCTTACTGTCTGTCTGTCTGTCTGTCTGCCTGCCTGCCTGTCTGTCTGTATCTCTGTCTTTGTATTCAGACCCATGAAATCTAATAGCCGCCTTTCGGTCTGTCTGATGGCTAATGGCTCCTTCCTCTCTCTAGAGGTTGAACATTAAAGGCTGTTTGGATTAAAAGGCAAACATGTTTTATTATTCCCTCAGCGTTACAGACTATGCTGGGATTTATAAATAAATAAATTAAGTTTTTTAAACCGATGGGCTTTGGGTTACATTGCATTCAGTGGTGAAAACCTTTGAAGTTATTGATGATCTAGTTTGCCTGTGACAGCTGAGTCGGCGGCTTGCAGCTAATGTGGCTAACAGCGCTAACAGAAAACAGTGATTAACTGATTGCAGGGCGGGAAGCGACACCGCCTCCACCTAACCGATACGTCCGTCTACTCTTAACCATAACCGCCTTTTCCTGAACCTAATTCACACCGTTAACGTCTCGGTACCACCATTTACTACTCTAACACTCTAAAATCATTATTGAAAGGATTTGAAACAGTGAATAACTATCATGATGTTTCACTCATCGACATTCCAGTCAAAATAAAGACCAACGCGCTCATGAGCTGCAGAGAAGAAGCGAACCTGCCGTCCTGAGTGCGTCTGCTCAAAACAACCGTATCTCATCACAAACGGTCCCTACAAAAAAAGCCAGATGCGGGAAAAAAAAAAAGTGCATGTTTTTAATCCGTTATTCAATTAAGCCTCAATTAGCCTTTAATCCCCATTACCAGTCCGGAGGGAGAAGAGCAGCGGAGCAATGAACGAGTAAGTCTCTCCCTGGAGGGGGGAGGGGGGCAGAAGAGAAAAAAGAAAGACTGCAGAGATAGAGGAGCCTCGCGGCAGCTTCGGATAACAAAAAGTACTAATTAGTGTCACCAAATGATTTATAGGAATCAGAATTGTGTGTCTGTATGTGTGTCGAAAAGGGGGAGGGCGGAGGGGAGGGGAGGAAGGGGGGGTAGAGTCAAGCGTTGCCATTTCTGTGAGGCTATTTTTTGAATCCAAACAGTTGAGGGGGGGTGAAAACCTCCAGGGGTTGAAAACTGCAGCCAGCGAATAAGACATAAGACACACACACACACACACACACACACACACGCTCTCTCAGGCAAAGGATTGACAGATGAGGGAAACGGTGAAGGCAGCCGAGAGGACTTGACTTTGTGTCCGGCTGTCCTTTTGCTCTCGCCCGTCCGTCTCCGCGCCTCATCACCGAAAAGGCCGTCGCAGGATTCAGGACGCGGCCGTCGTGAACGGGGCTCCTTCTCTCAAACTCTTGACTCCTTCGGAAACCGCTCACCACCCCCGCGTCCCACCCCCACCCCCTCCCATCCCCCAATCCATCTGTTTTGGTGGAGGCCATCCATTAATAAAGAGTCAGTCCCTCCATTCCCATCCCTCCTCCTCCTGTATTATTAACTTACCCATCCATCCACAGATATGACTGTCCGATATAAGAGTTCCCGATTGGGCCGCAGCCAATCCGGCCTTCTTCTTGCATGAAAACTAAAAAAAAAAACTAAAAAAACTTGATTTCATCCCAAGCCATTTCTTGCAGATGTGATATCAAGACTTTCTAATGTTGTAAATTGCTTTTACTTGCGTTTATTAAATATATCCATTTTAGATTCTACCTTCTGCACCATTTTATGTTCTAAATTCTCTCTTTGATACATATTTAATGTGCAGGGTTGGAGGGAGACTAAGAGTTAAGACTTTTGTTACCAGGGAGTGCTTCTCTGCATCCGGTGTGTACACGAAAATAACTAAAATAACTTACACCTAGTCTATAAATAATGCCACTTTAATATCTAAATCTGAATCCTGAAATCATTCCGCCACAATATCATGGAGAAAAGCTTGTGTGGCAGCTCCTCTCATTAAAGGAGCTGTTTAGAGCTGGACAAATATTCCATAATGCAAGTGATCTGATCACCAAGAAACTAGAAATAATTCAACGACGATATGGAACATTTCCTTACACTCTATTAGACCAATATCCATCCCTCCGTATCCCTCCCTATTCTCCTCCCTGCTGTTTCTGCCTGTGCACGTTCTGCATCCTCTTTGTGGTCAGCAGCATTCAGAATTTCCGAATGTCATCTGGACATTAGCTCAGGAGACCAGGCAGGATGCTGTGAGCGCGGGGTGATGGAAGAGGGAGGAGGTCACGGGGAGGGGAGATGAGAAACACAGTCATCTCCATGGCCTCTCAGAGACTCAGAGATTCGATTAGGGGGCCAGAAACAGAGAGGACAGACGCAGATAAAAAGGCGCATCGCGTGGCTCACTCTGCTTTTCCTTCTCACACACACACACACACACACACAATCACCAGAAAAAGAAAGGCGGCGGCGGAGAGCCACGAGCTCGATGAAGAGGACGCGACCTCCACGCTGCGTGTGGGAAAAGGTCAGAGTGCGATATCCGATGACAGACGTCTCTCAGAAAGCGAATTTTAATCGGAGATCACTGCAGCCACCTGTGAAATGTGTGCCGCCTCAAAAAAGGCCCCGGAGGCTCGTTTTCACCGCTCTCTGCTGGACGGAGGCAGAGCTGCATGACTGGACGGCGTTCCAGCGGAGAGAGTTTTAATGGCAGTGATTGCGTCTGTTTCTGGATCGATTCGCCTTCACACTCAACTCCACACGAGGAGAATACGGAGGACAGAGAGCTGCTGTTTGTGTCACAAACGGACGTCCAGCCTTTTGCTTTGTGGTTTTGACAAACCTGGAGACTTCATTCATTAATCCAGGCGCTATTTGGTATAATGTGATAATATTAAAAAAATCAAAATGACAAGAAACCAGATTTAATTAGCAGGTTTTATAAAGGAGACCTGAACAATGTTCAAAAATACATCCCAAAAAATAGAGGAAACTCTAAACAGAAGGCAAACGGAAGTAATAAACCGGAAGGGACGTTCTACCTCCAAACACATTTAATATCAATTCCTACACATCAACTCATGAGCTCATCAACTCATGAATATTCCACATTGACAAATGTATCAGGGGTTTAAACATTATTTACACCTTTATAGTACATACTGTATATTATAGTACAGTCAATAACTATAGGATGCCAGAAAAGTTCACGTAGCTGTGACTTATTGTTGACCTTCTCATTAAATCCAAATAGATATAGATATATTTTAATATAAACTAAGAAACTACAGCACGGAGAAAAGAAGCTCAAACTACGACTCACACAATTGCTGCAGTAGAGAGCACCTGCTGCAGGTGTCACTCCGTCAGCTGATCAAGCTAGGCTCCTCCCACTTCCTGCGCCTCCTCAGACAGCTCCGCCCCCAGACCTGTAAAATGTTCAATCTTGGTTGGGACCCTGTTCTGCTGCCCCCTAGTGGCCAGCAAACTGAAAGAAATCTAAAATAATACCGTTTTTTAAAATTGTATTATTGACATATAATTGTGTGACTGCGAGGATACTTTAAGTAATAGAAGTAAAGTAAAAGAAGTAATTCAATCTGAAGCATAGACGATCATATTCTAAACCAGTTACCAGGAATCGCCTTTAGCCCTCTTTGTCCAGCCAATGTGTTCTCAATCTCTGCCCCTCTGTGACATGAGACATGATTGGTGTGTTTTTTTATAGCCATGGACTGGATCCAGGGGACAAATCAGTGGTTTTATCACTTTGGCGGTCATTTTTACACAGGCCCCTAACTTAGATTTATCACAATGCCACGAAGTAATGCTACAAAGTGAGGCAACGGCTCATTAAAAAACGTTCTAACGACAGCGAGCATCCAACCGGCTGCTGGTTCCGACTCTCAGTTCGGTCTCTGAATCGGGCTGACTGGCTCTGGATCACAGATGTACCAGAAAATAAAGCTTTAATGGTGTCAGGAAGCCTATCGAAATATTCTAAACGTGAAAAATGTCTAGATTTCCTTTTGAATGGGTAGAATCGATTTTCAGATCTTCGATGCAATTTGATGTTTGTTGAGGTAAAAACATCTATGTTTTAAACCATGGAAACAAGTCTGTAGTGTTAATGATGAATTTAAATTAAGTGTACATACCCGCAAGCTTGCAACAGTCAGACAAAGTTACGCCCCAAAGTCAGAGTTAACAAAAGAAGAAGTGGACGTTTGTATTCGCACTTGTGACAGGTCAAGTTGCCATGGGAACCGCTGAGATAAATGAATGAGACGTGATTTGGTTGATGTCAGCTCCGAGGTAAAATCAATGAGTGGACACGCTCTCGGATGCAAACCCAATACCTTGATGTCTTCTGACCTCCATCCATCAGTATCCTCCATCCTCCACCTCAATCAGAATCCACCTAAACTCACACGTGTTTTTCACACTCAGCTCATCACTCATCGTGTAAAGCAATGACATGAAGAGGTACCATGCCAGACTTTTATTAGAGCAAACTTAAAACAGCCACACAGTTCAACATAATCACATTTATTATGATGAAGAAGCAAAAATGAATCACAATAAAAGAATTAAAAAAAAAAAATCAATATTGTTATCAGTTTAATTATTTTCACTCTGGACGTCTGGACTTTTATTATCCAGCATTTCATAATAAACTCTGCTAAGTAATTAGAAAGATGCTTTTTTTTTGTTGCGTTCCCAAAGAACAACAAATCAATTATTACATTGGCAGAAATGAATTATTATCAACAAAGAACATCCTCTTTATCGGCGCGAGTGCAGCTCGGAAGTGCGCTTGAGAACGCGGAGGCAGAGATGCGGCGAGTGCGTCTCGTCGTCGGAGTGCTGGTAATTCAGCGAGCTAATCCGCCTCGGGCTGAATGAATACGAGCGTCTGACACGAGATTGAACCAAAGTGGAACAGAAGCCGAGGCGAGGAGATACATCAAAGCAAAGCCCACACACACACACACACACACACACACGCAGTCAGACACACACACACACACACATCTCACCTGGTACAACCTCTGTTAAATATCTGACATCAAATACAAGTGCTCACACATATTTAAAAAGGTAAACAAAATAGTTTTTAGAGATAAAATGTCTCTGAATGTTTTGTGTTTTCTGCTTATATTTAGTATAAATTGAGTATACATATATTTTGGCGCATTCATGGCTTCTGATGATTACATGCTGACATTAATTTCTGCTCAGCCTACTCACCAAAATATTTGACTATTTGAAGAAAAAGAAAGAAACTGTATCGTTTACATACATTTACTTTACTATTGGAAAGGTTCTCGACTCACACTTGCACTACGTAGAACGATCTCTTCCCCCTAAATGGCTTCGGTCATAATTTATGCAGGAAATGTAACTATTGAAGAAGCAAACATGGGTTTCAGTAACAATATACAGTAGCCCATCTAAAGATGTGCTTCAGTCTGTAACACTTTGAACCGAACCGTGTGCTTTCTGTGAGGAGAACTCCTTCTTTATTGTTCCCACATCGCCTAAACTATCTCTGCTGAGTCCGGCTTTATTCGGCCTTTTTTTTTTCTTCTTTTCGGGCAGCTCCGGCCTGCTTCGGGGGTCAAGCTGAGGTCAAAGGTCACCACACCCGGCAGGAATCTGCGCCCCGGTTCATAACTGATGACTCGGGACAGCTGAACACTTTCCGGAACTCTTCGTAGTTGCTCATCGCTCCGATGACCCTGAAGGGCAACAGTGGTCGGTGAAGGTCACGCCGTGAAGGATTGTGTGTGTGTGTGTGTGTGTGTGTGTGTGCTCACCTGTATTTCGCCGGACTGTGAGCTCCACTCTGCACCTGGTCCCTGGCTGCTTCCGGGCGGTAAGAGTTACATCTCACCTACAGACGGACAGATGTGTAGATGACAACAGCAACAGTGACGACTCAATGGAGTAAAAAGTAGAGAATTCACAAATCAAATGCGCTCTTGTTAAGAGAACCCGATGCACCAAACAGCTAGTGTCCCTACATGTGCGTAGCTCATGAAGAACAGCTGGTTGTTGTTCAGTCCGACTCCAGGCAGCCGAGGCTCCTCCACGCCGCCTCTGCTCTCCGCTACCCACCGCCGGTACGCCTGCACGCACACACAAACACGCCACCAACGTCACGCCCGACAGATGGGGTCTTCGGCCCTTTTGGTGAGCGTCATACCCTAAAAGCCTCTCTTATTCCTCCGTTGTCTGCTACGTTCTCTCCCAGAGTCCTCTTCCCCCGAACCTACGGAACCAAACGGCCATAAAATCACAGTTCCTTCTGGATCCATGCGACCGAAGGTTTCCAGGGCGCTGTTCTAATGTTCTCGCTGCTTCTGCAGAACCCTCACGTTCAGGCCCGCTTCCTGCCAGTGGTAGCCGTTGTACTGGTCCGTCATGCACTGGGTCTTCTCGGTGAAGGCCGCTATGGACGAGTTGCTCCACCACTGGCCCAGGTTGCCGTTTTTGTCGTACCTGCGACCTGTCCACGAAAAGCAAAATCTCTCACACACACACACACACACACACAAGGAGCCTCGGACGTGATGTCGTGCTTTGTTTCCCTCGGCGGTCGGCGTTTACCGTTGTTGTCGAAGCCGTGTGTGAACTCGTGACCCACTATCACGCCGATGGCACCGTAACTCAATGACCTGGAGGAAGAATCAAATCAAACAACAATTGTTTGCTATCGTTCAGCTCGGCGGCTTCCTTTGACCTCAAACCTCACCTCGGATACTCTCTTCCCCAGAAGAAGGGTTTTTGAAGCTCTCCAGCGGGAAACCCTAAGTGGGGAGATGAAAAGAGTTTTTCTTTGGTCCCGTCCACATGAAAGACAATCTTTCCGCTCCAGCCCGCGTTCGCTCATTTGTGATTAGAACAGGTGATTTCTAAGGGGAGTAACTATTAAAAACCAGATCACGTCTCATCTCCTCTCTTGTTAGATTTGGCTTGTTTTTTAATGCAAATTCACAATTATTTCTGACATTGAAGTGCAGCCTCGGCCATTTAAAGGATTTCACTGAGGACCCGTCTGGAGGCAGCTTCAGAACTTAAGAACTTCTGAATAATTAAACAGAATATTAGTTTCAGTAAACAATCAAATGTTGCTTCTTACTGATTTGATTGGTGGAGGAGCTGTAGAAGGCGTTCACAGTCGTTGGGTTTGTGAACCACCTGCAACACACACACACACACACACACACACACACACATTATGGAACGACAAACAGGAAGTGAAATTCAAATCGAGATGAAGTGCTGTTACTCACTCTGTGCGCGGGACGCTCTTTCGGAGCCACGTGATGTCCGACTGGCCGAGGAACCTCAACGTCTGCATCACGTTCCCGTAGTAGTCCTTCTCACTGAACGAGAGCTGAAACACGCACACAAGCAGACGCACACCGTGTCGGAGCGCACAAGCCTTTTTTTTTCTCCTGCTAAGAGTAAATAACTCTCTGGGTGAGAGCGTTCACATCGCGCATCACTCGATGAGAGCAAAAGGACAACCATGAAAAAAAAAAAAGAAAAGAATCCAAGCTATTTTTAAGCACAATTCTTTTATCTGGTATGTGGCGCCTTTTGCTATCTTACAGCGCTCAGCAGCGTTACCCGTACCTGCTTTAAATCCTCGTTGAGGTAAGTGTCGTTCAGAATGAACTCGGGGTAGCCGACCTTAGCCAGGACGGCGTGAGCCTTGAGAGAGCGAGACACAAAAGGGATTTTCAGTTATAGTCGAATAGGGATTAAGAGAGTTAAATGCACGCGGAACAAAATCCGTGGCTGAAGGAAGAGACGTCAAGCAAGTAGCAGCCAAGGAGACAAAAGCGAAATCAATGCAGCTTTGAGCTGCGTTGATTGGTTTGGAGGGGACATAGAATGAAAAGCATCAAGGAGACAGAACATGAGAAAGGAGGCGAGGAAGCTGATCCTACCTTCTCCACAGCTTTCTTCTTCGTTGGTCCGTCCATCCAGTCGTTCTCCTTCTGCAGCATGTCGATGAAGGCCCAGCGAACGCCCTCGATCAGCTCCTCCATCTGACGGACGCACAAAGTGACGCAAGACATTAAACGTCTGACATCATCTCCAGACAAAACACACTCAAGCCAGTTGCACAGATCCAAAGATGGGAGCACCATGTGTTTCTTGTCCTCCTCGAAGTGTGTGTCCACAAAGAGGCGCCCGGTGGCGTAGACAAGCGTGTTCTCCACGTAGTTCACGCACTTGTCCCAGCGCGGGCTCAGCGAGGTGGTTCCCGTGGTTACCTGGTGGGGGGTGACACGTTTCTCTGCGTGATAATCTGTGTTCACGGCCGTTCATTTCAAGCTAAACTCTTCGAAATAGAAAACAGACGTATTTTGAATAACGTTATCTCTCTAAGAGAACAGTTAGGAGTGGACTTTCATTTGATGGGTCCATGATGCTGGAGATGCAATTCATAAAAACACAAACTGATTCCAGGCAAGTTTGTAGTACTTTGTCCCTTGCAAGTGGACTAAATAAGCATTCTAACTGCACGTAGACCGCTTTGCAAAGACAGTTTGAGTTGAGTTTGAAGTAATGAAAATGTAATGTCAAAGAATTGTTAAACTCCAAATGAAATATTAACTACAGATTTGAGTACAGCTACATGCATTCACTACTGGCTAAACTATAAATAGTATAGTATAAAGACTCCCAGTCTGAGCTTCAATCTGAACCCATCTTTAGAGGTACATCAGGGGTCAAAGTCTCTGTAGTTGCTTGTGGGATTAGTTTCTTTTACTTAGATTCATAGTTTACAAATTGAATCTCTTTTTTATTGAAAAAAGGAATTTCGATTTTTTAGATGTATTTCTATACGAACCCGAGCAAAGTCCAGGTATCTGAAAAGGAAACGACGGCTCAGAGTGGTGATCCTGGATAAAACTGACCTCCACTGGACGTAGTTTGCCACAGTTCTAGAGAGAGAGAGAGAGGATGGATATTTGTTAAATGCCCACATGTAATCTCATTATCTCACTATAATAAACTTCTAACACGAGACCGGTGTGTGCCTGTCTCCCTGCGCGGTGCTCTTATTGTGAAAAGCACCTGCTATCTGTGCTGTTGATGAGCTCGAAAAGTTCCTTGAAGTACTGCGGCGCTCGGACAATGACGAACTCCGAGGAGGAGACGGAGCGAGCCGGGTCGGCCTCGGACTCCACCACGGCTTTAACGAAGCCCAGCCAGTCGAACTGCGGACAGAGAGGAAGCGACGGGCGCGAGTACGCACTCGTAAAAGATGCCTTTCCATGTGGTTGTGTTCATTCTTTGGCATATTTGCATCGGGTCTTCTGATGTTGGTTTACCTGCGGAATGGAGCTCTGCAGATCGGAAAGGGACATTTTGTTGTACATGCTGTCACCGTTGCGGTCTTCGGAGGGAATCAGGATCTGCAGACAGTGAGAGACGTGAGGCACACACGACCGATCCCCGATCCAACGTCGCTAAATCATCTCGTCTCAACCCAACGGTTGTAAATGTTTTAATTAGCTGCATGGGGCCATTTGAGTCCCATCAGATCATCGTCCCGACGCGTTTTACGTGACGCTTATCTGGCGGGACGTCTTTACGTGAGCTAGTCGGGTCTCAAAGTCGAGAGCCTCCGTCATCTGGGTCAGCGCCGCTTTCTCCGGAGCGCCCAGCATCACGGCCGTGTCCACCATCAGGCTCAGCAGGGCCGCACGATACTGGAGGCGGGGCGGGAGAGAAGGAGGGAGGAGGCGAGGGGAGGAGGGGGACGCAGGGAGGGAGGAGGCGAGAAGCAGAAAAAGGGCAAAATAGAACGTCAGACAACACGAGACATCAAATGAAGCTATTGTGCTGCTGTATTTGGGTGATTCAGACTCAATGAGGCAGCTAATAGTCCGGCCATCATTCTCACTCGCTTCATTCCTAATAAGAAGGTTGAGGTTTGGTTCAGATGTTTAAAAAAAAAAGAAATCTAACTATATTTCATGAGGCTGAAATTATTTCAATCATCACTCAGGCGGAGAGGAAATAGCTGCAGGAAGAGGAGTTTTTAGATGGCGGGTAAAACGGGGGGTTGAAAGATGAGGCAGAGACTCACCGCCCGGGCGGAGGCGGTGTCGGTGATGTAGTCTTCCCTGGAGGGCAGAGACAAGGACACCTGATCGAGCTGCAGGAAGACAAAGCCACAGGTCAGCCTGCGCTACGGGGTTTTTTTTTAACCTCGGAGCTCATGCAGCAGTCGGAGGAATGCGACTGAGGAAGGAATCCGTTTGCATGTAACGCAGCAACGAGAAGTGTTCACAACATCAAACAACACACGCCGGTTTGGTCCTTTAGAGTTTGCTGAGGTTATGACATGCAGGTAAGACTGGTGATGCAAGTCACCCCCTGTTTTCTGCTTTGGTTCAAAATCAGAACTCGTGGATGAAGCATATTTTTCCAAAAAGTGAAACACGGGATTGTTGACGGCGTGGACGTCTAACCTTGATGATGTATTGGAAGGACTTCTTGTCATCGGGGCTGACGTACAGGCGCACCAGGACGCTCTTGGCGTGCTGGTTCCTCATCGCCGTCAGCGTCTTCAGGAGGCTCCAATCCGCCGCCAGCCACCGGTAGTCCCCGCCCAGCCCGTCGCCCACAACGGGCCACCGGAACGCAGGCTGCCGCAGCGTCCCCAGCATGGGCTGGCTGTCAGCCTCCTCCAGGGCGGCTGTGGATGCACGCGGCAACACGCAATTGGAGAAAAGGTCACGGCCGGATGCCGGGCGTGCGTGTGTGTGTGTCGGACTCACTCTCGTTCATGCAGGACCGGTAGAGGGTTTTAGCTTTGGTCACGGCCTCCAGTTCATCCGGACCTGAAGGAGCTTCTAGTAGCTCTGGCAGAACAGAAGAACAACACAATAAGAGTTGTTCCTTTATAGGAGAAACTCAAAGTGGGGGGGGAGGGGTGTGCGAGCGAACGCACCTTTGAGTCGCAGGTCGACGTTCTGTCGCAGCCACGGGTAGATCCCGTACGAAGACGAGTCTTCGGGGATCGGGTTCTCCTTCAGCCAACCGCCGCAGGAGAACCCGTAGAAGTCCTCGCAGGGGTCAACGGAGCGATCCATTTTACTCATGACGGACCCCGCTGCGAGGAGGGAGGGGGCAAAAGGTCACGACGCGACCCCGGAGAGCCGGGGGAAACCAGAACCTCAGAGGGCTCGAACCCGGCGAAACCTCGCCGACGCTGCTGGACGGTCGCAGCGAGCCTCACCTGCTTCGATGCATTCTGCCGTCACACAGAACTCCTCCTGGCGGGATTTCTGAGAGACTGAGGGGGGAGAAGAGAGAGTTAACCGTTTGTTATCATACAAACTGCACATGGATGTAGGGAACCTGCAGGAACGTCAATGGTAATTCCCACAATGCATTCCTGAACACAAAAGCTACGCACGCGGAGAAAACCTCACGCCTCCCTGCAACGAAAAGGTCGGCCGCGTGATACGGACACATTAAAATGAAAACGCCACTGGGATTTGTTATCGCTTCACACGCCTGTGTTGCATTGTTTGCAGTGCGACCGCAGGTTCACTTCCCTTCCTGGAGGTGAAGGTACGGAGCCACTGCTGTGTGACTTCCAGTGGAAAAACACACACACACACACACACACACACACACACACACACTTCAACCGTGCGTGACCCACTTGGCCTGGAACAACCTCGGAAGCCTGCGACACAAACATGTTCACACACACACACAAGGACGTCAAGGCCTCAAGTGCAGCACTCTGCAAAGCGCACAGACGCACTAAGAGACGGTGCAGAAGCGCACTTTGCAAACTCATCGAAAAAGTTAAAAGAAGCACTTGGGTCAGCGGGAAAAGGCCGCAGGCCGGAGGAAGGGGGGAGGCGGGAGGGGAGGGGGGGGTCTCTCCTCAACGCCGCCACAAGAATGTTGTCTCCCCTCAACAACAACAAAAAAACCTCCCCAATACGGACGCTTATTTCAATGCATCGCGATGAGTTTCAGTTGTGTTGTATGACATTTAATTGCATTTCAGGCAGCCATGACGTCTGGACGACCCGGTCGGATTACTCTTCTTTGTTTACGGCGCATAATTACAGGCGTGACCCCGGATTGACCTTCAGCAGGATGGAGAGCGTAATAATAACTGCACATACTTCTATTTCACTCATTTAATGTATCACGGTCTGCTCTGCTGTTTTATTGTGTAGACATTGTGCATTTCCACTTTTCATTACTTCATTGCTACTGCTACACACTGATTTCCCACTGGGGATTAATAAAGTATAAATCTATCTAATAGTAAAAAGCTTTTCTAAAGACAGGACGGAGGATGGAGATGTTTTTCTCACGTTGTTTTATGGTTTCTTCTTCGAGTTCTTTCAGCTTTTAAGATCTGACGGCGACTAGACGTAATAAGAGGAGATTTTTTGTCTTCGAAAAGGGAGAAATGTTTTAAGGTTTTACAGTGTCAGCTTGATAACAACTATCTACTCCAAATCCAACTACAACGTTCCAGTCAGATGTAGAACGATTGACTAATCTGCCGTTTGCGTGACAACTGGAATCATTTATGGAAATAAAGAACTGCAGTGGTTGCGACACATTTAAAAGCACAGGGGAGGCGTGAATGGATCTTTAGAATTCTTGCTTTAGATTCTTTCTACATTGTTTGCATAAGTTTTATAGCCAAATGTCTGACAAATACTTTCTCTTTAAGCCTTTAACGTTTTATGTGAAGTCCTTAGAAATGAACTTGTCTCTCTTAATCGGGTTAGTTCATCTTAGTGTTATGAGTCACAACTTCTAAGCTGTTTTATCTACTGACACGTATTGTCTATTGAATACTCTACAAACTGCTAATTGAGGTACCCGGCCCCCCTATAAATAACCAAATGTCCTGCTCATAATTCCGCTTACAAGCACAGACGCTTTCCTCTTCTTCCAAGAGTTCAACTTGACTCCCACGAATTCCCATTATGGAGAGTACGAGGTTCTGCTTGTGTGTGTGTGTGTGTGTAGGAAACCTTATATGAACCAAAAATAGTTTCACACAAGTTACCCACAAGTCCCCGTTTGGTCCGTCCGGCTTGCTGCAATGTGTTATTTACAGTGCGCATGTACCATAATCTGAGGAGGCCATACATCTCCACTGAATTCCTCACAAATTACAATGCAGGTTGAGGGGAAGTGTGTGTGTGTGTGTGTGTGTGTGTGCGTGTGTGTGTGTGGACTCACCCAGTATGAGTGCGAGCAGCAGAGCGGCGCAGAGACACACACACACGGCCAGGGCGATCCTGTAGAGACGACTGTTGCCCCTCTCGGGTTTTACCCCACCACCACCTAAACGCTCCAGTTCCATGACTTAATGCCCCGGTGCTCCCCACACCCCCCCCCACCCACCCTCCCACTCCTGCCCCACTGGAAAAGAAAAAACACTTACTTCCGAAAAGTTAAAGTAACATCTTCATTAAGTCGCACACTTGGTCTCTCTGTGCTGTCTGTCTTTGTGTTACTACTCAAACTTACAACTACTACTGTACAAACAGTGCCTCCCTCCATCACGCCTCCTCCCCCACAACACTCCTCCCTCCCTCCTCCCCTCTCCTCCCTCCCTCGGCCAGAGGGCACCAGGCTTGCCAGTGATCACCAGAGATCATTTAAACCAATGAAACCAGAACATATCTGTGTTTAATCGTGTAGCTTAAGGGGTTGGCCGGCTAAGCGTGTGTGTGATAAGCGTGTGTGTGATAAGCGTGTGTGTGTGTGCTCTCAGCAGGGAGCTCTGCTGGAAACGCTTATCTGATCAGACAGTCGACCAGAACAGAATTAGACGCACACACACACTCACAGCGCTGATTACTATTGATTAATCTGACGACGATGACGAGAAGGTCAAAACGCATCAATAGTAGCTTTGAATAGATTGATGGCGATGACACCGCCGATCCCGATTGGTCCCTCGCCCCCCCCACAAACGCCCCCTGCTGTGGTGAGAACCTCATTTCGCACATGCTCATTAGGGTTTGGGGCGTCGGCCGCAGAGGCCTTATATAGACGTGACTTCCTGTGCTGCTTTAAGGACCCGTTCATCAGGCTGACACAAGGAGTCGCCATCGCTTGGCTCCGGTTTCTATTGTGATCGTTTAACATCTCCGCTCTCGGTCGGATGGCCTGCGTCCGCCGGTCGGTCGGTTCTCCCCAAAATATCTCAAAAACCCATTGGATGGAAAGCCTTGAGCCTTTGCACAGACATTCGGGATCCCCAGGGGACGAAACCCACTGACTTTTCCTCCAGAGCCACTTATTCAGAGAAATGTTCCCATGTAATCGTGAGCATATTATATTACCTAAAATCTAATTAGTTACAGGCTGTGGCATCGGGGCTCTGTTACCATGGCCGCGGTCATTAGCGCGAGATAAGCAGCCACATCCGACATTACTGCAGCAAACGTCGGTCATCTAAACACTTAATCTGAACACAAACACACACAAACACATAAAACGCCAACTCGTGCGACGCTCCCACAAACAGAGGCAGCGATAAAGTTTACCAGAAGGTTATGATTTCAAATAAAAGGTGAACATGGTAACAAAAAAAAGAAAGAAACTTGACAACCCCCCTAAATTAAAGCAGTCTTTTATTCCACGTGTGACTCACAAACAGAGTGAAATGAAAGCTACACTTAAAAAAAAGGTTCATCTTCCCAACACAACGGCCGAGGAAGAGAAAGACTTTTTTTTCCAAAAGGCAAACATTTAGTTAACCAAATGTACACACTTAGAAGAGGTTTCTTTCACGCGAACACCAGCTGGCAACAGGTGGTACGTTGTAGAAACTCTCTGTGACCGTACGGCTTTTTAAAGCATGCGTCGTTCTTCTGGAGAGTCGAACCTCCTCTGCAGCAACGAGAGGCCGCGTGTCAGCGGCTAAATATGGCATCTTGGAAACAAACCCTTAAAGACCGAGCAGGCTTCCTCTGGAACGCAACACAGAAGCAGCTGTGTTTGTAAACAGTCACAGGACAGTGCTTTGCGGCAAGTGCATCGCTTATTTGTATGTGTGCTTTCTGGGTTAAATACGGCGGTAACGAGGCGGAGGAAGGTTGGTGCTCCAGGAAAACCGTAAAAAGCCTCCACCCGTAACAGTCCGACGGTCCGCGAGCACCACACGACTCCCAGGAATCATTCTTTTAGTCGTCCTCTCTCCCGGGGAGGGGGGGGGGGGGGGGGGGGGGGGGGGGGGTCAGGGCTCACCGCGCCGTGACCATCCACAGGCCCAGCGCCACGTTGGCCGCCAGCAGGGCGCTGCCCGCCAGCAGCAGGAAGAAGCCAATCAGCTCGCGCTTCTGGCGGTCCGTTACCACGGTGACCAGCGTGGCCTCCAGCAGCGCGTTCAGCATCCACTGACCGTCGAGGGCGAAGCACGGCACCGAGTTGACGACGGCCAGCGCGCCGGAGAGGGACACCACGTACCTGAGGGGCGGGAGGGTCAAGGAGAGACGGGACCAACGAGATTCGTTTCCACCACCATGGCGCCGGGTGGCAAGAAGTGATTGGAAATATGCGAAAGAGGGAGACATTCTGCAGCAGTTTTAAAGACAAGTGGCCATATCGAATAGTGCAAAGGTCACATAGGTTTACCTTGATACAAGAACACATGCAATCCAATCTAATCAGGTCTTTTTTTTGTAAAACCTTCTTAAGACTTTCTAAAAACATGGTTTTGTTGTAGGTATAAATGTATCCTCTCCCCACAAGACACAAGAATATGCATTTAACACGTAGTGCAATCAGGAAGGTGCACATCTCTGCAATGGAGGCCTCAATTCCTCCTCAGAGTCGGTTCACTGGGGAGCAAAGTGACGCTAAAAAGGGTTGTTTTTTTTAATGTAGAAGTGACCCCAGACAACGTCCACGTGGGGGCCGATCGGGGTGGTGATGTAAAATATTCTTCCCTCAGACGGCACAGATGCTCTGCTTCTATCATCCTTGTATCCTTTAAAATATAACATTGTTTCACTGAGTCACCTCCTGTTACATCCGCGTCTACCCTTCAAACACAGGAGGATACTTGCAGAAGGTCTCCAAGAAGACGGGCAGATCCAGGTGGAGGAAACCGAAGCGGGGGATGAAGTTGGTCAGACTCACTGTGGAAAGAGAAGACAGGGGCAGGGAGGGGGGGAGGGGGTCACAAGAGAGAAGACAACAAGCCTCTTCCTGCCCCTCTAATGTCCAACACTTAAAGCCCGGCGAGTCAGCACAACGCCGTGCACTGTAAACACCAATTACACAAGAGGGGCTCCTCCCTGAAACGTAGCACTGAAATTACAGATAAGATATATTTGCTTTAATTTACAAATGTCAGATACTTCTGTTGTATATGTGATATACGTCTACATCTCCTAATGGTTCCCAACATGCAGGAAAACAGAGGAGGGTTGGGGGGGGGGGGGGGTGACTGTGGCGTACCGGCGTACTGGAGGTGCGGCGGGAAGCCCACAAACAGCATGTGCGTGTTGGGCGGGTGTGTGACGCGGATGAAGCGCGTCCGGTTCTCCAGAGACGGAGTGACACAGACGCCGGCGGCGGCGTGCGGGGGGGCGGCGACGCAGTCCCCGTCGCTGCGACACACCTGCGTCCCCGACACCATCTTACGCACCGGCATGCAGGCGTACTGTGGGAGGGGGGGGAGACACATATAGTTGAAAACAAAGTGGAAAGAAATGGGAGGAAAAAAGGAAGTGAGTCTGTCTCACACGATGAAGCCGTCACAAGAGGCTGTGTGTGTGTGCGTGTGTGTGTGCGTCACCTCTCTCCCTCTGCTGTTCTTGCCCTGAGGACTCATGTAGGAGAAGCAGAGGTCCGTCAGGCTGTTGTTGCTGCAGCAGTCCATCGTTCCATCCAAACGCTTGAAAGCTGAGAACAAAAGAAAGAAAAAAAGATGATTCTAAATGTTCTCATAAGAGATGATCAATATCCATAATTGCTATTTTTATTACTTGTTTGGGCAATTGAATCCTTAAATTTGAGAAGCTGCAAGCAGAAATAAATATTGTGCATTTCTGCTGGAAAAATGACCGATGATCAAATTAGTCGCAGATTGCAGTTCAATCGACTCATCAATCAATCACCGAAGCTCGATGGGAAATGATTGTATTTTGAGAGAAGAACAGAGAAGCAACAGGAGCTCTGATTGGCCAGCTGTTGACCTCTGACCTCACACATGAGCCTACAGCTGGCCAATCAGAACCCCCGCTGCGGCACTGCAGCTTTGACCCGACTCAAATCCCCCCAAAATGACACCGGATAGCTCATCGTTTTCCTCCGGTGACCTTTGAACTGAGGATAACCGGGAGCGCGTCTCCTCTGCTGCTCAACCTTTACCGACTGCAGACTCGCCTCGGCCGTGGGCCCAGCTGGGCTGCAGGCTGGCGCCGGGGACGCAGTATCCGGTCTGCGGGGTCTGAGAGAGGCGAGACAGACAGCTGCTCCAGTCCTCCACCCCCCCGACGGGACAGTCCTCCAGCCCCGTCACTATGTCGCCGGGCGAAAGACCCCGGGGGCCGTCGGCCGCAGAGCCCTGCTCCAGAGACAGAGAACGGTCAAAAGACGAGAGGCGTGGCTTGAGGCGCACGACGCAAGTAAACGGTTACTCATTATCAAATCCATCGCGAAGTGGTAGTTTTACATTTTGCTCCTCATGTGTGGGTCATGTGACCCACTGGGTCCCGCATGGAGGTGAAAACACGGCGCACTGACCTGGACGACCTCGGTGACCAGCGCCCCGCCGCCGGTCGAGTACATGGGGAGCAGGAAGAGGGGCAACAGGAAGAGGAGGGCTAATGCCGCCACGCACAGGACAAAGTTGTGCCACACTCCTGGAGAAAGAAGAAGAAAAAAAAAATCTTTACTTTTACATTTCTCATTTCTTTCAGCAAAACGAAGGACTGTGACTCGTTATAAGTGTGAAAACCGTTCGCCGCACAGGATTCGCACTGTAGGATTCGGTGGCGAAACAGTAGCCGCTGCTCACTAAAAATAGCCGTCCACATGCGTGGGGACACTTCTGTCCCACAGAGACCACGAGGAAACGTCTCACAGACCAACGAGGTTCCGGATCGGATCGTCTTCAAATCACACAAAACGTGCAAAAGGCAGAAGACGTGCACACAGTGAGAAAGCCCTCAGCAGAAGGAAAGCTCGGGGGAAAGGGGGGGGGGTTCCCAGAATGCTTTGCACAATTTGAAATCCAGACCCAGAGGGTGCATACGCATTTCCTTATTGACTTTACACAGTAAACAAACGATTAACGTTGCACCACCTCTCTAGGAATGAACAATAAACATGTTATGAGCGAGACGCCTCCGCTGTGGGGAGGGACACAGAAAAATAAACCCCACCGCTCCCCCGGCGGGAGCAGCATGCGTGCCTGTCCGCTTTTGTCATACGACTGGAGTGGACGGCTCCCCTCGGGGGCCGCCGGTCGCTACTCTCTTGTCTACTCTTTAAGAAAAGGAAAAGCCAGCAGGGCTTTGGTGACGAGCTGGCAGATGGTCGGAGGCACGGAGGCTCTTCACTGCCCTCCGGAGGCTCCTGGCAGCAGAGAACGCAGTATTCTGTGCAACGTGAATGTAGCGTTGTTTATTGGCTTTTGATCTGGTTTGTTGCTGCCTAATGTCCCGCTGGATTTTGAAACACAAATTAACTGTAAATGTACCTCTGTAATCAGTAATATATCATTACACTGGTTTCCTTTGCTAGAAAATAGATCACCGTTTTCTCGCTCTGATCTTTTAACTCTTTTACTTCTCTTACATAATATTGTTTTTGCAATCATATGAGCCTTTTTTTTTTTCTTCCTGACTCAAACGGCCCTTTTCAAAGCTTTGTAATCAAAACAGGCAACATTATTCTTGAGCGGACTCCATTGGAAACAACGTGGCTCCAACGGTGGCCCCTATGAGACATTAGTCCCACTAATGCGGGGGCGACTGCCAGCTCCAGCAATCCGTTTATTCCAGCGTTAAATGATTTGATGGGAAGCAGCTGTCTGGCGTTCAGAAATAAGTGACCCCAGGGTGACCTCCACTGGCAGAAACAGGAACCACCATTAAACAAAATGCCTTTTTGTTTGTGAATAGCAGCTGTGATTATTTTAGCCGGCTAAAATAAATCACCTCCTCCATGCGGACTGATCAGAAAACATCCACTGCGTGAAGAGAAGAGTGAAGAGACTCACCGGCACAGAAGATGCGGAGCTGCTGAGTCGGCGATATGATGCTGAGGTGCGTGGTGAAGAGGTCCACGAATGCACCCGGATAAACCACGAACACAAATATGCCGAATCCGTTCACTCGGACTTGCTCCCTGCCGGGGGTCAGAAATACGTCACACCTCAAAAGAGCCTCAAAGGAGAAAGACCAACGTGATGGGAGCCGACATCAACACATGATTTACTTCCAAATTAAATATTTAACGGCAGGTTATTCGATTTCTCTCAAATCGGATGATGTTTAAAGAGGAAGGGCCATTCCAACAAGCACAGCTATTTGGAAAGGTTTAGTAAAGCACATAAAAAAAGAGAGACCGGTGGAAAAATACCTGAATTTAGAATCTGGAATCAAATAGGAAATATCTAAAAGCCTTTAACCCCTCTCGTCTATCTGAACGGCTATTGGAGGCTCTTTACTGTGCCGGTTGTCATGGTAACAGACGGTTTCATAGCGTGTGTGTGTGTTTTACCTCAATGCTGCCACAGCGTGGCCCAGCTCATGTATGACTCCGCTGAGCAGCAGGGCGATGAAGAAGTAGGCCAGCTGACTCGTGGGCAGATTGACACCAGGGATCTAACGACACACCCGAGAGAAGCGACACACAACTGTGACTGATGCACAAAAAACACAAACAGAAATTGTAATCCAAAGATTTAATTAAACTACAATTTGCTCTGTCAGCACGGCACATCTGGCAAACCCTAACATCCCTCACGGCGCCTCCACACACTCTTCATATTAATGGTTTCGTCTTTTGCTGAAGTTGTGGTTTTCTGCGTTGTCGGCATCTCCCCCCCACCCCCCCGGGCTCATAAATGACCGACTAATAGCTTCCCATGAATCACCTCTGTGGTCCACTGGGGGCGGCTGCTCACGTTAATGCACGGCTGTGTGACACCTCACTTATTAAAGAGACGTGAGTGGGGAGAGAAACAATAAATAACTGCCCCCCCCCCCCCCCATAATTTGTTCACCCCTCATCTGAATATCGCCGGCTTCGTATGAACTCTGAAAGGACATTTATGCTCTGAACTCCAGTCAATCTCCGGCCCGCCATCCGGACCGGCCGGACCGTGTACTCACCCACCACCTGCAGGGCCTGCTGACCTCTGACCCCGGGGCTGTCCGTCGTCATCTGAGCGAGCGTCTGCTGCAGCGTCCTGGTCAGCAGCACCACGGAGCCCACCATGGCCACGACGCCGAACACCAGCCCACTGTTGAACCTGGAGGTCAGATGAGGACAAGGGGAGTTAGAACGATGCCTGGCCAATAACAATATTGCCTTTTTCTAAGTGCTAAGCAAACCAATTTATATATCATTTATAATTTAATTAAGTCCTTTTCAATAGATATGAATCATGATATTTACATTCTTTTCGTTTTTTTATTATAAAAAGTAAAAAATCAAATAATCGATTTCTTTTGGCTCCTTTAGTGTCGGTTGTGCGTATGTGAGTTTCTATTTCATTGATGTAAATTGACTGCGTGCGCTCGGAGGCCTCCTCGTGGCTCCAGGTGAGCCTCATTGATCCGTCCTCACCACAGGTATTGTGCTCGGGGGTTGATGCGGGCGCAGTACGCAAACAGCCGGTTGAACGCGGTGGTCTGCCACCTCACGTGGAAAGGAGACAACATCAGCCCTCGACTCGCCAACCATGACTCGTACCTGATCCGGTGGGTCGAGGACAACTGCGGGACGGAAGAATCATCAGAAGTCCTCAAGTCACTGCACTCAGGGAGGTAAGTGAGTGATTAAAGGCAGGACTGATACTGGATGTATAACTACATTGATATGCGGAGAGCTTTAAATACATATTGATATTATTATTGACATGTTTCTGATGAGAATCCCATTTGTTTTAGTTAGTAAATCTGTTTACATTCTCTCAGATATATCGATGTCACCACTACTACTAATACTGTCACTATTTAGCACATTCATGCACAAAGTAGATCATTTAAACAGTTTTTGTTCTATTTATTTTATGTCTTGACTAAAAAAATTACCATTTTCCTTCTACCCTCGTTGTGTTTGTTGCTATGCACCAAATCAACAACGCAACTGGTCTTTCCGGGTTGTTTCAATTCAATGTTAATGAAAGCAAAGGTCAAATCGACGGTTTGTAAGCTAACGTTAGCTGCGCTGCGGAGCGACACACAACCTTCCCTCAGTGCCGCACATGAGCCAGCCGGCTGGCATCTCACTCAACGGCCACAAAGGGAGCAAAACGGGCACCTTGAGCAGGGTGTCGGTGAGGTAGACGGCGCACCAGCCGCCCATCACCACCACCAGCAGCGGCACAGGGATCATGGTGCATCAGAGGACTGCACGCGAAGAAGCGAACCGCCCCGTCTCCATCACTCCTACTCGGAGCCACTCGCTGTTAAGCATTTGAACAAGTTATGACAAAAAAAAAGAAAGAAAATGTCAACATTATGAATAAAAGACGCGAAGGGGGAGAAGAGATGCTCTAATCTCTGAATGCAAAAGAACAGGCATCACTGTGCGACTCACTTCCGGGTAGCGCTTCTTCTTCTTTGTCTTTTAAAAAAAAAAGGTCCGTATCGCGCAAACGTGGCGCTGCCGCCCCCGCGCGGTAGAGAGAGGACCCTACATGTAAGGAACGGGAATTGTTTTAACCCTTTCTGCTTGATTTATTTCAGTTAGCAGGGAGTTGAATGTAATACACATGATAGCAGACATCTGTGTATTTTAGGCACAACAGTTTGCACTCAGCGTGAATGTTCTTTTCCGTCTTAGATTATTTGGCCCCTTCTTACTTTGTATTGAAACTGTGATACAGCAATTTCTGTCAAGATTAACAAAAAACGTTCATTTCTTCTCATGTTTTTTTCTGAATCTGAATGTTTAAACTCTTTATAATGTGTTCTACTAGACTGTAAAGTACCATCATTTCAGCACAAATTTACTGTATAATAGGAGAAAAAGTTAATTTATGTGTCTTTGCAGAGCATTTAAAAATGTTAAGCTCAGTAAATGAAGTTGCATTGCATTGCAAAGCGTTTAGTGGTTATAAACTTCAACGATATTTGTTTTTTTACGTCATGCAATCTTCCACGTGTTTTATTTCCTAGTATGTCATTACTCTCTGTTTCGATACCATTTCAATGTATTAATGCCTTCTGAATCACGTGCAACTCGACTTTACCAAGAGAACCAGAAGGCAGCATGTAGCCCTCGAAATGAGGAGCGGAATAATTGATCAGGGTTTGCAGAGCTCCTTTGGCCGAGCTGCAGCAGTAAAAAACAAAAAAAAGTGTGGATATTAGATTTCATCCTACCAAAAGGCCAGTAGTGTAAAAGGACACCGACAAATGTCGATGGTCTGACTCAGATGCAACGAGGAAACAAGCTCCCAGGCTGACTGACTCATTAAGCCCTAAATGTGAACACGGGAAGATAAAATTGCTTGTGGATGAAACACTGCGTTGATGAATTTCACGTCCATGCGCCACAATTCATTGCGTCGAGGAGCAGCTGGGTCGTCGCTACTCACGTTCTATTCACACGGCGGACCTTTGATCGGCACTCAGGTTTTCTTTGGCTGTGAGAGGTTGATTCTTCCCTCTAAACAAATGTGTCATCTTTGCCACCAGTCTGTTCACTAATTAAGTGCGTTACATCAGCCAGGCCACCGCTCGCCATGCATTTGTGTCTTTTCCCAGTGCTGGTGGAGCAACACAAGCAGCTTTGAACGGGGCGGATGCCCTCGTGTACATGTGACTTCCAACTTTCCATCTCCTGCCAACTAAGCAGCTGCCTGCGGACCAGAGGGACAAACAGCCAGACAGCAGCAAGTCACTGGACTCCACAGAGTCAGGAATCATTGTCACCACGGTCCGCCCCGTTTTTTATTTCCTCATTTGGATTTGCATCTCCATCCTAGTGCCAAGAGAACAGCTCACTTCCCTACACGAGCGGCCTCAAACTCTTCATTTCTTTTACAAAGCTCATTGAACACATGTGACTCCTGTAGAAATACAATAACACTGTACAGGCCTACAGGTGGTGGGGACACGTGGGAGTTTCGCCATCTTTATTGTCATTCAAACTGTTTCATTAAATCATGTGGAAAAACTCAAAGTGCTCATTATGCAAAAACGAAAAGGAGAAACAAAACAGCCAAACACATCGAGTCAGTAAATTCACCGCGTCTTCATTGTAGAGCTATAAACTAGGAGTAAATCAATAAATCATTTAAAAAAGAATTGAAGACAATTGATGCATTAAAGGAAACACATATTATATATATATATATATATATAAATAATAGTAATCATGTTAAACATCCCCTTGGCCCCCTGACATCCTTGGGACAGTCTCTGTGGATCATCAGCTGTTTGCCTTTGGGGAGAAACATCTGTGCACCCTGGGGAGGAACAGACACACACACACACACACACACACTGCCATTTAAACCTCAGCTCTTTCCTTCACACGCTGTTTTTATTTTGCTAAATGAGGTTTGGCTCACTGCAAAACTTCAGCTACACGCTCAACAGTCGAGCAACAAGCCGAAGCATTCGGCCAAACACGCGGCCGGTGATGACGGGGTGTTTCCCTGCAGCAGGTGTGTCTCGTCCTCGCCAACCGTGTGTGTGTGTGTGTGTGTGTGTCTTATTTGCATAGTCTGAAACGCATAACAAGCCGTTTGAGTCGTTTTACCACCTGGACACACAATAGACACGTTTCACAGGCTCAGTGTGGTTCAGTGCCGTGACGTCGGTCCAACTCCATCTGAGGAAAAGTCGAGGGACATTCAGAGAGAGGAGGTATGTTGAAACGCACACTGCGACCGACTCTAAACGGACAGGGAAACACATCTATGTAGAGTAACACACACACACACACAGGGTGAGTACTCATTCTACTTCTGCCGTGATGGGTCAGATTCCTCTCTGGGAGGAGCCTGGTGTCTCTCAGCCAATCGGAACGAGCGGAAACAGGTCAGGTAGCCGAAGAGGACCTCAGAGAGAGCAGGCAGGCAGGGCAGAGCAGCCACGCACGGCAGGAGGTAAGCGAGGACACACACACACACACACACACCTTTAACTCTGTGAGATCACAGTTCCCCTCGGAGCCCATGGATGTGCTTTGGTGCATGAACGTGGACCTGCCAGCACAACGACTTCTGTGTGCGTCTGGGAGTGTGGAGTGTCCCGCCGGGGATGTGGGGCAAGGCCATTTTAGTCGGCCACATTGGGAGACGGGTTCGGAGGACTAAAGTCTCGGGGCTTGTGGAAGATCTGTAGCCATACTTGTCATTATATGCAGACGGGTTCGTGTTGTTTTGTGGTTTGGTCGGTTCAAGAGCTTCAGTAACTCTCTCACTGGAGAATAATGTTGTAATTACAACCTGAAAAGAGGATCAAATCTGAGATGATCATCATGAATATGTGTGAATACCAATTTTTTAAGACATGAATGCTATTTCTTTTATGCGATAGGAGTTCGTTCTTAACTTTACACTGTAACTCTGGTTTAAAAGTGAAGAGATCCAAGTGGCCCGGCGCTGCTCTGTGACAATGTTTTGGTCACTCAGCGCGTCCATGTGTGTCTAAGAGTGTGTGGATGGAAAGCAGGTCCCTTCTGTGTAACACTCCTTCTATTTATAGACGGAACAAATCCCAGATATGAGCGGAATCCTTCCACCACTTAGGAGAGAAACAGGGCGCAGAGAAGCAGAGCGGAGAGGAAACAAGTGTGTGAGAGGAGGATAGAAAGTGTAAGCGAGCAAGCGGCCTAAAGTCACCACACCGCTGTGTCCTGAACCGGGACGTCAGATCTGGTTTGTTCACGCGTGTCGGAACGCCACGTAGATTTACGTCGCTGTGACGTTTAGCATTTTGTGCTTTTTATGAATTACAGTCTGTTTCCAACTTTCCAATAACATCCAGGACTGTGTTTACTGAAGAGGCAACTCAGTGGAACTTTGATGAGGGTTTTCATTAAAGAACCACCAATGAATTTATGTGTAATTTCCTACCGGCCCCCAAAAACCATTGGTTCCAAACCTTTACCAGCACAGTTTAATATTTTGGGAAATAAACACTATTAGAATATCACCACTTTCATGTCTGTGCGCTGAATGTGAAGTCAGGACATGATTAGCTTAGCGCACCAGCTAGCTGATGTCTTCCGCTAAGCTAACACAAGCTAATAGCCTGAAAGCTGTGACTCTGTTTTGGTAAGAAAGAAAATAAGTTTCTGAAAATGTCAATCTTGATGAATCTTAAATATATACTTGTTAGAATGAGCAAGTTATTGCTGGTTTTACTCTTTTCACGGGAATTAGGAAAACAAGACCAGTGACATGTTGGCCATTTTTAAGAAAGCTATTTCCCGCTCAACAAGTGGCTTGTCAAATTAGTGGCTGCTGTAAAAACCCGCTATGAGCCGCCGTGTCCCTGCTAGTGAGGAAAGGTTGATTCATGCTGCTATTTGTGCAGCTGCACCTCTTGTTGATATTCCAGAAATACCAGCACGCTCTGAAGCGCATACCTGAAAGAGCCTTTTTGTTAGGTGTCAATACGCAAAGATTGCAGATTTAAATAATTCAAAGTACAAGGAATATTTGTGCCGGCAGTTCTCCGTGCGCGTGACAGAGAGAGAAATAGCTCGTGAGTCCTTACAGAAGGCGCCACGATGAGCAGCTGCTACTCACGGCCAACATAAATACCCTTTTGTAAGTGCACGTGTGTGTGTCGTTGTGTATTTCGGGGGGGGGAGGGAGGGGGGGCGGCCCGGCTTTCGCCCGTTAGGTCAAGGACAGCGGAGCTCTGGCTCTATGTTGTCGCACACACGGCCCCTTAGCAACGGCATCCGAGGACGTCCATCGAACGCAGCAGCAGCGACGGGTGTCGCTTTCTGCGGTCCTCGAAGACAAGACAAGAGGACCCCGGACGGCGACTGGGAACCACTCGGGTGCCCGTTGATCCGTGGAACAAAAAGGGAGGAAGTGGATAATGACAGAAAGCCGGCTACGGTCAAATAAGGAAGAGAGCGGGAAGAGGGTTGACCAATTAATTCCATTAGATGCCGTTGTTGGGGTCGCTACATTTGGCTATTTCGATGGCCTAAAGATCATTTAGGTTCTATTATTCGGGATTGAGTGCTGTTTCAGACCTTTGCCTAACTTTAATAAAATATTAACAAAACACAACAAAAGGCTATAACACTGCAAATCATTATTTTATGTATTTCGGTGTGATTTTAAATGAAGTATTTTGATAAACTAATTTACAGCCTGTTAAAGCAGGTGAAACCCACCCTACAGGCCTCATGTCACTCTACTAAATGCAGAGCTTCTATCCCACGCACAGTGTCGCGCTTTTATTTTGACATTCCCTGCCGCCTGCCTCTCATGAATGATTCAGAGGACAGTTCCTCTACCTGCTTCTACCCGGGAGAGTCGCTAAGCAACTGAAATGCTATCCCGGCCCTTTAAAACCACAGAGGAGAGTCCCGATGCCCCGGACACACACACACACACACACACACACACACACACACACTGAAGGTCTGTGATCTGTGCTTCCTACAGGTCAGTGGACTTACCGGGAGGATTATGTCCAAACCTTCGTCCAACGTCAAGGCCCTTCAGGTAAAACATTTTCATCCGCGTGGCTGTGAGAGCTTTTATTTGAAAGAAGTCACGTCAGGTTGTAACTCTTCATTCTGCTGAATAAATAAAAAGAACCACAGGTGTTTCCACATTGAAGCATTTATTGGTAAAGGCATAATAGAGAATTCAGAGTGTGCATAATACAGCATCAAGGCGTCGTTAGTGCGGACTTGTAGCGAGGCAAAGGACGAGGACTCGTATTGCTGCGTGTTTGTAAATGGGTTTTGTGTTGTAATGGCTTTGTGCGTGCATGTCAGAGAGGGTTTCTTCCATCTTCTCTCTTTCTTCCCATTGTGCTCGTTTTCCTCTCTAACCACGGGACAGGCATCTGGACGTAGAACTTTTCTAAACATCTGTACAGTACAAACATGAGGGTTTCTGTCGCAGCACTCGAGCATCTTTTTCAGTTCATCACAAAAAGGAGCAGCGGTACAGATTTACAATATGAACAATACATACTTTCATTTAAAAAATGAAAAAAACCCTTCATTTTCATGTAAAAATCTATCATTTGTGTTTCAGGTGGTGAAGTTGAAGGGCTTGGATAAATGTGCATCTTATTCAGATTCTCCCATATTAGATGTTGGAGTGAACAAAAAATAAATATCTGCCATTAGCTCTTCTTGTTATAGAGAATGGAAACATGAGCCGTGTGGAAGCAGGAGATCCATTAAAGAAAACGTGTAGTAATGTTACACATTTCTGGCTTGAGGGCTTAAAAAACTGCAAAAACATACAGCGTGAACCTTTGAAAAAAGGCCCGTGCAGAACAATCAAAGTGTCCTTCTGACTCCTGCGGAGTCCACAAAGCAGCGTGTCCGAAAGGAACACTTCTCTGATCGATGAGGGCGAATTAGAATGTGCCTTTAGCGTCTTGCTCAAGGACACTGCAGCAGAGGGGCTGATATTAAACGTTAGGATCAAACCTTGCATTTATTGACGGGTAGAAATATTTTGTGTGTCCCTATCAAAGACGTCCCCGTTCCTCACGAGGTCGGCTCAAAAGACGCTCTCATCTTGGATGGACCATCGTCATGGCTTCAAACCCACATCATTCAAACCTCCGGTGACGTTAGTAGGATGGAGCGATTTACAGCCCATTTCTCTCTGCAGTTCTCAACGGCTGAAGCATTTTTTTTTTTATAACCGCCGGCTATGAAAGGTTCATTTAATTCCCAACAATTTAAACAATTTGTGCCCAAATGTCTCCAGAAGGAACGTGGACTTCTCAGATATACACCTTCACTATATTGATATGCACGTATGAGGTGAGGAAGCAGAGTCGAGCCAATAGTCTGCGGGAAATCAGTGAATGTGGTAAATAAGTTTTTTAAAGCACGTTCAGTACGATTCCAAGAAAAAAAAAATCACTTTACATTATACATCACGATTGAAATGATACGTTGCGCTCTAGGATTATATAAATGAGGTGCTAAGTAGCGACTTAAAGCATACGGGCACGTCTCACATCGTCACTGCACCCGTTGGGTGGCGGACGGCTGTTTTGAGGCCTTTTGAGCCGCGGCCATCTTGGATCGCGCCGCTCACCACGTTGTTGTTTTTTGCTGGATGTGGCTCCAGACCTGTCAATCACAGCAGGCCCGCCCACCCTAAAGCACACGCTGCTTTATTAGACTCAGCGTCATTTACTAAATCACCACCCACGGTGTCGCATCTCAGAAACAAAAACCGTCTCCTAAAAAGACAAACTACAATTTAACTTTCCAATTTATGGTGAAATAAAACACAACGTCCTCCGTGAAACACAACGCACTCCTTCTCTGTACAGCTGTACAATATCAGCATATTTACAACACAGTGCAGCACAATGCCAAAGAAACACACACCAAATCATCGACATCAAGTTAGCAGGCAGATCGTTGTGTGTGTGTGTGTGTGTGTGTGTGTGTGTGTGTGTGTGTGTGTGTGTGTGTGTGTGTGTGTGTGTGTGTGACCTGCTTTTTGTAAAGATGCAAAGCCCTTTTTAAGGACAGGAAGGGTCTGGGGTTTTGTGAGGAGAGGTGTAGGCTTACAAATAACACACACACACACACACACACACGCACACACACACACACACACACACATGCAGAGACGCACAGACAGGTCATTTGTTTAAAGTGTTGAAAGCATCTCATTGGCTCCTCTCGCCGTCCGCCAGGCTAATTTGAACATCCCGATGGGAGGTCTGCGTCCAGGGGCGGGACATCCTGTCAAGAGGAGAGAGGAGACAGTAGAGGCAGAAGAGGTGAGACAACGCAGCAGACACACACACACACACACACACACAAAGATAAAAGAAGAAGTTTATCGGTTGTGTGCAGAATTGTATAAGTAATCTGAGTGGAATATTTAAAGCGCTGAGCCACATAACCAAATGTGCACCGTCATGTTTTACTGCTGTATTTTATCAGCATCCTCACTCACAGCACTTTGTGTTTCTACGGACACCCGAGAGGGACGATGCTGAGAGAAGTAAACAACATAATTACTTAATTACTTAACTTAACATAACTTAATTACGGCTCTGATAAAGTAACTAAACAAGGAACAACAACACACTCTAAATATTATAATGTACAGAAGATGAAAAATGAATGCATTCGAAGAAGAAAAGAAGATATATCAACCTGCACCTGCTATAATAATAAGAATAACAACAAAGGTATGATTATGATCATAATAATAAGGACATTGTTTGCTCAGGCCCAAACGCCAGAGGAGCCCCGCGCTGCCGCCCCGACGCCGGAGGAGAAGAAGGTGTTGCCGGGCGCCGTGAAAGTGCCCGGTCCGGCCGTTAACCTTTCAGAGCTGCAGAACGTCAAGAGCGAACTCCGATGGGTCACCAAGGACTAACATGTAGGTGCCCCCCCCCCCTCTCCTTGCTTCATGTGGAATAACGATGAATGTTTCCTCCTTCTATCGGGGTTTGGTTTGAGTTTCTCTCTCTTGAGATTTCGGTCTGCAAGTTAGAGCGTAAATATGTTGTATACATGTGAGATGTGAGATATATTTATATATTTCGTGAAGAAGAACAGAAAACAAGGGGGATCTAGAATTGAATTACACGACTTTTGACTTTTAAAATGAAATGGTTCAATTTGAATACTTTTTTTTATTAAATATAACCTGTAACTCTACTGAAAAGGAACCGTTGTCTAACACATCCTGCCCAGGATTTGTTTGAAACAGTGTGAAAAGAGCAGCATTCCCTCACAGGTGCTTCTGAAGAAGGGGGAACTTGTGATGGGATGGTGAACGTTATTTGGATACACAAAATTCCCCAAAGATTCCCAAACCAACAGGCTGAAATGGAAATATATGACGCTGATATTTTGACTGTTGTGCAAATACAACAAAGTTAGACAGGAAGCAACAAGACGAGCGGACAAACTGCGTCACTGCTTCTTTGTGAAGCATTCAAATCCAGAGAGGTGGAAAACTGTGAACAACTGTATCCAAAGAGTACAGGTACTCACAAAGCCCCTTTACTGAGGTGGAGCACTGATACCACACTGCTAACATACTCCATCCAAACTGGTTTTGGTCATTTCTTCCTGCAAAAATGACAAAATATTTTCCAGATTAATATATTATGAAAATAATAATTGTTTGTGGTGAGAAAGAGGTCACAAAGTGAGAAATATCAGCTGAATCACCCCAAATTATTCCCTTAACTGTCATTCAAAAGAAAGGAAATCAACAAATATTAGCATTTGATAAGCCAAAATGTTTTTTCAATATATTCCTGGGTCGCATATAAAGACACTAATATATTCACCTGTGTACGTATGTATAATTTAGAGTTTATATCCAACAAAGTGCAATTCACACACAAATACATTTTTCTGCCCAGGGATGAATACAATTCATGACTAATTACATCAAAATGGTCGTCTCCGAGATGCCTACAAAGGGCAACTGAGTATATTTAAAACATTCAAATTAAATTCATAAGTAAGTTCCTGGTGCAAAGCAGAGATGTTTCACTCTGCACATTAAGCGAATCAAAGACGTGTGTTTTTAATAAGGATGACGTGGAGTTTAGTGGTTAATTTATTCATTCAGATGTGAAACTATTAGACAGTTAATAAATACTCGCAGTGATCATCGCTGCCACCGGGGGGCCCCGGTGCTGTGCGTCTCCTGTTTGGGTCAAGTGTTGATGGCTCTGTGTGTGGGCGGGACAGTTTGAGTCAGGCTCTATATTTACTCCTTATAGAAGTGTGTGTGTGTGTGTGTGTGTGTGTGTGCATTGAGGGGCCAGGCTGCGCTGAGACTCAGCGGGACACAGAAACCACAATATCCAAACACAGTGTGCTGCTGGGCCCTGCCCAAACCACGTGGGCGCGCGTGGGAGGGAAACGGGAGGCTGGTTCAACATTTTAAAAATGTGTTTCTCTGAGGGAGAAAAATAACAGGTTCCCAGTGTGTGACCACACCGGCAACGTGGTCAAATGACTCTAAAAGGTCGGCAGGCGCCTACGACATGTGCCTGATACGTGCTTTCAGTGGACACCATTTGTCCCAGAATGCAAGAGAGAAGGAGAGAAGAAAAGCACAAAAAGGTGGTGAATATTAGCTTCTATTTTCTCTGTGGGAAAAGTTGCACTTTGACATCCGTCAGCTCAAAAGCCCAAAATATGTAAAAAATGTTATTCTTTATTAATTGCAGAGCATGAATACGTAGCTGCGGATTACCTCATTTAAACGTGAATTAAAGCTTTACAGACAGAGTAGCGTTCCTCTTTTAAGCCTCACCGTCCGCGTAGCGTCTATTAGCTCGTTGGCTCCGTCGGCTCGTCTAAAACTAAAAAATGGCCGTTGAGGGGAGATCAGGACAAAGTGCGGAGGGGGGAAAAACCCGGTGACCAGATCGCCCGCTCCCCTCGCCTCTCTCACGGGTCAGCAGCAGTGAGACAGTAAAACTCCTTTATCTGCCTCTTTCCTGCAGGACGAACCCAGGCGGAGAGGAGGAAGGCGGACAATCTCTCCCGAACACGGACTCCCCCCCCCCCCCCCGCTGCCGCCCAAGACTCCAGCGGGCCGCAAACTAATCCCAGCTTTGTGCGAAGCCGACGTCTGCAGAAAGTGTCCAGCGTTCAACCCCGAAGCCACCGGGAAGCAGGCGTCCACTTATTGTGGTGCCCGAATGGGTTAAAGGCACTGCGTATTTATCCATATCCGTCCCGTCAATCCAAACGCTAAAAATGTGTACGAAAAGTGAAATGGGGTCAAGGTAAAGCGGGACGTTCGGGCTCGTCTCTGCTGCGGGACGGACTCCACTCTGCTTTGGACCTTTAGGAGTGCGTGACTTGTGTTGCAATAACAACCATATTATCTGCTTTTATTTTGTTTTGGGGGGTATTTTGAGGTCTGAAGAAGCTGGTTTTGATGGACAGTTGACAGGCATTTAAGGAATGTGATTGCCCCTTTTTTCTGTCAAAGAACTCCAGCTATTCAGCACTGATTTATACTCATACACTATTTCTATTAAATTATTCATTTCAACAGTGGCAATAATGCGATGGGATTCAGGTTGAATAGGTTTTTTTGAAAGTGGGAATGTTTTACTTGTTTTATTGATATGATTCCAAGAAACTGGTATTTTCAGGAAAATGTTACAATAAAATGAAATGGTTCTGAAAACGGTTCTATTCATTACTTCCACAGTACTTTTTTTAATCAAATCTTTAAAAAATATACTAATTTAAACTGCAATATGTTCGGCAGAGTCCAGAATCAAATGATCCAATTGCCCCGAAGTGTAGGTCACATATTAACGGTTCCCAAACATTTGGGATCCACTGACTTGACTGAATTCTGACATGATGACACTTACGCTGCTCAAAGGGGATTATTTTGCGGCACTTTAGGCTTTAGGAGTTTTCAGTAAACACGGTGTCACGTAATGGACACATTGATGAAAAAAAACATCAATTCAGGCAAAATTAAATACCCTGAAACGACAAAACCAAATTAAAACACAATGCGCGATGGAAGATGTTTCCCAGGGTGTCTTTGAAGTCTGCTTTGAAATGAGCCTCGATATTTCCATCTCTAATACTCTCATATGGTGCGCATATGTAACAGGTATTTACGTGGGTTTGAGGGAGTCGGGAGGGGGGGCGTCTTTGTGCTTAAAGCCGCTTTGATCCTCCAAATCCGACTGTTTCATGAAGGAATGCCGCATCAACGGAGCGCACCCACACACGTGATCCCAGCAGATATCCCTCATCACATCACACACACACACACACACAACAGCTGTAGCTAAGTTTAGCCTCCATCGGGTCACAAAGGACAGAGGAACAACCACACACACGGGACCCCACATTGTTGAGAGCAGAAGTCGGTTATTTCCTCGTAGGTAAACACGGTTGACCTTTTCATGGACCACAAATCTTTGGAGTGTGAGCCAGAGAGCAACGAAACCACCGTGTAAGTGTTGTTTACACGTTAATGTGCATGTTTCAGAGGAGCAAAATGAAGCGGCCCGGCATCAAAAACGAGCATTCATTGTCACTCACACCACCGCATAAAAATAATAACATGACATCAGTCTGCAGGATTTCATAGTGTCGCAATAAGGTTAAATGCCTCCCAGAAGGGCACGGCTTAGTCTGATACCGAACGCCGTGCGCTACTCATGACACTCGTACAATCTTTTGGCGGCTTGGCGAAAACCCGGCCAGCCGCGTCTGTGTTTTCCTTTCCTGTCGCCATGGCAACCAGGGCCTCCAGTCTGCAGAGCTGCGAGCAGCTGTATTTACCGGTGAGTTCATCGGCGGGGTCGGACGCTAAAAAACCGCACCGTGTGTGTGTGTGTGTGTGTGTGTGAGTGTTCCGGTGTGTTTAGCCGTGAATCCGCTCGCATTCGGGGCGCTACTCCGTCCCGGAGGCGGCGAGGAAAGGGCAGCGGGCAAACACCAAGCCAACAAAGCATCACAGACAGAGCCAGGAGGCTTTGGGAAGGGGCAAGTTTGAGGGCCAGTGAAACGATGAGGGGGGAGGGGTGGGGTAGTGGATTGTGTTTATGGTTGTAAGGGGGTGTTGGTTTCCCCTTATCATGGTGTCACATGCCAACCGCTGCAGACACACAGCAGAAACACAGATGGAGCGACCTCGACTGGGGAAGCGCACTTCACCTTTTCCTCTCAACCCCGTCTTTTCCCCCATCATTTCCTGCTCTTTGCTTTCAACAACCTCTTCTCCTAACAATGTCCGGTGCTCTTTCCGTCAGACGTTCTTTCGTGCAGCCCGACATCTTCTTTGACACCACTTTCCTGCTTTTAACGTTTCCTCCTCTCACGTTTTTTCTCACCAATTAATCCTCGGCAATCTCTCTCCTATCGCCTCTTATCTTTTGGATGGATAGCTACTCCCTCCTCTACAGTTCCTCCCAACGAAGCGGACTTCTCTCCGGCTTCCAGCGCCTGCGCTCTCAGGGAAACATGTGCGACGTCGTCCTGGAGGTCGACGGTGTGTCTTACCCGTGTCATCGCGCCCTTTTGGCGAGCTCCAGCGAGTATTTTTGGGCTCTGTTTGGAGAGACCACCGCGGAGAGATTAGCGGGCTCCATTAGCCTCCCGGCGCTAACACCTGAGGGTTTAGACACCGTTCTGGACTTCCTGTATTCCGGGTGGCTCCGCATATCATCGCCTACACTTCCTGTCGTCTTAGAGGCGGCCAGGTACCTGCAGGTGGAGACCGCCGTGTCCATATGCGAGCGCTTTATGACGGACGGTTTGAACAAGGACAATTGCTGTCGCTATGCTAACCTGGCCGAGCATCATGCCCTCTCAGATGCCCTTGAGGCTGCCAATCAAACCATCGCTACGGAGATGCGGACGTTGGTGCAGGAAGGCAGGGACGACCTTCTCGGGTTGAATATGCAGTCGCTGATGGCGGTGCTCGATGCCGACGAGATACCCGGCGTCAAGGAGGTGGAGCTCGTAAAGCTGGCTCTGGATTGGCTGGATGAGAACGGGCCCCTCCCTCTGCTGAAATCCAACCTCCTGCTGAGTCACCTGCGCTTCGGATTGGTCGCCCCGGCTGACCTCAACAGTCTCAGCCACAGGGCCATGGCCACGCCTCTCATCAGGAGTCAGCTGACTCGGGCCCTGGAGTACCACGGGCTGGGTTCAGCGCAGCCCATCCGGCAGAGCAAACAGTCGACGCTCAGGGCGTCGCCCAACCACGTGCTGCTCGTGGGCGGAGGACGCAGCCCCGATTGGCCGGAGCAGGAGATGCTGGCGTTTGACCCAAGGAACAGGACATTTTCACCCCTGAGCTCCGGCGTCCCGCTGCGACTGAGAAACCACTGCGCGGTCTCGGTGGGGGGTTTCCTCTTCGTGATCGGCGGGGAGGAAGCGAACGGGGGAGGCGACGACGGGGCGAGGCCCCCCGCCGCGGCGACATCCAAGCACGTGTGGCGCTACGATCCACGCTTCGACCGCTGGGAGGCGATGGAGCCCATGCTGGAGAGGCGGGACCAGTTCACCTGCTGCGCGGTGGGCGAAGCCATCTACGCAATCGGCGGGCGACACACGCGGCCCGGCGACGACGCTCGCACATCCGTGGCGTCCGTTGAGTTTTACGACCTGGCCACCGGGGCGTGGAGGAGAGGGGCGGCGATGCCTCGCCCGCTTTACGGCCACGCTTCCGCCGTGCTCGACAACGGCGTCTACGTGTCAGGTGGACGTTCGTCCAGCCAGGGCGGCAGTAACCGCGGCGACCACCAAGAGGGCCGCGGAGACAGCAGCCGAGAAGTCCAGTTCTGGGACCTGAAGGGCAGAGTTTGGGAGAAGCGAGCGCCCATGTCCATCGGCAGGTTCGCGCACCGCATGGCGGCGGCCCACGGGTTCATCTACGCCCTGCTGGGGATGTACGAGCCTTTCTGCGACATCGAGCAATACGACTCGCGGTCGGACCACTGGACCCGCCTCCGTCCGCTGCTCACCGGCTCCTTCGACTACGGGATGGCGTCGACCCCGGCGGGGAATCTGCTGGTGTTCGGCGGGAGGAGGTGGAGCGATGGACGGCAGGTGATAGTGAGGAGCGTGTTGGAGTACGACACGAAGACGGATCGCTGGAGAGAGATCTGCCAGCTGCCCAGACCTCTCGCTGGGGCCGAGTGCACGCTGCTGCCGCTGCCAGGCTGAAAGGGCGCGCGAAGACGTTCACGTCCGCGAAGACTGAAACCGTCTCACTTATGGTTGAGACAAAAATGAACAGAACCGAGCCGGTGTGAAAACATTTATACCGAAAACTAAGCTAAAAACCAAGAGACAGTTAGCTTAGCACCATTACCGTAGCGTGATTTTAGCACTTTGGCTTTTGTACGGATTGTGCAAGTTACATTTAACATAAATTTTACAGTGCAGATTGTGTGACCTTCGTGCAAAGATGTGCTTTTTTTCCCGTCTTACTCGTCCTTAACCTGAGCCAAGCTGTTCTTCCACATGTTGTGGTTCCACATTTTGGGAAATAGACGGATCTGCATGTCAGAAATCACTGGCAAGTTTGTGCTTTAAATATGGAGCTAAACGAGGAACCGGTTACCTTAAAGCACCTTTTGTAACAGTTATTTTTATGAGTTTCAGAGTCGTTTCTAGGCTCATTCTCTCACCCTTCAATGCGAAGCTATATCAATTCAACTAAAATCCAAATCCCTGAAAACACCTGAAAGAAAATCCATTACCATTCCAAATGAATAAAATTAACTGACAAAGTGATTTGGTCTGATATGAGTCTTAACTTTATCTATCATTGAAAACCAGTTGATGATAATTCCTCGCTAGGATTAAGCTGAACCTTTTAGGTCCATTTTGAACAGTTGCAAAGAAATGTCAATTAACCATTAACTGGTTTGGAGGGTTAAAAACCGGCAATACGTTTTATTATTTCATGTAATATAGCAATGGACACGTTTCATGTTGTCTGGAGAAGGCGGCACCAACAACAGAATAATAATAATCTAATCAGTCATGTGGGTTAAATGAACACAAGTATAAAACGAGTTAAACAAGCTAACAAATCAAATTTTTACAGCCTCCAAACAGCTTTTTCAATGCGACACTGCACAACGTGTGCACAATGAAATGGCCTCTGCAGTCAGTTAAACTGTAATAAAGTCGTGGTTGCCTGGAAACAGAATATTCAACTGACAGCGTCTGCTGGTTTTGAGATCAGCCGTGACAGCAGCGCCGAGGGAACCGGGGCGGGGGATGGAATTGTTCATTCGGGAAAAGGAGCAGACGGAAGTTTCTAAACCGGAGGATCTGTGCTGGTTTGTCACGGACTCTCCGTCCCTTCCAGCGTCGTCGACGTGACGGAAACAGCAGCTGTTACCGGTGTTCATCACACGCCGCCGGCCTCCTCTTCCTCCTCCTCCTCCTCCCCCGTCCACCGAAGCGAGAACAAACCACAAATACACCTCGATCCAAATGCCCACACTTTATTTATCCGCCCCACTCATTTCCGACAGCAACATGTAGAATGATGAATAAATACTCATTATCGTACCATCATTTATAGACATTAAACCCACCTTCACCTCAACTGTTCCGAGGAAAGAAACCCTGATTAATTAGAGAACATTATCCAAGACACTTCGTTTGCACTGAAGAGCGATCTACCCTATCTACAGATTTCAAACACCAAAAAACAGACAAGCAATATTGTGTTTATACAATACAGACATGCTACTACAACCAACCACGGGCAGCAGCACGGAGAGAGCGTTCGAACTGTGTGACGCGTGTGTTTATTGTGTGCACGATTGCTTTCATAGTTTTGTGCAGCGGCTGTGAATATCAAGCCATATGGCAGCGGCGTACGAAGAACAAACTGTTATATGTTTATTAGATCCATATTTCAACTGCTATGCAAATGTTTCCTCGTGTTCTCTATGTCGCATGCAGGATACACGAGGAGCAAATACACCAAAAGAAACTTTTAAACAGTCATATATAAGTTTCAGGAGATGTTTTGTCATTTTCCCTGCTTATTACTTTAGCTTGTTTCTCTTCTGTGGCGACTCAAACAATCCGGCGTCCGTATTTAAAGTGCTTAAGCCTCTGAACGCCCCACATGGGCGTTTTCAGTCGATTAGACCTCACAGGATGTGGGCCGGAAATTTGAAGAGAACCACAAATCTTTCTTTTATCAACCAATAAAAAATGAGAACGGTGTCATTTGTTAGACCAGGTGCAACAGAGCTGTTGAGGTAAGAAGGATGACAATCAGTTCCAGTCCGGCCCACACAGAGAAAAGGTCTGATCCACCAGATCAACGGAAAACCTCAAAGCCTTTAAAGTCAACTCGACTGATAAAGCCACAGAAAGAGTAAAATAATTCAGTTTAAAAAGTTCTATCTTGCGTGTAAAACACATCATTTGCAACAGAGGATGAAGTTTTCTATCTTTAACTTCCTATATTCCTTAAGTGGCAAAATATGGATCATTTGGAATACAAAAAAAATGAATCAAACAGCTCCGTTTTTTCTTTGACCAGGGTGGAAGATGTGATGGATTCCATTACAAATTGGAGCAGATCCGAATCACATGGCACCAGATGAACTCTTTCAACATGAGCTGGTTTTAATGGACATTTCATTTTGATCTGAAGACGTTTCACGTTTCCGCCAAATCGATTGTGATTTAAAGGGAACATTTATGTCTCGAATTTAATTAAGGAGCTCCAATTCGGGCAGCTGATCCATATCAATGATTTCTTTCTAGGACAAGTGTCGCTGGAGGTAAACTCACCCCGACAGAGATAATAAAGTGACGGGAAACACAGAATACTAAAAACACGGGCCTCTGGATCTTATCATTGCTGTGAGAAAAGAGTGTCAAAAGTGTTGTTAAGACGGCTTTTTCATTCAAAGTTGTCTCCTTCCTAGAGGTTAGTGTGCACGATTCAGGTCCAGCCCAGAACGGTACGTCCTTCTACCAAACCAGGACGATCCAAAAAAAAAAAATCAAATTGTTCTTTGCTGTCACACTCACTGCACAGAAAATATCACCAAGCATGAGGCTTGATAGAACACAACGCACGTCTGTGGGACACTGTGGATGGAACACGGTGGCACAGCGGCGGCTCCTGGAGACACGACCCTGAAGGTCTTTGTCCGCGTCAGGGAGGAACCAACTGCCGAGAGCCGTCCAACGTCAGCGCTTTGAAAGAGCAAACGGAAGCAGACGCGCGACACGCCGAAAGATGGGTCAAAGGTCCGCCCCCGAGCCGGCTGGAGCGGCGCACGTGACACGAGGGCCACGCGGGGCCCCAGAGAAGGCCGGTGCGCCCGTGCACGGCATCGGGACGCGCAAAGGTCCGTCGCTGGTCACAACCCTGACGCGTCAGAAACGTCCGCTGCTGCTGGTTCGACTGGTTCCACACGCGGGAACCAGAGATGACAGCAACTGGAGCGTCGTGTGTTTGTGTGTGTGTGTGTGCGTGTGTGTGTGTGCGTGTGTGCGTGTTGCGCTCGTCAGACGTGGGTCTCGATGTAGGAGTGCGTGTGAGAGAACGAGGGGGTGAGGGGGGGGCCGGGGTCTGAGTCAGCGGCCGAGTCTGGCTTCTGAGAGAACAGCTCCTGATAGGCTCGTTTCCACTCCTGCAACTCTGCGACGACAGCTGGGGATTGACAGCAGCCTGTCAATCAGCGCTAGCTCCCCCTCCTGTCCTATGGGGGGGAGGCAGAAACACAAGGTGGGGGAGGCGGGGGGGGGGGCACTTTTTTAGATTTATAATTGCATGATACTTTGAACACTGGAAGCAGAACACACACTTGGCGGGATGCACCAAGTTCTGTTTGTTACACCCGGACTAATGAGACGAGGGAGCCTTCGTAAGGGTCCGCACATCTGGAACCGTTCATATCAATAATTATATATATGCATATATTTTTTTTAGATGTGAGCCTTTATCCAGTCAATCAAAATAGCTGGCAGGTGATTTTGTGTCAATGGACGGATTTATTTATCTGCTAATTATTTCAGAATAAATTATTTCATGAATTTAAAAAAATGTTAATTTATGAACAGCCTTTACCCACCAGGGACGTTTTTCTTCATCTGATCAATTCACACGAAATTAACATTTTGACCTGTTATTTTTTTTTGTCATGAGTATTTTCACACAGATAACAAATGTTACGCAGCGTAAAAGCAATATAATTTTTATATAACATTATAAACTCCCTTTTATAATGTTTAAACAGGTCCAAGGCACATATCTAAGGCCAAGGATAACTTCATTATGTTGTTCTAACCTTGACAGGCAGTATTCCCTCCTTCTGTTTTTTCCTTTCACAGTAAAAGCCCAAGACATTTAAAATCTATAACTGTAGAAACTGAAGTTATATTTAAAAGATTTTTGGCTAAATGAAACTAGAATACCTTCCAATAGCTTCGATAAATTCAACAAAAATTTTACCTCAGTCAGACCGCCCGACGCTGCTCCGGTTAAATATGATCTAATTTGTCTTTTGTCTGCGCTAATCTATTCAAATCTTGTCATTGAAGGGTTTTGTATCAATGCCAGTAAGAACAGATTTGGGAAATATATTCGCAGGAGAGGTTTTTAGATTGTGTAAAGGGCTTATTGTGGTAAATATATATAACATTATGCTTATGAAAGGTAACGAATAAATCAATTTTGACGGATTAAAGGCGCAAGGAAAATATGATTCACACAAAGACAACGTGGTGCAGTAATGGATCTGCCAGGGTCACACGGTGTGGTGTCTACTGAAGGCTCCCATTATTTCACAGTATACTTCATTCAAAATACCCCCCCCCCCACCCCCCCAAAAAAAAGAACAGAAAGTGAAAGAACATGTAAGCCTCTTCAGCACAACCTGGACGTGCAGCCAACGCCACAAAACATCGCAAAGGAGCCACCGTAGCTAGGGGGGGACCAGCGACAAAGAGCTCCCCCCCCCCCCCCCGACCAGCCACGCCCACTTACACGCAGGATGCAACAAAGATGCAAACTCCACAGAGACAGAAAAGAAAAACAGCCACAGCAAAAGAGCCATTCACAGGCGCTGAGCCCAGCATGAAGCCACACATGGCTGCTTGACAGAACAAACCAACCCAACCAAAACCGAAAGGGACAGACCGGGACAAAGGACAAATGAAACCGACCAGACAGAGAGCGGGAATGTGGGAGTCGGGCTCAGAGCGTCATGGTGTATTACAGCCAGAAATGCACATGGGAGTATATCGTCTGATCCATTTCAGCCTGTTGAATGTGGTTTTGTGCATTCGGGTGAAAAATGCAGGCCAGAGAAAGTACACGATGACAACGACAATACTTTCTGTCGAACGTGTGTGAGGAACATTTTCTGTGTGAGGAACTTTGCAGCAAAGCGTTCTGAAGAAAGATTCCCAATCAAAAGGGTGAAAAACAAATACAACGGAGGGATTCATTTTCTTCTGCGACAGATCTGCGACGAACCGGAGATATGAGTGATATAAAGATGTTCCTGCTGTTGGGTCATTGAATGGTGTGACTTCCTATACGTTGTTTGGCTGTTTGACTCCTTATTATCTCATCTAAGTCTCGTACAGACGTCTCTGAGTCGCATTGGAAGGTGTTAACAAGTAAATCACTGCCTGCTGCTTGTTTTTTTAAAGTTTTGCATTTGAAGGAATCTCAATTTCGAAACACGAGTCCACAAAAATTAAAAATTGCAATTATTTAGCCAGATTTTTTCATTAAAACGGTTTGTTTTTCTCTTCTGTGATAATTCTTGAAAAGTACACAGACCAACATTTTTTGTATTTGAGATTTCTTTAAAATCTCTGAATTGCTTTTTTTCTGTGTGATAATGTGCTGATGTGTTTGTCTGCGTGCGCATTGGCGCCTCCATATTCCCCGCACATGTGACCCCGTGTGCGGACCAACCTTCAGCGTGGAGGTCAGTATGCGCAGGCGGTGCAGGCGCTCGTTGAGCTGGGGGTCGGCGGCCCGTCGGAGGAACGACTGCCTGCACTCCGACTGACCTCTGGCGTCCGACCCGCGACCCAGGGGGCACACGCCGCCCTGCTCGCACGCCCGGAACAGATCGCCCAGGGAAGCGCCCTCGCTGCCGCCTTCACCCGGTTCGAGGGAGGACAGGGGGGGACAGAATCGCACGGTTAGTGTTGATTTTAGAGCCTGGTCTCGTCCACATATGTCAAAAAAATTCCAATGAGATTTGAGTTGTTTTATTATTTGATATCAGAGCGACCGCTGGAGGCCAGCAGCACGCACCTCACCGACTATCATGACCTGTGTCTTTGATGATGATGATGATAAAGTCCTCGTGTCTCTGTCACCTCCTCTGCTCGACTGACTCGAGCGCGTGACTATTACGCTTTAGCCGCTGTTGTCACCTCGGCAACCGGCGCGCTGTTGTCTCCTCAGCCTCATTAGCGACGTCGACGGTGTCATCTTAAAATAACCTCTCTCTTTTTTCGGTCTCTAGTGGCCGTCGCTCGCGGTCGGACACATTCTCCCCTGCTCTGCTCTCACCGCGTTCCCCCGATGCCAGCGACCGGACTCACCGCTGTGCGCATGCTGTCGTTCTTTGGCGGGGGGCGTGAGCAGCGTGTGCAGGTTGCTGTCTCTCGGCAGTGTGAAGCTGCGGGGTTTCCCTCCCTGGGTTGCCATGGGAATCAGTCTCTGCATCGCCATGGGCAACGGGACGTTCCTCTGCGCGGGGAGGGTGTAAACGGCTCCGGCCATCATGGTCCCGCCGCCCGGACCGGGCTCAGCGAAGACGGCGTCCTCTGCCACGCAAAGACAAAGGAATGAGAAAGAAGGAATTAGAAATATTTATATAATTATATAAGAATATAAGAAATAAGTGTGGAATGTTTTTATAAGGGACGTAAAAAACAACTGAAGATTGTCAAAACTAAACCCTCTTTATCATTGTTTCTGATTCATTTTGAACTATAGAAATACACAATTAAATAAATGTATTTATAAATTCAGTGTATAGTATAGTTTTCTAGAGTTAATCTAGTTAACCGCTTTGTGGAGTCTTGCCCTATTTGCAGGAAGACCATCAATCACACAGACTGCAAAAGTACAACAGACCTGCACTCTACATTTGTCACTGTCAAATATCCCCATGCTGTTCGTATCTGTGCAGCTCGCTGTGTCACCTTAAGCTCTGTGGCATCTTGGAATGTTATATATATATATATATATATATATATATATATATATATATATATATATATATATATATATATGTATATATTTATACATATATAGATATAATCAGCAGGTTGGAGGCATGAAGCGTCTGGTGTGTCGGTACCTAGGGGTCCGGTCTGCAGGTAGTGCAGCCCGGCCTCAGTCAGCGGGGTCTCGATCAGGTCCTGCCAGGACCGTCTTTGAGAGGACGAAGATCGGCCCGGAGACCCGGTCTCACTGCTGCCCCCTGTAGGACTCGATCGGTACTACAAGAAACAACATGTTTCATGATTTAGATTGTATTGCATGTGCATGCAGTTCTATGCAGACTTAAAAGAGCAAAATCCAGAAGAAGACGGATCGTATTGTATCCACAAAAGCATATAAAAACATATCTATTGCTTTTTTCTAAAGTGGATGCTTTACATCCCTCATGGTAACAGCAAATTTAATAATGTGTGTAAACTGATAAGCGGTCGGTGAGATATGTGACCAACGGACACACACACACACACACACACACACCTCCACAGCTTCACATCTGTACTGCACGTCGCTGCTGCTGCTGCCGCCCGGCTTCCTGCCGCTGTGCGTGGTGCCGCACCCGAGGGGACCCGGGTGGTACTGCGGCTCCGCGGCCACCGCGGGGGCCTCGCCGCAGAGGAAGTCCTCCTGGGAGGAGCGGGAGCGGGACGTCTCCGTGGAAGACAGCCGGGTGGTCCGGCCTTCCAGGTAGGCACTCATCTGACAGACGCAGATGGGAGAGTGAAAGTGGGGCTGACGTCAACTGAGCACCGGGCCTCATTCAAATTGTTACATCACACACACGGGAAAAAGGATTTGATCCAGCGAGGAGAGATATTATTATCATCTATTTGAAACATTGCCGTGCTAGCTGCTGTTTTCTTATCCAACCAAAGAACATACAAGGCTTTTGATGTGGAGCAAAGTAGCGCGTGGGCCGATTGCAGCATCGACTATACGAAATTTGGCCCCCACCCCTCCCTGTATGCTAAATTAGCAATAACTTAAAACGTTAAAATGGACTGCGGAGGAGCACCGAGCGTCATTATCGCCTTCAAGTACGGCACGTACTTTGCGGGCGTGCGGGTGACTCACCGATGGAGGCCGTGGGTAGGTATCGTATGGAGGTGGGGGACTGTCCTGCTTGGGGCTGGAGGTGGTGTCCTCCTCGTGTTCACTCTCGCTCCAGTAATCTGCAGGAAACCCACACACAGACAGGTCAGACGCGCCGTCGGTCTCCATCGCCGCGGGAACGTCACCGGGGGGAGGAGGGCCGCCGCTCACCCTGCTCCTGGCGTATCCTCTCTCGCTCCGCGTAGCCGACAGCGGCCATGTTGAGGCGACTCAGCCATCTGAGGGCAAAGAGGAACATCCAGCTGCAGTGAATCCGTGTTAGGATATCACAAAAAAACAAATGTATCTATATATAAAGATTGATGTAGTGAAAATTATTTTTGTCTTATATTTGTGTCAGTTTAATGTCATTTTTATCTCGTAGTTTTGAATTTTGGAAACTCAATTCTTTTCTCTGTTTTTTTAATATCCCCTTTGTGCTGATGATCACTAATTATCACATTGTACGTTGTTTGTATAATCAGTAAAAACGCCACAGTCCCTCTTTTCAAATCCAATTCAATCGTTAGGACATTTTTTTTTTTCCTCTTTGAAATGATCACATTCACAAAATCATTATGTAGATTACAGAGAGGTCTTTATGGAAATAGTCTTGCAAATGCAGTTTTTCATACACGCCATTGTCGTTCTTTTCATCATCAAATAAAAAACACCCTCGTTCGGAGCTTCGGGGTTCGTGAAGTTGCGCCGCTTCGCCCTTCGCTGTGACCTTCGCTGTGACCTTCGCTGTGACCGTCATGCGTGTTTAGCACACGGCGCTTTACCTGTTCATGTCATCCACTCCATCTGCTGCGAAGTAGAAGCTCTTGACCTTAGGGTGACATGCTTTGAAAGCACTAGAGAGACATGGAGGGGGGGGGGGAGTGAGTTATTTTTGCCTTTAGAAATATGCGTGTACAAACAGGCTGTTTCCATCATGGACTCACTACTTCTTGCGACATTCACTGGCCCGGTCGATCTTAAACTCTGGAAGGCTGACGAAGCCCTCGGCCTTTTCGTCCTGAACCGGAGGAATGAAATAAGACACAATGAGCTGAGGAGCGAAAGCGCCCGAAAAGATAACGCCGGGTGATTTTGACGTGGTTTATTTCCCATAAATTATAACTAAATTCTTTCACATAAAAAACGAACCCACCTCCTCATTGATGTACCAGTACAAGCAGTTGTCCTTGAGGACAAACCAGTACTTCTTCCACTTCTGGGAAAAGTAACCCTTGGCGTCTCTCTTCCTCCACAGCCAGCCCTCGCAATCCCCTCGGCCCAGCGCCTTGCAGGAAACACGCCGCCGGCTCAGAGAGGCCAGACTTCGTCCTGGAACCAAACGCAGGAAACATGAAGACGGACGGCGAGAATACAGGAAAAATCACTGCGAGAGAGCGAGCAAACGTGTGATCGCTCGTGCGCACGCTTCTCGCAGTAGAGAGTGAATAAAATCCCAGAAGGCTGCTGCACTGCAGTAACGTGAGAGGTGCTTCGTAAAAAAAACGGCCTTTTGCTTCACAGCGGTCTTTCTACCAGGAGGGGAATGCAGGTCAATTATCCGTTTAATTCTGAGGCAGTGGAAAGGTCCACGTACAGGGAACATCTCTAAAGGGAACAACTCTCCACCGCACGAGGAAGCCAAAGCTCAAACGCCTAGTATGAAACGGGCAACTACACATCCAGAAAATGGGCAAAAACCTTTGTTTTCAATTCAATTCCTGTGCAGCAGCTCCGCGCTAAAGGTCTGATACCATCACTGGTTTAACTTCTTTAAGTCGAAAGTGAAGACGGCCCGAGCCGCGAGAAAAAGGAGTAACTAATAATCCATTACTTGTTTGATAGGAAGGCTAATGTATGAATCATTATCGCCCCGTGCAATTTTAAACTTTGGGTATCTGTAAACAAACAAAGCTGTTTGCCCGACAAAAAGCAGATGGAGCCGAAGCTTTGGGAGCTCCTCGCCTCGGCAGATGGTGAAACGGGCGAAAGAAAATCACTTCAAACACGTTTGATCCTCGATAGCGTGGCGAAAGGAAAGAAAGCTCCGGTCGAAAAAAAAGGCAAAGAAACTGATAGCGTTGCAAAGGAGCGAAGACATCCGTAGGAGAGGAAGCAGAAGGGTTGAGGGATGAGATGAGATGCTGATCATCAGGACCGTCGTCCCGTTTGTTTGAGAGAAATCTGAGAAATGTAGGTTGCATCTTCACAGCAAGATAAAGAGCAAAATAACTGGGTTTCCATGGAAAACATACGCCTCACATACGCCATGTGTAAGATGAGCATGATGTGTTCAAATGCAAATACAGTGGCCTCTGCACCAAAATGATAGAAACAAAATTAACAAAAAAAACAACCTGCATTGAAAGACGCTAATGAAATCCCATCTAGGCAGAGTTATATAAACTGTATACTTTCTCGGGCGAAATATGGAGAGAATCCAGATACGTTGTTCAGTGTCCGATGCATTAAAATGTTCAATTAGTAACAATCAGAGGTTTCTGTCAGTGAACGCACAGCAGGTCAGCCGCACATGTTAAGTGGTTACAAATTGACTTTTCATTGAAGTGCGAGACTTCAGGGATGAAATGAACAACATTTGCATATTAATGGTTTCTGCACTAAAAGTGCAATTCTCAACTTATTATGCAGAGCAGAATATTCTATCTTCATAAATTATTGCTGGATGGGAAAGTTGTTTACCGGCAGGAACATAACAGATAATTATTTTTCCGATAAAGAAAAAATAATGTATGGGTATTTATCTGGTTTAATACGGAGCCTGTTATTTAAGATAATTTCCTTTTGGTTCTGCTTGTGAACAAAACCTGTCAATGCATTTGGTCTCTAATTGGTGCCGAAATCAATGTCTTTCCCTTAAAACTAAAAAGGAACTTATTAGCAAATCACCGCACCGTAAAAATGAAGATAAGCTAATAAGATAAGATCATTGGTTGAAGTGGAGGCGGCGTCGGCTCAGCATCCCTGAGAGAGACCAAACCGACAGGTGGCTTCTCCGCTTACCTCGGTTCTTCTTCCTGTTCTTTGCCTGCAGAGAGGAGGCCTGTTGGTAGGTCTGACGGAGGGGCGGGAGGGTGAGAGGAGGGAGGAGAGAGAGAGAGAGAGAGAGAGAGCAGGTTGTCAGCATGAATCAGTGGCTTTTGTCTACTGCAAAGGATTCTGGGACATAGGAGATGACGGATGTAAGCGGGCGGACGAGAGGAGGCAGAAGAAACGCTCCCTCGTTATCTCTCCCTCGCAGAGACGCACACTCCTATGGGGGGGGGGGGTGAGGAGGGAGCAGGGGGGAGGGGGGGTCAAGCTTACTTCAGCAGCTCTGGCTCCTCTAAACTTAGAACATATAGGGCGTCCAGGTGAAGGGAGGACGTGAGGACGTGAGGGAGAGCAGAGCCACGGGGGGGAGGAGTGGGGGAGGGCTCTGGGATTAAATATAACACAAAACACGAAGGACGAACATCTCTGGGGGGGCGGGGGGGGGGGGTTCAGGGTTCCGTAGGCCCCCCGAAAGGAGGGGCCGCCTCTTTCAACTCCACTCCACGTGTCGGCATGTTCCAGGTCCAGCCGTGATGTCACAAAATTACGCGTGTCCGAGACCCGGGGCCCCCGGGGGAGGGGGGGAGGGGGGGGCAGTCACAGCCCCGCACTCAGCAAGACGTACGACGAGGACCCGCCCCCTTTAATGAGGAGGCAACTGAGGGGAAGTCCGAGCACTTCCATAACCTTGTTTCATCTTGAAGCTGCAATTTGTAGCATTTTTTACTTCCCCTCTGGCAAAATATCTGTTGCCACACGCTTATTGTTGTGCATCATTGTTGGGCAAAAAAAGACAAGAGAGACTCACGTGATAAACGGAGGCGGCGTCTCTGGGTGGAGAATCCCTCTGATTTGTCTGGAGGACATAGTGGGAGGGGCTTTGGCTATGGTGGCTCCGCCTCTTTGCGCGTTTGGCCGTGTCGTTGGTCCGTTTCCCCGGGCGGGCCGTGTGGGAGGAGTAGTCTTCAGAGCCGGTCCTCTCGTCCACGCCGGACAGTCCCACGTAACGCATCAGGGTCGCCTCTGGGAAATCGAAATGTAATCAACCAAGCGCATCTGATGCAAAGAAATAAATACTTATATATTCAAAAAGAAAAACAGTGACGAAATCTTCACATCACGCAAGGCTTGAATTAAGTTCCTCCAGTAGAGTTTGTTCCTTTAATTAAAGCAGCATCAGAGAGCTAATCGGTTATTCTTGAAGTAGATGGAGCTGTAAAAACCTTGATGTGATCAATCTGATTTGGGAAAATGAACCATGTGTTTCTGAAATTCCCTCTTTAGTTTCACTGAATGTTCATCGCCCCGGGTGTTGATTGCACAAAATTCGGCAATCAAAGTGATTGGTTCTGAACTACAAACAAGAAACTTGTCATTGCCCTCCAAAACCAAAAAAAGACTACTTTTGGTTTATAGTCATCCATCTAAAACTATTACACACGACGCCGCATTGGTCGTCTGCTGAATAATCAAAAACGAAGGACAGTTTGAGAAGTAGTGGACACGGTAGACGTGATCAGGACTGACGGATCCACGTCTTCTCGAGTGACCGTCACGCTGCTGTGAGAACAACGTGTGCGTGCGTGAGAAAGTGCGTCTGTCTGCTCTGCTGTCTGTGAGTCGCTTCCTTCTCTTCTTTCGATTGTCCAACTTCCTCTTCGTCTTCCCCACCGGAGGAGGGAACTCTCCCTCTCTCTCACTCTCTCTCTCTCACTCTCTCTCTCTGAGCGGCTCACCCTGTCCTCCCCTGGTTGCTAGGCAGCGGCCAGAGGAAAGTGAGACTCATAGAAGAGCTGCTGTCAGCGTCGCCATGGCAACTCCGTGAGTGATTCAGGTGGAGGTCAGGGAGAATAGTCTTTATATTTGGTTGTTTCTCCCTCCTCCGCCTCCTCGGGAGTCTCTTTCGTTCTTCCTCCCTTCATGGCTGCCTTTCATCTCCTCTGCCTTTGTACCAACTCTTATTTCCTCTGTGATGATAATCACAGGGAGAATTAGAGGGAAGGGAACGACACACACACACACAAACACACACGTATGCACTCACCTCTGCGGTTTTCTCTGTTGAGCTTGGCCGGATCTTCATAGTCGCCCACCCAGTTACACTCCACAGGCATGGAGATGGGCCTCAGCCTGCCTGCAAGCACACACGATCACAAACGTAATGCTCCCCATGGACGTTTCGCACCCGACGACGGGAGGATTAGGATTCTGGCCATGTTTGTTTTTTTTATTTCATGAAATGTGTCAACGTTTTAGGGCCGCGTGTTCTATTGAGGCTTCTGAGTGACGCCTCGACGACTGCCGTCATATTTCGTGACACCCTTGAGAACAACAACAACAAAAAACCAGATTTGAATGTTGTGAATCACTTTAAAGGAATACAAATCGGGCAGTACTTGCTTTCCTTGGCGTGCGGCAGGAAAGAGATCAGACGGTGGAAATGCAAATTGCTTGCTTTATTTTCCAAAACGAATCACGACGTGCAAAAATGCAGAGCGGTCGCATGTTGGCTCAGGATTTGAATTTGAATGCTCTGAATAAATCTTCACTTTTGGTTCATGGCCTCGGGGCCGGCAGGTGGATTTCCCGTCGTGACCGTTTTTCTGAAGCGCTTTGCTGCGGCAGAATGCGACTGAACCTTTGGACGTGAGCGTACCGTACGTGGGCGTGGTGCAGTACGCCGGCTCCTCCTCTTCTCGCCGGTGGGACTCTTGATCCAGGAAGGAGTTGGGCGACTCGGAGCGCTTGGCGACGCCCACGCCGCCGTGGCTACGCCCACCCTCGTCTCCCGGCAGGGTTCCTGTCTCATCTCTATGGCGACAGCGGGGGCCGTTTTACGGTGCGAACACTTCATCGCGGTCAAAGCCGTGCTCGGATTTAGTTTCATGGAAAAGCGGCGTACCTGGGTGTGTACGGCTCAGCGGGTGGGGGGGGGATGTAGAGGTCCTGGATGGCAGAGCTCTTGGTGGGCGTGCCCGAGGGCGTGGCCGAACTGCTGCCGGGGCTTCTGGTTGGCTGCAAAAAACATTCATTTAATACGAAAGAATTCACTAAACTAAAGGAACCTCTACGTGTGCATCTGTACGTCTCTCATTCTCTTATCCCACTTAGCTTCATATGAAAACTTTTTTGGCAAAATCAACATTTTGGCATGACGGCATTTGGTATTTGGTATTCACATCAAAACCGGATTAAACAGGGTCGACCAAACGCATTAAAAAGCCCCAAACAATCCTTTCAGAGACATGACGAGATTTCCTACATTTCCTCCTTTTTGTGTCAATAATCAGCACTAATTAGAGAGATATTTCATAATTTCGTTGTGGGTGGAGGCAGCCATCCCAGCCATTCCAGTCATCCCAGTCATCCCAGTCATCCCAGCCATCCCAGTCATCCCAGTCCAACGTGATCTCCAAAACCTGTTTGTAAAAATGTATACGAAAAACTTGAACATACAAATTGGTAACAATACATAGGAACTGGCGGTGGTTAACCACGCCCCCTTGAGTGAACAACATGGCGGACCATGACCAACGTCTCTCCGCCATGTTGGATGTTTTGAGGGGGTTAGGGTTAGTATTCTATTCTTACAAGTTTACATTGATTTCTGGTTAAAAATGCAATCATAACACGTTTATTTTACATGGTTAGACTTCACGAAGTGTGTTTACGGGGCGCAGGTCCCCGTTCACTTTGAATAGGGCGACGTCATCAGTTGCAGTCTGTATTTATTTCGTATGTATCACTACGAATTTGTATCTTCGAGATTTTCGTACACATTTTTACCAACAGGTTTTGGAGATCAGGCTGCCCAGTCGTGCCTACGAGTTTCCGTTGGCGAACGATAACCGGGGCCCAGTCTCCTGACCCATTTACCCGCCTTGCTCGTAGTCCTACAGGGAGCGGCAACGCTGTCGGGAGCTATGTGGGCCGGCGCGGCGCTCTGAGACAAGTCTATTAAAAGGTAGAGCGGGTCCCACCTGCAGAGCGAGGGGTTTCCAGCGCATGTTCTTCAGCAGGGCGGGGGCGGAGCTCAGCGTGCTCTGCGGACGCTTCTTCAGGGTCAGGGACACGACGCCCTTATCGGCCCTCAGCGAGCCGACCAGGTTGCGTAGCTGCCAGCCCACCTGCGGGGCCACGGGAGAGGACGTGGTCAATATAAACGTTATATTTTAACATTCAGCCGGTTTGAATTGTTTCCACGTCGTGATTGGATCTGGTTCTTGTGCGCGAGGCAAGTGGGTGTGGAGGTGGTGAGTCTATGTATAGAGCTTTGCTGTGATGTAACCTGGCCTCAATTTGAAAACAAGTGCAGCTTATCATGTAAACATCTTCTTTTTCAGCCGCGGTCTCCACAAAGCCGTGACAAAAGTCTTTTTAACAATTCCCCGAAAGAAACATGGCTGCTCTGCGCTGACTAGAACACAGTTTTTCTTGTTTTTACCTTTACCCGTATTATTTCTAAATAAAGCAGACACGCCATCTTAATTACATTTCTCAGATTGACCTTAGTTCTGATCATAATTCAGGGCGCAGGGAAGGTTGAAGGAACTGATTACACTAATTAGAATGCGTGCTGTGTGCACTCTGGAAACGAAGGGAACAATTTGCAGCGGTGATGGAAACAGACTCGCCCAACCACGAGAACTCAAGACACGTAATTGCTACATGGCTTCAACTCCAAATATGATTGACAGGTTTCATTATTCAAGTGCTGGATAAACACAGTAAAAAAAAAACATGATTTTTCATTGGAAAACTGGATTGAGATTCACTATTCAGATGAAGCTTTTACAGACTAAAAAACACAAGCTTTTTATTACTTGATTTAAGTTAATTTGTCCAACTTGTTAGCCATGCAAACCGGTAGAGTTCAGACGGTTTCAGAGGTTTATCTCTCTGAAAAGCGGTTGAGAATGTTGCTACAGTACGAAAGTGTGGTAAATAGTAAATTGGAGTTTGAATCATTTTATCATCGTTTGAAAAAGTCATGCAATTTGTTCAGTTATATAATTGGATAAAAAAGACAGAATGGTCCGTTGACATACAATTGACCCTATCCAGGAAAGTTACAGCTACGATTTCGGTTCACTTTTCAACAAATATCTATAATTAACATGTAAATAAACCCCACAGGATATATTTAGAACATATGCAGCACACACACACACACACACAAACCCACCACAGTCTGGTGATTGACTTGTATGACCTCATCCCCTGCGTGGATCTTCTTACAGCGGTCCGCCGGCGACTACACAGACAGAAGACAAACAGGCGACTGTGAATCGATCGCGGGTCATTGATCGCTGCGCGCCAAGCAAAGCATAGCCGAGGCTTCCATATATATGTGTGTGTGTGTTTGTGCAACGCAGTGGATCTCTATTACGGACAAAAGCAACCGGTACGTTTGGTAATGTGTGACATCACAAGGCGCCCGTTACCCCTTCGGTGGTTCCTGTGATCACGTGGAGGCCGTCGTAGGTGGACTTGATGTACATTCCCTGGAGGACAGAGGGAAGGAAGAGGCGTTTGTTTTGCTCCACGAATAAACGATTGCACTTTCCTGAGACCTTTTGGTTCATCTTTCGACAACTAGCAAATATCTTAAGGCTGAAAAGGCCGAGAACTCAGAACCACCACTTGTTTTTAGTGGCGGCGTAATTCGCTTTCACCGCCTGCAGCAGCATGTGAAATGTTAATTAAACATATCTGACACGTTCATTTAGCCGCCGTAGCCTTTTTTTTCCTTAGATACTTGTGCAAAATAGAGATTCAAACGTTGATACGAGAACGAATTGAACTGTGAGCTTCTTAAGTTGACGTGAGGTCACGAATGCAGTCCTTGGCTGAAAAACACGCAGCAGCTGCAAAGAGCTTTTTACCAGCCGAACTGGAGCAAATTAGCATTAATTAGCTGCGGCCGACTTAACGAGCCGTCTGTGACGTCGGACATTTTGGAGAGCGACGGCTGGAAATGAGGAGCCGCTGCCTACACGTTCTTCACACCTCTCTGCTGAGGAACAGCGAGGAGACGTGGAAGGTTTAGCATCAGATTAACACGACGAGATATTCGGCCAAACGGGAACTCGATCCAAATCGGAGGCGGATAATCTCTATTTGACAGTGTTATAAGTTTCAGCCATGACACCAGTATCGGGCACCGAAATTCAGTCCCAAACCATGAGATGTGTTTGCTGGTTGTTTACAACAGAAAGTGCTGCGCACACGTTTTTTGGGGGATTCTGCTGTAACTGCATTATGTTTGGATCCGACTCAAATGTCCCAGAATCAAACTTCTTTGGCTTGTTTTCAACATTTCTACAGAAAAAAACTGAGAGTAAGAAAGAGAGGCGCTATTGAACCTTTATGGAAAATGATTTCTGACGTTTCAGGCAACACTAAATCATGCCAGCATACACAGAGACTCGGGTCATTACCAGGCCCTCAGAGGTCTTGACGTTGGTGAGGTGGACCAGCTCCAGGTGGGCTGACTGAGACACCAGCGGGTCGGAGGACACACACACGATGTGCTCGCACACCTCCGACAGCGTCTTGCACTACCAGAGAAGAAGAAAGAGTCACAACACACAGAGATTTTATTCAAACTGCAGCTTTCGTTCTATTGGAAGAGGATTTATTTTTGGCTTTACTGAGAAAATAAACGTATTGCTCTTAATCTGAATACAGCGGCTCAGCATTAGGCCTCTATTAACATGAGCTATTGGTCATTACGGGAGCTTCCTGCAGCATTTTAAAGGATCCCTTCACCCGAATAACCGAAACAGAACATTTTCTCGCTGTGCCGATGGTTCTGGAGTCGCTCGCCTGCCTTCGGGGAAAAATAATGAAGGTAAATTTAACCTGTGGTGCCTTCAGCAAATCAAACCAGCGGACGGGAGAATCTACAGTATGCTGACGAGTTTATGCACCATTTCTTTAGCGAAAAACAGCTGACAGGCTTTTTTTCCAACAGGAACATTTGAAACAGACATCAAGCCTCCACGGATATTGTCAGTGACGATACATGGACCATTTCCCTCCATCGCTTTTCATTTTCTTCACCTCTTTGCAAACCAAACGTGAGATTCAGCTGAATAACTTTGACTCAAGCTGAAGCCAGACGGCCTTTTCTAGCATCAGAGGACCAGAGCTCCCAGAGCCATGACGCCTTTTCACAGCAAACATCTCCAGTAATGACATTAACAATGGCTCCGCAAAGCCGTGCAGCAAATTAGTGATTGTGTTAGTAACACGTGTGTCTGACAAGTCGAAGTGACTGCTGTGCAAATGGGTAATTAAACTGTAGCTGCCCCCGAGTCCGGGAACAACTGACTCCGAGTAACAGAAACGTGCATAAAACTAGAAGCACGGCAATAAAGCTCCGTAGAGGAAAGTTAGACATGTTTTTGTTGTGATTTGATTGAGCTGAACCTTTAAAGGAATTCATGAAGTCTTGGCAGGAAGAGTTCAATCAAAACATCAACATCATTTTCCATTAAATCAGAATAACGAGCAATACAAAAATAAGTGTATGATCAATATGGGTAAAATAGCTGTGAATGAAGATGAAGATCGACACTAAAACCAGCAATTGAGATTATTATAATGCTGTATTTCACCGTCTGTATGTGTCTTAACAAACGCTCCAAACACGCAATGCAAACGCAGCTATTTTACGATTTAAATAACGCGACGAGTGGTGTGTTGATGTTGCAAATCAGGGACAGAAGTGAAGCGATTTACTCAAGACGTGGTGTGCGAGTGAGGAGGCCACCGCGAGCAGGTGAGCGACAGCCGGCCGAGGAGGCGGGACTCACCACGTGAAGGATCTTGTTCTCCGTCTCGAACACCGTACAGTCCTGTGAGAGAGAGGCAGGATTTAACAGAAACATCAAAGAGCGCACACACACACACACACACACACACACACAGGTGGGCCCCACATCACTGAAGCCAACACCTGCAGACTCCACAGCCGCTCAGAAACACACACACACACACACTCCTACGCAAACACACACACATGTATTCACACACATCCGTCATGTAATAAAACCAGACTGTGAGGACGTAAATAGCAGAAGAATGGAGTCTCGCTGGAGGATGAAGGCAGTCTGAGGCTGCCGCATCGCGCCCACACACGCCGTCGTGAAGGGGGGGGGTATGACAGCCTTCAAAACAGACACACACACACACGCAAACAATTACACACACCTGCTGCACAATGGTGGTGAGCTCCAGGCAGAGCTGGATTACATTATTCCGGGTTACTGAGTAGTCCGCCACCGCCGCAAAGGGGGACCTGGGAGGGACAGATAAGACAGAGCGTCTCAGGAGCCTCACCTGGATGGACGGATTCACACATATTAATAAGACGCCGCTTTATGTCTCGTCCCGGAGGGAATAGTTAACGTCGCGGGTTTTAATTCAGGCCGAGCCGCGAAGTGAAGTAATGACAGAAAGATAACGGTGGAGATTTAATTCCACCCGGTTGTGAGAACACGTGCGATTCGTGCGAATGAATGAATTGTTTACTCGATTGCTCGACTAATCAGACAATTGCTGAAATAATAAAATGACACAAACGCCTCTCAAATCAAGCTACGAATGCAGCCTGTAGCTTTGACAGTGGACACCTGAACGCGCTGCACACCGCGCTCATTCACGGCTACAACGACTCACAAAGGACTCGTGAAATGTCCAATATTGTCCCCGCGTAGCACATAAAAAATAAAACAGGTCAAATAAAAAGAAAAACCCAGAGGAAAAGGGGGACTTCGCACAGGCTGAGAGCACCAGTTTCCACACATCCAACACGCTACTTGTCATTTCTCTCTACGTTTCGGAAACAACAACAAGAAAAAGCGGTTGTTCTTGTGCGCAGGGAGACGAGCAGTGAAGAGGGTCGTTGGACCACAGTGGATTCGCCGCTACTTTGCCACCATTATCTCACAAAGACTCCCACATGTTTGGATGCACAGCCTGAGCTCCCACTCTTTTTTTAATGAGAGAAAAGGGTCTTTAGAGCCGCTTTTCTGCCTCTACAATGTGCATAAATGAGTCCCTTTGGGCACGCTGTGACATAATAGACGATACAGGTGGGAATAAGGTGTTGACGCTGCGGAGAACGTCGACCGCATTATTATTACAGAAAGTCATTATGATAACACATCATTCAGGCTCAATCGCATTCATGTGCATCGTGTTTACAGCCAATAATGGAGGAAGTACTCAGGTCCTCAGGTAAAAGGTGCTCACTGTGTAAATACAATACACGCAAATTCTCACATTTCAAAAAACCATCAGCTGGGCTCTGCAGAAAAAACCCTCCTCAAAACGGTTTTCTGTTGTATTGATTGAATCTCAAAGAGTTTCAGCTGCACTTGTGCACACCATTAGGCAGTTTTGTTGAGAACAATGCAGCATATTTATAGATTTCTAGATTAAATAACTGTAATGGAGTAGAAAAAACAATATTTCCCGCTCAGATGTGACGGAGTGGAAGAACAATATAATGTGAAAAATAAAGAAAGAGTACCTCTAATTTGTACTTAAGTACAGTACTTGATTACTTGTTGCACCAGAGTGCTTAAATGAAGCACAGAAGCGCGCACACACACACACACACACACACACACACTCACACTCACACGTTAAGACATCATTGTTCTAAAGACCCAGATTAGAATTCGGCGACAGCCTCTGGTGTCTCGTATGATTTGGGTCATCAGTATTGAGGCTGTGTGCTATATATATATATATATATATATCTATATATATGTATATATATATACACTCAGGACCTAAGGCTACAGATGTTGTACAGATGTTTGCTCTCCAACAACCCTGCGAACGCATTCAGACAAAGTCGTCTCTGTGGCCGTGTTAATAGTACTAATTCAGAGTTGCTTTCCAATGTGCGTGTGATGAGGGAATAGTGAAGAAAAGAGACGCTCGAAGAAACAAGAAATGCTTGAAATGCGACTTTTAGTCATCGGGGAATAATAACTTCACTCTCCTCCCTGGCAGACTTAAAGCCTTCTGCTCGGTCATGTCCATGTGGATAGAGAGATAAAAGTAGATGTTTGAGGATGCATTAGGGTATCAGAGGCAGGGAAATGTGCTCCTGTGCCCACGCTGTCATTTCATACATGGAAAGGCTGCAGAATGTCTTCTCAAGTCATTGAGGGGGGGGACATAGAAGATGCTGTACATTTGCTGCCCGAACTGCTGCTGCACTTTCCCTGCACTCTGACGTGGAAGATGAAAGTTTTACCATGTTTTATTCACATTCCTCACTGGTGTAAACCATCCAGGGCAGATTCATCTTTGGGGGCATTGAGGCAAGACGGATCGCAGCCCAACGTCAACCATTTTCACGCGATGAGATTCCCTCGAAGTGGGAGCATCCGAGTGTCCGAACGCGTCGTCACGTCTCAGGAACGGAGAACAGAGTCTGCCGAGTCTCCCACATCATCGCGCGGGGGCGAACTTGCATAAGTGCGCGTCAGCGTGTGCAGATGTGGGATTGTGTCTGCAAAATGTGTGTGTGTGTGTGTGTGTTTCGAGCGCAGTGCGCGGGTGTTTCGGCCGGCGTGCCGTTGGCAGAGTGTCCCCGTGGACGTGTCTTTGCATGCTTGTGTGCGTCCCCGTGTCCAGAGGACAGATGTGGGCGTCGGGGCATTGCAAGAAGCCCACGCCGGAGACCTTCGGTGTCGCGTGAAGCAGGAGGAGAGTGAGTGAAGTGACGGAACGAAGAAACGTGCGCATGTTATTCAGTTGGAAAAATGCTTTAAGTACAAGTACAAGTATTTCTTTTTTCACCTTTCTTTCTTTATCACTTCCTCTCACTTCTTTCTCTCCTTGTACTCGATTGAGATTTGTCACTAATTAACACCTAAATCAAACGTAACCATCTCATCTTATTTTATCAACTTATTCCATCTCAATCTCATTTTGTCCCACGTATCTTCTCTCATCTCAATTCATCTGATCTTCACTAATATCATATATTACACGTCTGCATCAGTATTCTACCTTGTCCCCAAACCAAACTGCCTGCTCCTCATATGTTATTATGTTACACTAAATCGGATGAAATTGCACTTTCCTGTTTCGTGTTGGTCTGGGTTTGTCTCTCATGGTTGAAATGCACTTATTGTAAGTCGCTTTGGATCAAAGCGTCAGCTAAACGACATGTAAAGTACATCTTACCTGTCCAGCCACGCTAGCAGGCTCTTGGCTGCGGTGATGAGGTCGACCACGGAGGTCAGCAGGTCGTTGGGGAGCCGCCGAGAGGACCTGCTCTCCGATTGGCTGCTGCGGCGGCGGCCGGAAATGAAGTTCTGCAGGTTTTTGGCCGAGGCGCCGAGCTTGTGAGCCAGAGTCCGGACGCTCTCCGTCTCCAGACCCGAGTTCTGCACACGCAAACAAACAAAGGTCAGCTGATCCTCCAGACGCCAAAACAACGAGGGTCTTACTGGTAAACAAGTTCAGCATTAATGATCCAGTGATAGAATATGTAGTTTATTCTGAAATGCGCCATTTTCTCGCTCTTACTGTATATTTATGAATACTCATCATACTTTTACAAGCATCATTTTGAGTGAAAAAACTTTCTTAGTACTATTTTGTCACAGTTTGAAGAAGGTTTAAAGTGGCGTTTTCAAGCGGCTGATGGCGTTTTGGGCCAAAGAAACCCGCGCAGGAACCCACCAGGGCGCAGAGCAGGTCCACGGCCTCCAGGATGAGCTCCTGGTGTCCGATGCGAGAGACTCCCAGCTCCTCCAGCTCGGCGTGGCTGATCCTCAGCAGCCTCTCCCCGCACACGCCTCCGCGCTCAAACACGCACACGTACTGCTGCAAGCAGTCGTCCAGACCTGATGAACACACATTATCACAGCTGCTCACAACAAACACACTGGCGTTTGTTACAAAAACGGTCGGTTTTAAGGGTGCTGCCTGTAGCCATTTGTATCGCAATTATGAGAATACAAATAACGTAGACAGACATGATGACCTCGTCCCAATGACATCGTCCCCAGCTGAGACACTCTTCAGCTCCCCCTCATCGATAACCGCACACATTAGATTACAGGTGTCGAGCTGCTCTCCAGAAGCACCAATCCGCTTTCATGACCACACGTTTTACCTGCAGTTTTTCCTCCTCAAAGTAATCCAGTGGGGACAGATTTATTTTAGTGCCAGAGAAACATTTTTACTGGTTCTTATGTCCCGCTTGTCTGCAGTTTTGTAGATTTCGGCTCGATGCTTTTTCACAGCAGACATGGGATCAAGTGCAGAATACACAACAACTACAACCTGTAGCACAGTATTACAGTTATGTCTATGGGTGCAACACAACAAAGCTAATGAGCTACGGTAGCTTGCTTTGTTAAGAGGCCTCACAGGTCAAATACGTAAGTTCACCAAAGATGAATTTACCCCCCAAAGACCTGAAAGGAAACACGGTATCTGACAGGAGGAAGAAGCCAATCAAGCAGGTAGAACTCTGTGGGATTGGGAGGCGTCGGTGTTGTGAGTGGGACGGTCTCTCTGGATCTGCACGTGCGTGAGCGTGCTTTGTTAATGAGCGTGCTCGTGTGTGTGTGTGCGTGCGTCTGGCCCGGATGGGTTTGCTGAGTCAAAGAAAAAGCAGAAGAAGACAGAGCGGCTCAGCTGCAGCCCCCCCGGCTCCCAAAACAATGAAGGTATCCAGCTTCTAACTTCTTAACAAACAGCCAACTGCCAAACACACACACACACACACACACACACCTCGGAGGAATGAGCATTGATTTCCCCCGCTTCAAGTTGCCGCTTTATAATACACTCATCTATCAAATCCGCACCAGCAAAGATGGGAGGAAGAAAGAAACAAGGATGGCGAGAGGAGGAGGGGGGTAAAAAAATCAACTCGTAAGCCAGCTGCTAAATTGCATGCATTCACACGCACACACAAACACGCACACACGCACAAATTCCATCCCTCATCAGCGACGAGGAAGCAGCATTTGTCGTTTCCTTCCCCCCTCAACAGCCACTACATCTGAAGTCTTAGGGAAGCGTTTCTAAAGCCCTGAAATCCATCATGAACGTCAAAAACACGCCATTTTATCTTTCTAAAGCGTAAACAAACAAAGCTTCCGAGCTCTGCTGCCAATCACTTTGGAATACGAGGCATCGTCTTTTTACCTTCATCTGATTTCGTAAAAGACACGGGACGAATTGATTTGTCTCAAAAGGACATCTCACTGACAGGCGTGGAACACTTGAAGGCAATAAAGTTGTGACTTGTTGTGGCTTCCGGTTCCAATGTTACGGTCGCCTGACGTACACTTTGGTTAAAGTAGCCTCTAAGTAGCCTCTAAGTAGCCACTAAGTAGCCTCTAAGTGGCCTCTAAGTAGCCACTAAGTAGCCACTAAGTAGCCTCTAAGTAGCCACTAAGTAGCCTGTAAGCAGCCACTAAGTAGCCTCTAAGTGGCCTCTAAGTAGCCACTAAGTAGCCTCTAAGCAGCCACTAAGTAGCCTGTAAGCAGCCACTAAGTAGCCTCTAAGTGGCCTCTAAGTAGCCACTAAGTAGCCTCTAAGTAGCCACTAAGTAGCCTGTAAGCAGCCACTAAGTAGCCTCTAAGTGGCCTCTAAGTGGCCTCTAAGTAGCCACTAAGTAGCCTCTAAGTAGCCACTAAGTAGCCTCTAAGTAGCCTCTAAGTGGCCTCTAAGTAGACACTAAGTGGCCTCTAAGTAGTCACTAAATAGCCTCTAAGTAGCCTCTAAGTAGTCACTAAATAGCCTCTAAGTAGCCTCTAAGTGGCCTCTAAGTAGCCTCTAAGTGGCCTCTAAGTGGCCTCTAAGTAGCCTACAGTGAGATAACCAAATCACTTACAGTGCTGTGTTCAAAATGTAGCCAGAATGAATCATTATTGCAGCCAACGCTAAATAATTCAAACTTCTCCATCATAATGAGTTTTTGCTTCGATGTTAATAAACCATTATGACTAATAAATGGTCCCATTTTCTGCATGATTACTAACACCTCCAAACTCTAGCACTCGCATTTCAGAAAACCTTTCTCCCCTCGGCGTGTTCCTCCTTTGCTGTATTGCTGTTTCCTCTTCTTCCCCCCTCACAGCGGGCGTTAATGACCGTTAATGGCGGTCGGGGGGGGGCCTAATAGACGCGAAGCTGATTAAAACAACGTTGGCCCTCGCAGGCGGAGCGCCGCCATCGCCGAGAGAGGCAGAGGAGCAGAAGGGGAGATGTTGACTGCGTGGCAAAAGTTCGCCGATGATCACCATCGCTGATCTGCGTCCGGGAGGGAGAGCGGCTCGAATACTGATGAGTCAAAGTGTGAGTGACACGAGGGTGCACACACACACACACACACACACACACACACACACTACAACACCCCGGTTATGCATGCAGCATAATGGCGGCTGTATGGGATTCACTCTTTTACTGAAGTTTTTATACTTACTTATTTTACGTATATTTCATGGCATTCATCTCTACAATTTATTAGCTATTCTCCCATTTATTCATCACTCTCGGCCTGGATTGGTTTAGCTAACAACGTTTAGCCATATTCTATTTATTACTAACAAGTCTTTTTTGTCCATTATTTTCTTACTATTTGAACCATTTGTTACTTAAGTGTTAGCTAAAAGTAATGTAAATGCTAACTATTAGAAGGTACAACTTTTTATGGACCACCTTTCGCTTATTATTTGAATCATTACCCAAAGCATCAGTTTATCTTTTGACTAGATATTTAAAGACCACTTTTTGATACAGTTCATTACTTTTATCTTACTATTCTACCCATTTTTTACTACTTTTAACTAACCTGCTGTTAATCTATTAGCTTGTTCGTTCAATAATTTACCTTTAAGCTGTTAATATAGCTTTTATCTGTCTATTTCAATAACTTATCATTAAGCTATTTCGATCATAGATCACGTACATTGATCGGTGGTGTCTTCTCTGTGCCACATGGAGCTTGTGTGTCTGTATGTACAGTATACATGTGCATAAAGACATACGTGTGCATAAAGATATACGTGTGCATAAAGATATACGTGTCGGAGAGGGAGCGTTCATGTGTTTAGCTGGTACAGAAAAAGTGTGATTCATCGCTGACTCACACACACTTTAACTCCTACAGAAGCTCACTTTTCACAACAGCGGGCGAGCCAAACTCCCACAAACACCCTCTCTCTCTCTCTCTCTCTCTCTCTCTCTCTCTGACACACACACACACACACACACACACACACACACACACACACACACACACACACACACATATCTAATACAACTACATTTTGCGGTGACTTTTGGGATGTTCGAGAGTCCTATAAAAGATCCGGCCCTCCCTTTCGGGTTGTGTGTGTCACCTGTTCCAAGCACCCTTAAGTTTAGGTAGAGGTAGATGAGTATTGCTGATGCTAAAGCTAATATGTCCAAGGCTAAAAAGTTAGCATCCCCACCGGCCGATGATGCAGAAGGGGGAGGAAATCGCATTGTGCACTTGTGCCGAACCTCCTTTGAAAGGAAACTTCTTCTCCCGCGTCCTCGGGCCTGCGGCGTGCTCCTCGCACGCCATTCGCTCCTCTCACATGCTCCATCAGCTGTCCACGTCAGCTGCCCCCTCACGCAGGGACACACCTACATCGCTACACTAATAATCCTGCTAAGATAAGATCCTCTCTATGCCTCCCGTGGCGTCCATGTGGCTGTTACGCATGCCCCCTCCAGCCGCTCCACCCGCTCCACCCCCCTCATCCCCACCAAGTCTTTGCAGATCAGCTTTGCAATTTCATCAGCTGCCAGTCTACCACTCCCGCCTGTGTGTGTGTGTGTGTGTGTGTGGGTGGGGAGAGAGCGGGATTTATGTTGCTGCTGCTCTGGAAAGACACAAATCCAGTCACATGACAAACACTGTCCGTCAAGCCTTTATTATGACACGTTATCAGTTACAATAAACGATTAGCGTTTCCTAATTTCACGCCTTACTGATATGTCAATCAGTGCTTCGTCTGCTTAGATGTGTTCATGGACCTTTAATGTAATGCCTGTTAAGTGCTGCAAATGAGCGTTTAGAATTGGGAAACGACTGAACGCAACATTCATTTAAACCGGCTGAGCTCGCTGGCGTCTGTTGATGTGTCGCACTCGGGTGACTCGTCGACCTCTGAGTGACCCAAAAGCGTTCAAAACAAATTCCCCTCACGCATCCCCTTGTTTGCTCGGAGGGGAAAAAAAACATACTTTTCTGATGCAAGCCGGCGATTGTTTTGTGTAATCTAAAACCCTCCCGAGCCGCCGCGTGTTTCACCTTAAAAAAGGAAGAAGCGTGGAAGGATCGAGCCCCGAGGCCTTTTCACGCGATTCAATTCACACCAGGGAAATTAGGTGAAAAATGCGCTCGGCTTCCACGCGATGTGGGGCGAGCGTTCCCAGCGTTCCCAGCGTTCCCAGCAGCTCCTCGTGTTACCGTCGGATCGCCAAATGAACAGCGTGGAAACGGCCATGAAGTGATCACACGCGCACATACCGAGTGTCATGTTTCCCTCGGACACACCCCGGAGACCCGGCGTGAGCCGGATACCTGGCTGAAGCTTGTGTGTGTGTGTGTCTGCACGTGTCCAAAGGGACCCGGGTGGAGCCTTCTGTTTGGAGAAGGTTGTGTGTGTGTGTGTGTGTGTGTGTCAGCTGCTCTGCACAGACGGTCTGGGACGAACAACTCACCATCCGCCCACACGCGCACACGCATGCACACAGTGGCACGCGTGCCATATGCACACGAGCAGCCAATAACCTCTCCGACGATGAGGATCTGAGGAACGGACACAGGGCATCATGCGAGTACGTCTTCATCACGATTCATTGCAGCCAACAGACGTGATGAATAACGAGCGTCGCTGATATCGGTGGTTCGTCATTTCTTTCTCACGTGGAGCGCGTGAGATCGGCTGTGAAGGATGTCAACGAACGCCCTGCCGTGGGACGCTGGTAAAGGTCAAAAGGTCAAAAAAGAATGTACGAAACATATTTTTACTAACTGGATGGAGAGTTCTGCATTATTACCCCTTCATTTGTATTTGCCGAAGTGGACACGTATTACCTTTTTAAGGGAACTGCAGTGTTGTCATCACAGCTAAAACTAGGCTATTAAATCAAACTAAATTAGGTTAGATAACAAAGTTAATGGATTGGTCTTTTTTGGTCTTTCTCTAGAGGCCTGGTTGATATTGGCACTGCATGTTGAGTCAATAATGTTCCTTATTATAATGCTAAATATGATTGGTGCAAAACATCGAGCCTCAGGGGACAGAAGAAATCTAATTTCCAATCCTTGATCTTTATGGGAATGTGTATCATGAAACTCCAGAAGGGAATATAGAGTGCGTCATATCGCCACACTGGTCCATTATTCACAAAGGTAACAATAATAATGTGCAAAAGTGGTTTTCAATGTTCACTGAGGCCTGTGGGTACAAACCTAATCAGCCTGGCTCATGAATTATGAATGACTGAAATCTCTTGTTGGATCCCTGCAAATTCACCCACAAGTACATCATTAGACTTTTAGATAAACATTATAATTTAGGAGTTTTCTTTGTTCCATTTACATTTAGCACGTTCTCCAGATCTCAGTCTGACAGCATTTATAAGACCTGAACATGTTTCAGTCTAAGAGGATGTGAGAATTTAAGCTCTGTCCTCCGTTATTAGTCGCATGTTACAAATCTCTCCTCTCATCCAGAGAGAACACTGGGTCCTCTAGCAAGATGATGCCACATAGAAACACTTAAAGAGGAAAATCGATCGAACACAGAGTGACACCAGGAGGAGACACAAAAAGGGAAAAAGACAAAACCGAAGACACACAACAACACAATTACCTCAAAGAGACACAAAACGACTTCTACCGCAGTGTGTTTTGTGTCTCATACAGTTTGGGGGAAATGTCCCTAGGTCCAGATTGTGTTTTTTAAGGGAGGGGGGGGAGGGGGGGGGGGGCTTTAAATGTGCACCCCAGCCCCTCCAACACCCTCCGTTAGGAAGTTCCAGAATCTGCGCAGTGAAGTTTGGTTTTCTTCTGTCACTCACACATTACATCATCACCCACTGATCATCAGGTGCCATGATGCATGGAAACACACACACGCACACACACACACACACACACACACACACACACACACACGTACTACCCACGCAGAATGACATCCTTGTCCGCCTTGCAGCATTACTATTCATTATCTATCAACGTGTGTGTGTGGAGTGGAGGGGGAGGGGGGCCACACCCCCACAGTGTGTGTGTGTGTGTGTGTGTATCTGATATGTTTCTCGCGGAGTGTGCATATAGAGAAAATATTTGATACACGTGCCGGCCGCCCCCCCCCTTTGAAAAAAACAACCTTTTTACTCATCACACCACCTGGTTGCGGCTCCATTTTTCCCCGGTTTCTTACCCAGGCCCTTAAGAAAACTTGGGCCCAAATCTCTCTTTGCGCGAAGGGGGTTTTAAACCCCCCCCCCCAAAAAAGGTTTAAGCGCAGAGTTCCCCCCGCCCCACAACTTCCTATCCAGCGAGACCCCCCCCCCCCCCCCCGCCCTCCCAGGCCACCCCGTCTCTCCGCGGCCAGGTGCCTCCTTCCTCACACCGCCCCGGTCCGGTCGCGCGCGCGGCTCAGCCCGGTGTCGTGTCCCGTTAACGCAGCGCCGCCCTCAGTGCGGGACAAGCCCGGCGAGAGTGCAGCGGGTCCCGGTGCATTCTCCTGCTCGATCCGGTCTGACATGTGTCTCTCCCCCTCCCCTCATCCCAGTGCGCCAGGCCAGTCCTCCCGGTGTGCGTGCGTGTGCGTGTGACAGAGATCAGAGTGGAGGTGGAGGTGTGTGCTCAGCCGGTCCGGTGCCGACAGCAGCGGAGTAAGAGAGATTAGTCACACTGGACTCAACACCCGGCAGCATCTCTCTCCCCCCCCTCTCTCTCTCTCTCTCTCTCTCTCTCTCTCTCTCGAAACATGATTAAACCGTGCACGCGCCCCGTGGGTGGCTCTATGCGCACGTATCAGTAAATGTCTCACTGGAGAGGAAGAATCATTGGGGAAATATATTCTGAGAAGATGTTTAATCGGAGCATGAGTGTGTGGATATTGTGTACGTGTGTGCGTGTGCGCGTGTGTGCGTGTGAGCGTGTTGCACTTTCTGCTTTGTGATAAAACTTCCTGGACAGATCAGACATTTTTTTACCATCAAAACAATGTTTGTCTTTTTTCAACAACAGCTGTTGTTTGCATATATATTTTTTTTCCAAATTCACTGTTTAAATCAGCACGCCTGCAGACGGGGAAATACCCTCTACCCCCCCAGTTACACGCTAGACGTCCATGGCACCATTTACATGTTTTCCCCTCAGTGCATTGCAGCTGCCCATGTGGAACATCGTGCTGTTTATCAGCCGTAAAAGGGCTCCAACTGTGAGTCACGTGAGCAAGGCATCAGAAAAATGTCACTCCACTCTCTTGTGACTCAAGGCCGGTTTCTAAGAAATCTGACAGTCGATTGCAACGTGGAATCAGGGACTTTTTGACGGCGGAACCTTCGGATTTGTCATGTAGACCAAGCACAGATGTTTCCATTTAGCCAACGCAGAGGTGCAAACCAGAGGTTGGAGCTTCCCCTGCCCTTATTTTTGGTTTATTGACCAAAATACCTGAATCCTATTATATTCATCTTCATTTTTAACATCTACAACATCCCCATTCTGTGTCCTTTTGCAGCAGAACTGTTTCCTGTATTAAACACTAAATCTGCTCTGAGGGCCTCTAAACAAATTCTTATGCATATTAATGTTTACTGGTGGGTTGTTGAGATAACACATCGTACTAATGTGAGTCAGTGCAATCACATAATGACACTTTGATTCAATCATTATTCAATTTAATCAAATCATTAAAGATTCATTGCTTGCGTTACATCACTGTGTGCGTTTGTGTGTGTGTGTGTGCTGCAGGAGAATCTACTCACCCTTCAGGTTTTGTCACACACACACACACAACTCGGTGATTCAAAGGGCAAAAGCACAGGAGAAAAAATGGGCGCCGGTTCCTTTTTAATGTGAAGTGTTGCAGCAGCAGCAGCTGCAGGTGGACGGACCACCAGTGACGTAGAGGCACTGAAGCTGTGGACTGAAGCAGAGGACGACAGTTTCCTTTTTCCAACTGAGACCTCTGCTGGTCAAATATTCATATTATATTACTGAGACATGTTTTGGAATATTTCAATAAAACTAGTTCGGGAGAAGAGGATGATTTTTTTCAATGGTTATCTAATAAAACTTGATGAATGATCAAAGTTATAAAGGTCAATTTATTGCTGGCAAGCAGGAGGTCAAATACACTCGCACGTACTACAGTGATCTGTGGAGACGCAGTCAAAGCTCCACACAAAAGGTCAACCTCAGGTTGGTTTTGATACATTTGGAACTAGTTTATGAAACTTACACACAATATGGAACTAGTTTATGAAACTTATACACAGTACATATGCAACTGTTGATAAAGGGCCCGGACAAATAACTAGGTTAATGTTCAAGAGCTTTTTTTCCGAGCATACACAGCGGCAAACAGAAACTATACAGACGATTATAACTCATTCAGCATAAGACTGTTATAACATATTTTACCATTACATTCACTACACTTGAAGCTCTTCTCTATTTAATTCCACATATAGCTGAGAGCTCGTGTCCTGCATGCAAAGTATTTCTTTTGTGTTTAATAGTCTATTTTAACAGAAAACACAGTTTTCTTCATATGTTTTGCTCAGCTGAAGATGAACTCAACTGAGTTGTGTGCTGAATACGAAGCTACCGCCAGCAGCCAGTTAGCTTAATGTAGCTTAGCACAAAGACTGGAAGCAGGGGGGAAACATCTAGCCTACATAAGCAAAAATTCACCTACCACCACCTCTAAAGCGCTTCCCAGCTAACTTGTCTTATCTCAATTGTTTAAACGGTACAAAAACAAGACGGTTAAAGGAGAGGTGAGAAGATGGGAAGCTGTTGCTTCTACCTTTCAACCAGGCTGGGCGAGAGTGTGTGAACCATTTTCCCACGCGGAGACGTCAGGGTCACCAGACAGATTGTTAGAAATCCCCCTCAGTGAAGGAAGAAGGATGTTGAAATAAATTGCCTAATTTTGACAATGCGAAAGTTGTGAGGACCAAGAAGGCGTCAAGTGACCATGACGTCATTGAGCCAGACAGCGTTACACTGTGACAACACTGCTATTTCAAAATACTGCATTTATTATCAATAAAGTATCTATCTATCGACCTATCTATCTATTAAATCAAAGGGGAGACAACGTACAATCATGTTGCAAAACTTCTCAGCAAAGACTTTACGACTTTCCAAGATTGCGGATGAAGATACCGAACCAGAAGCGGAAGCACTGGTTCTTCATTGGGCACTTTATTTGTCATTAACCAACTTTTTTGAGGAAGTCAGTAAAACCACCACTCGATGCGCTCCAGGCCATGCAAATTAAATAAAAGAATGAGGTGCGCGTTGGAAGCTCCTTTAAATCGCTCCTCGGGAATGTTTGTGTTTTTGTACGTAAAATGTTCTCTATCACGGTGAGTTCAGCATCGCCTAAAAAAAATAGAAAAAAAATAGATTAAGACCAATTGTGCTCAAAGGCCCTTTTCCTGGAGGCCTGGCCTTCAACTCTCACTTCCTCACCATCTGCACAAAAAAATAGGGCAGGGGCAACAGACATGTTCCTCACATTCACTCCCCACGATGCGGTGAGAGAGATCGTTTCCCCTCTCGCCATCTGAGAGGCGCGTTTTATTGCAAACAAAGGGTGATAATCGATCCACACGATCCTGTGTGCATGAGATCCGCGATGAATCAGCTCTTCTTCGTGTGACACGGTGAGTACAACAACGCAAACACTGTTCAGATGACAGACACTTACCGAAGTATCATCGTTTGGATTATTTGTTTCGTTGTATTTTCAGGATCTCCAGCTGGACTTTACATTGAGAGACTGCGATTCCTTGATTTAAAGAACATATTAAAAATGGCTAACGGAGTGAAAGAGGACAAAACAATGGAAAAAAGAGGATTTGCATGTTTCAAGCTGAGTTTTGTTTTTTTCATGCTCAATGTCAGCAGTTCTGCTTTACCAGTCAGAGGATTCTATCTGAAGTCTGGCCGAATCACTGACTTCAACGCCTCGTGCTCCAGGCTTCATCTCCAAGCCGTCCCTCGAGATATTCCCTCGACGGTTCGTGGTTTTGACTTATCCGAGAACAGGATCACAATGATACAGGCGCCCGATTTCAAAAACTTTTCCGCTTTGATAACGTTAGATCTGAAGCGCAACATGATTTCACAAATAGACGCCGGCGCCTTCGCCGACCTGATTTCCCTCAAGACACTGAATCTAAACAATAACAGGCTCACTGCCGTTGGAGATGATCTTTTCCACGGTTTGAGCAACCTCACAGAGCTCAGAATCAACAATAATCGCATCAAGAACCTGTCCTCCACCTCGTTTGAGTCCTTGACGAGCTTGACGTTTTTGGACATGTCCTACAACCGACTGCACCTCTTGACAAAAGTTCACACTATGTTACAGCAGCTGCCCAATCTGCTGGAGCTGTCAGTGAAAAGCAACCTGATAACCTCCTTCCATTCGTGGGACCTGACAAACCGCTCGCTGAAACTCACTTCCCTTGACTTGTCTCTAAATGACATCACCGTCTTCAAGGTCACCGCCGATGTCTTTCCCAATCTCACCTCTTTGAGCATCGGCCGCATTCATTCCAAAAGGACCGCGATGCAGTGGGACATCCGGGGCGGCACTTTTTTCAGTCGCGTGTCTACTCTTGACATCAGCGGGCTTAAAATGGACGAGGCGGCCATGAGACCGCTAGGGGAGAACTTCAACCCCTCGCTGACGTCTCTGAGGATGAACGCAATGAGAGGCACGCGGCTCACCAAGCTAGTCAACGTCTCCTGCTCCGTCCCAACGGTGTCCAGACTCCAAATGCAGCAAAACAACCTGCACTACATCAACGCGAAATTCTTCCAGCTGTGCGCTAACATAACGGAGATGGATTTAGGCAAAAATTCCATCGCGAATATCTCTTACGAGGCCTTCAGATCGCTGCCAGGGTTGAAGATCTTAAACCTGAGTCAAAATAAACTTGCATTTATTACACCTGCCACAGGTAATCTACCGACTCTCGAAGAGCTGGATCTCAGCCAGAATTACATCACCACACTCGGATGCAACAGTTTTGCCAATCTGACCAAGCTGAAAATTCTCAGCCTTCATCAGAATTCAATCCCGGCCCTAAGAAAGTGCGTCTTCGAGGGTTTGATCAAATTGCAAGTCGTGAAACTACAGAACAACAGCATTTCCAAATTAGACGGTGCCTTTTCGATCCACTTGCCAAATCTAAAACGACTGCGTTTGAACATAAACAAACTCACCGCCATTAAACGCGGAGATTTCGCAGGCCTGCAGTCACTGGAGAGCTTGGCATTAGACAATAATATGATCACCACACTGGAACATGGGTCTTTTAAGGGATTAAGCAACCTTACAGAGCTTCAGCTGAGCACCAATAGAATTGATGAAACCACGCTTCCGGAGCGTTTCCGTGATCTGGTCAATTTAGAATCATTGGATTTGAGTGAAAATAGAGTTCAGTTTAAGAATGCATTTTTGACTCCTCCACCGTTTTCTGGGCTGTCCCGTCTGCGGACGTTGGTGTTTCTGGGAAATGGCCGCAGGGGGAAGTTTTCGCTGCCGTACAACCTCCTCGAAGGTCTGACCAATCTTTCGTTTTTCAGTGCCAGGAAAAATCAACTTTCGTTTCTGCACAGAGACACTTTTAATTACACCCCGCGGCTGCAAACGCTGGACATTGGCGCAAACGACCTCAGGAATCTCTCGTCGGAGTTGTTTCACCCCATCGGAGGCCTTGAGAGCCTCTACATTTCTAAAATAAGTCTTGACTCTCTAGATTTTCTCATAGACGCCAACCTTACTAAGCTGGAGTTCATCCAGGGAAAACTGAATCAATATTCAGTTTTAAGCGAGGAAGTTATTAAGTCCATGCCGTCCCTTGTTTACCTCAATCTTCAAGGCAACAGCTTCACCTGTGACTGCGATAACGCTTATTTCCGTAGTTGGATAGTCAACGACAAGCAAACCCAAGTATACGAAGCGGACAAGTTTCTGTGCAACTATCCCTCAGAGCTTAAAGGTAAGAAACTGTTGGAGCTCGACGTCAAGTCCTGCACAGTGAACACAGAGTTCATCTACTTTATCTCCACCACGAGCACGATCCTCCTCTTTATGTTGACGTCCCTCACCTACCATTTCATGAGGTGGCAGCTGGTCTACGCCTACTACCTCTTCCTGGCTTTGCTCTTTGACACTAAGCTGAAAAACAAGCAACAACCCAAGCGGTACGACGCCTTCGTCTCTTACAACACCAGCGACGAGCCGTGGGTCATGCGGCAGCTGCTGCCGAAGCTGGAAGGGGAGCAGGGCTGGAGATTGTGTCTGCACCATCGGGACTTCGAGCCAGGTGAGACGGGCCCTTTGCACCCGGCGTTGGACACCATCTGATTCCAGCGTACTTGCATGTGTACTCCAGAGGGTGTCACCAGAGTACGTGTTGTGTGCCGGACCAATGCAGGTGTTTCTTTTCCCTCCCGCTTCCTCAGGTAAACCCATCATAGACAACATCACAGATGCCATTTATGGGAGCAGGAAGACCATCTGCGTGATCAGTCGCAGATACCTGGAGAGCGAGTGGTGCTCCACAGAGATCCAGGTGGCCAGGTAAACGCGCCAACCGACGCGTTTCAAGACCGTCGCCCGCTCGGTCTCGGAGTGACCCGTCGATTTCTGCCGTTGCAGCTTCCGTCTGTTCGATGAGCGGAAGGACGTGCTGGTCCTGGTGTTTCTGGAGGACATCCCCGGGGCCGAGCTGTCCCCATACTACCGCATGAGGAAGCTGCTGAAGAGGCGCACCTACCTGAGCTGGCCTCGAGCCGGGCAGCACCCCAATCTGTTCTGGGAGAAACTCCGCCAGGCTCTGGGGACCAAAGATGACCCTGGCCGGGAGGAGTTGGTCCCCACCCTGCTGGACAGGCAGTGATGGAGAGGAGGTACAACAATTTTAAGCTTTTTCTACATTTTAAATGTACATCTTAGTGTTTGTTTGTTAACCTTCATTGGAAGCTTGATTCAAACCCACATGGAATCATTTCTCTCCCGAAGATTTCAAATGTAATACATTTGTGGAGAGGACATTTGGGGACAGTAAGGTCAGAAAATGATAGATATGCGCTTAACATGAACAAATGAGCATTACTCTGATTGAAATTCCCACCGTAAGAATTTTTGTAAAGGGATTTTTGTGATGATTGTGTGATATTTTTGGAATGATCTCTTCTATATTTATAAAATGTATCTCAACATAAATTCTTTTTTTTTTCAATTTTTCTAAATCTTTTTGATTTGTTTTGATGTGTAAATGATGAATGCAGTGAAACCCACGAGGACATAAACATGTGTTATAACATATATTTTAATACAGTTTTGTATATTACAGTAACAACTTCCCATGTGCTTCATTTCTCTGATCACAAATATCAAAGTTCACCAACAAACATCAATAACCAATAAATATTAAACAAATCGATTTTCTCAACAACAAAAAAATCAACATTTAGTAGATTCCATAATCCCGTTTATAAAACAGAACAATTATAATGAGTTAGATCATCATTTTAAAGCATCTTCCGGTGCATGAGTGGATTGATGTGCTGGTATCATCTGCTCTGTGAGGCAGATGCTGACGTTGAAGTGATCTGACTCCTCTTCCTCTTCCTCTCACTGCAATGGAAACGGTCACTTTACTTTCTTTTTAGTGCGCTTAAAAGAGAGAGAGAGAGAGAGAGAGAGAGAGAGAGAGAGAGAGAGAGAGAGAGAGAGAGAGAGAGAGAGAGAGCACGCGGACGCGCTCGTACTCACTTGAGGCATTGCATGGCTCTCTTGGTCCACTTGGACGCAGGATTCGCGCACACGAACCTCCCCGGAAAGTGGAATCTGCGGGTTAATGGAAAAGGATGGAACCGCTGCAGCGAATCATTGATATGTGGTCACGCTTCACCGGCCGGGGAAGATGATTATCTAGTCCCCTGCTTGCTTTCATTGAAGCAGGATTCATTGACCTTTTATAAACGCCAAATACCTTTACTCACACTTTAAAACGTTGCTTTTAACATTTGTCTCTGTCACAATAACACCGCATCTTCGATTATATTTGTACCAATGTCCAAAATTAGAATGAACAACAAATGTATATTTCTGGGGGGGTTTAAACCATGATCAGGCGAAAAACCGACATTTGATCAAGTATCCTTTAAAAAAAAAAAAGTTTTAATTGAGAAGAAGAAAGTAATGGTGTGACAGCAGATGGTTTACTCACATCACGGCGTTGATGTCGCAGGAGCTGACGATGGTCTGGATGGAGTAGCCCATCATGCGCTGGCAGTTCCACCGGCGTGACGAGTACATCATGCAGCAGCTGGCTGCACACACACACACACACACACAACCTCCTCATGTCCGTTCTGAGAGCACCGCGTTCTGCCTTTCCACCTGTGCGCAGTCAGCACTTCCTTACCTGAACGCGTGCTGCCGATGAAGGTGCCGAGGAGCACGAGGGCGCACAGGGGCGCGAGGACGCGGACTCTGCTGCTCGCCATGGTTTGTCGCGCTCGGAGTTCTGGCTGCACCGGTTTCTGCGTGTCGCGTTGACGGTGCTCAGTGTGATCGGCACCGCTGGCCCGCGTCCTTAAGTAGGCGCGCTGCACGGCGGGATTTCCCCGCGTCCGACGCCATTGTGTCACCCAGAATGTGGAAATGATCCAGGAAATGGAGGAGAGTGCACACCTGCAGTGCACCTGCACACCGGTACGTGTGTGTGTGTGTGTGTGTGGAAGTGGGCATTTGTAGCCTGTGGAAGGGATTCTATGTTACACATACATTAAAACGACTGTTTTTATTATTATTATGTGAATTGTCAAGTTTGACAACATATTGCAATCCACCTCTTTGGTCAATGATTACAACACTTTAACTTTCCGAGTTACTCAGTAGCCAACTCCTCTCATGTGACTGTTCAACAAGTAGGAATGTTATCATCGGGTGGTTGAGTCGGCCGTTTCCCAATGTGGAAAAGACACACACTGATCTGAGGGTGACTGGACACACTGGTGACACACTGGTGACATACTGGTGAGGTACTGGTGACCCGTCCACGTGTTGATGCTGTGCAAAGGAATGCAACATTTAGAGTGCGTCCTCTCGGGGTAAATGGCGATTTGTTTAGATAGACAGAAATTCCTTTGACTCCTCGATCAGATGTCACCTGAAGTATCGAAGATGGACGCTGAGATCCAAAGGAGGCGGCTCAGGAATGCCGCGTGGACTCGTGCCAAGTGAGTAATGTCTAACTTGCATCACGTTGCATCCAATTCTTGCTGACTTATTACATTCTTGTGTTCAGGCTTTGTGGTCCTTAATAAACCCTCCTCTAGATTAACTAAGAGGGAGAACAGAACAGGTGAAGAGGAAAGTAACTGAACCTTAAGCATGCGGAACCCGTGCGTACAAGTAGAAAGTGATGAGCTGGATGTTATTCCGTGCTTTCGATATAACCGAACTGGTGCGACTCCCGTATGCTGTCGTTATCTAAAAACTTCTAACTATAGAACCAGGATTACGAAGAACTTTGTGTCGTAAAGTTTAATGATGATGACGCAGGAGATAGCAATTAAAATCAGATTCTTAATAGACTTCAGCCTTTCTAAAATTATCCCCCCATTTAATCTAAATGTAGTGTGTTTTACAGCCGATCACAACAGGATTGAGATGCAAAGCATGAACACGTGCAGCGAATGGATTTCCCCACGTTCTGCTGCTCAACGTTTTCTTGGTTAGGATCTATTCTTATACGTAATCAAAACTCGTCATACTCTTAATCAGACACAGTTTTATTACATTAGATTGGCAACCCGGTCTCACAGCCAAACGTGTAATAGCTGCGTTGTGGACGAAAATCTTGAACATAGAAATTGGTAATACATAGGAGCTGGCGGTGGTTAACCACGCCCCCTGAGTGAACAACATGGCGGACCATGTTGGATTCTTGAGTGAACGTCTCTCCGCCATGTTGGATGTTTTGAGGGGGTTAGTGTTAGTTTTCTATTCTTAAGTTAACATTGATTTGTCGTTAAAAATGCAATCATAACACGTTTATTTTACATGGTTAAAGTGTGTTTACGGGGCGCAGGTCCCCGTTCACTCTGAACAGGGCGACGTCATCAGTTAAAGTCTGTATTTATTTTGTATGTATCACTACGAATTTGTATCTTCAAGATTTTCGCATCCATTTTTACCAACAGGTTTTGGAGATCAGGCTGCAAAATCGTGACAATACTACGTTTTATTTTGGCTCATTCATTTACATTCCCTTGCAACTACGTCACTAAACTAATAAACGGAAGGTCTTCTACATTCTCTGACAGAAGATTATGAAAATATAACGTATACTTCTGGCTAGAAATGCCATCGAAATGCGTACAAATGCTGATGCTTTCTTGAAATATTGTGTTTTTCGCAGATAATAGACCGACAGTCCGCCATTTTCTTTTTTTAGCTTTTCTTTTTTCAATCTTGTCAAGCAAAATAATTGAAAATACACTTTTATTTTGATCCAAAGTTACTCTGCCAAATGTCGATGCATCTGCTGAATTTTACAGTTGTCCTCTTCTTCCATTGGCCTCAGACGTGCCGGCTCACGCCCACCATGGATTTCTTATAAAAATTAAGTTCAATTATTAAAAGCCAACCGTTGGTAAGGATTGAGAAATAAAGCATGTACAAAGTTCAGCGAACGTCACGATGGGATTTTCTCATTCCGCCCCCTGGGCTTACGGCAACACAAAAGTCTGCAATCTATTTTTGTCCACAGCCTTCAGGGAGCTAAAAATAGCCGAGGTGCCTAAAATAGTAACTGGTGGTAGAAGTGGGAATGTCCGCAGACGCTTATCACACTGCTGATGTGTGAACTTCTGTTTCCTTGATTTCTTAATGGTGATGTAAGTGTCGTGATGCAACGCGTCGCCACATAAAATGATGTTGACCTTTGATTGTACTCACACGGGTGGAGGAATAAAAGAAAACTGTCGGAACAATTCAAATGGCCTCGTTGTTTTCACGCACAGGGACCTTTGGTCACCGATGAATATTAACGGCAGGTTTGCGCAATGAGTCTCGTCACCTTTGTCTGTAGCAGGGAGAGCAAAATAATAAATTGACCTTGGATTTATCAAGCGCTCCAAACGATCTTAGCTCAGTAACTCATTTCAAACTCAGAATGTTGCAGCCAACAGTTTAAAACTACAAGATGTGGATCCCAAAGTTTCTTAAACGCAGCAAATATGCGAGGGAGGATTCTGGCTGGATGCCTGCGAGAGATAAATACCAAAGAGAAGGGAACTAGGTTTGATCTCCACCGCAATCAGTCACCGGATAAAGAACAATGTAGAAGCTGTAATCTGAGGTTACAGCTGTAAATCAGGCTGGACGGACAAACTTTGCCCAACGATTTTTTGGTCAAAGATTTATGGTGGGCTATAACGCAGAGTGATGCAATGCTGTCTCGTATGAGATGTCTGAAATGGTCTTTTGCTGGGATCGAATCTAAACTAAATCTTGTGACGGAAATGTCTCTTCATGAGAGAAATTCCACGTAAAACAGTACAGTGACTAAATACACACCCGCACGACAATGACAAAAAAGTGTTCCCTCCCTCTGAGATATCCATGGAACCCGTCGGACACCAAACCGCGCCACATTCACACCCATCCCGTGATCAGGACGCACAGCTCCTCCTTCGCAGGAGGCCGGCGGCTCCCCTTGGCTCGCCTCAGCCACGTCAGCGCAATAGACATCGATATTCTTCTGTTTCTCCACGACACTCAAACAAAAACCAGCAGCTTTACTCGTTCCAGGAACTCTGTGAAAACAATGAGCAAAACCCCACACTGGATGATCGGATAACCATCTAGATATCCCAAGTGTTTGGCCTGCCAAAAAGCAATTTGATTCACTATTCTGCCTTTGTGTGCCTGTTTGTTTGTGCAGGGCATTGTGGTTCCTGCAGGCCTTTCTCCAAAGTCAATACAGTGAACTTAAAAGGGGAGGATCAGTAGTTAGGAGGACGCACCATGCATGCTTCCTGCTTTGTCGTGCATGTGATATTAAGAACTCCTTCCCGCTTGATTTCTTCACTTCTGTTTCCTCAACTTTTGTTAAAGATTTCCTTTCGGCCGAGTTCATGTTTCAAATCCAGCAACATAACCACCTCCCTAAAGACTTTGTCTCAAGTATCCTGCTTTTTAAAGTGAGACCACTGAATCACAACAACGTTTTGTTGCGTCCAGCCAGCTGCCAAGGGTCATCAAGGTGGAAACACACGTAAAGTGTGCGTGGCCTCAACGACTCAGAAGCCTTTTTCAAATCTTGTGGTAACTCACACATGTAGACACACACTTATTAAACATTCAGTAAAAGAATTCCTGGAACTCCTGGATACTAAATCAGCTGAGCGTTATAATGATGCCTCAGCTTTCGGCTGACGACATTGGGACTTTGTTTCATTAAAAAAGGTGTGGTATGTATGGTATGTATGGTAGGCAACCATTAGAGTTGAAGGCGCGGCGGTGTAGCCGTGTAGGTCGAGCAGGAAGCCGGAGTGTGAGAGGACACACACACACACACACACACACGGAGAAGCAATGTGGCGACATGCAAGACAAAAAAGAACGTTGGCATTGACGAAGCCTTATTGTAGTTAAGATGTGATCAAAAAACACGAGAATGATGCTGCGTCCATTCGTCATCATGTGTGAGCATGCAAACTTTTTGTTAGATTCAGCCTTAGAGTTTATGCACTGCATCATGTACGCCCACGATTCATAACAGGAAGCGTTGAAAGGTCAGCAAGAGGCAGCGTGTTCCAGGATCTTACTTTCCCCTTATTTAGTATGCTCAAAAAACAAACACATTATCATGTTCTATGGTTTCCGTTGTAAAGTTTATACAGGCCTTTATGTAAACACGCACAAAATCAAGGAAAATAACTGATGGTGCCGTGTGCCAAACCCTGATACCGTGAAGTAATCCAGAGTTTCCAGTTCTGTGTTTCTCTCCAGCAGCCAAAGAAAAGCTCACAATGGAGTGAAAAAAACACGAACCGCCCACACACGAGGAAGACGCGATGAACATGCTGATCACCAACCGAAGACAACTTGGCCTGTCACTCATACTGCTAATCTGGTTTCACTAAATCAACTCTCGACATGCGAAATATACAAAATATTTGCCTCAAAGAAAATGGTCCCGATGTGCATTATCGTACATTTTGTATCATTGTAATGTAAACTTTAATTTACCCGTTTCACGAACGCTGTGTGAATGGATACAAGCAGATTGGCTCAAATTGGTTAAATTTTCCGTTTTATTTACACATATTTACAAATATGTGATTTGTCAAAATTTTTACTGCTCGTGTTTCTTTGCTGTATTTTCTTTTGTCCGCTCACGTTACTAATAAACACAGATAACGCTGACGACTGTTAAAAGTCAAAGTAAACCTGCAGGACGCGGGCATTCCCACCAGATGATGACAACCAGAGTAATAATTAACTTACAAGCCCAAAGAATGATGCAAGTACGAGCCACTCGGCCGTCAATGATTACACGGCTGAAGGCAGATGTACTGACTAACGTGTGCTGTGGGATTAATTGGCGTGAGAAGATAAGGTGGGCTGCGTGAGAGCCGTCGGATTGGGGAATTTCAGAGAGTTAAATTGAAGTGTGACACTGTGCAGTTACATTTCAAACCCATCAAAGAGTTAATTTCACTCTTCTGAGTGTCGCATATGAATCTGATCCTGACGCAGGATTATAGACACCGGCTCTTTCCTACAATTGACTCTGTAGGAGTTGAATCAAACTTTTTGCAGTTTGATTTCAACTTTGCACTTCAACACTTTAAAGACGCACAATGGAAACTCAGCCAGCTTCAACACGTTTCACCGTTAAATATGAATTTTACATTGTTTTTCTGTAATGCTTTCACTCCGGTAAAATGTCTTCGTTTAAAGTTCCACTCAGTTGTTTTGTTCATTTGACTTCCTGTTGTGTGTTAGTAACATGTTACTTCCTGGTTGTAATCACTACAATCAAGCACCCACAACACCACGAACAAGGAAGAAAATGTGAAAACGCAAAGAATGCAGAGTATGAAGGTTCATTCCATTCATTCCAATTTGATCGGTTAACGCTGTCCAGTGCTGCCATGCATTACGACTTAAAGCGACTAAAAGGAGCAAAACCTTGGAAAACTTTTCCACTTCTTTGCGGCCTGAAGAATTAAACCAGTTGGGTCGGTGACAACGAGAATGTTCTATGATGTCACCTAGTTGCTCAATGCCACAATCTGGGCTTTCCATTGCCCTCCACACCCGCTGGAGCACGAGGTTAGCGGGTGGAGCGCTTAATTGTCGGGATGGGAATAAATGGTTGTTTTGTTGGAACTTTATTCTACGCCTTGCTGTGCAACTCGGATGTGACGACGGCTTCAATTACACTATGAGTTTCAATAAGGATTCAAATTACACGGGAACTCCAGACGTCCGTGGTCGAGCCTTTGAGGAGGCCAACAGGTTTGAGAATAACACATTGGTTCAGTCACGTACAAGAGGCAGGATGATTATCTGCCAAAGGTCAAAAGGATTGGCCTTTTAAAAAAAAAAAAGACAGAAAAGATGTAAAAGTATCGAAAACTATTTCTGATTCATCATTATCCAAATCTGTTTTTGGGGAAGATTGTATTCATATTCAACACTCTGAAGTTAATATATATACATATACAAAACATAATTGTGGCTTTGACCAAAAGGGTAATATTTGTTTATTTATTAATCGATATTTTAGGATATTTAGGTTTTAACTTTTTTCCAGTATAAAAGAAAATCAAGACTTATAGTGACGACTATATTTGAAGGAATAAAAAGTATGTGTACAGGGTAAAAATAAGAAGGAAAGGAGTCCTCCCGAGGGACCCATTGTGGAGTACCTGCAAATATCTGACAATCTACACATCAACACACGAGTGGGCGACGATTTTAATTATTTCCGGGTTTATTGAATCTTTAAAGCAATCGATGAAACTGACGAGCGTGTACGCACAACAGTTAAATAAAATTAAAAACATTTAAATACACAGAGCAAAGAGGGTGAAAAAAAGAATTATAACTTCATTAAGAATATCAAGGAAATATTAATAACATGCGTACAATTGTCAAGGCAATGACGTGGTGGCATTTGAAACATTTAGACTTAAAACTTCTTTCTTTAGTGCAGTAAAGAAACAAAACGGGCTTGTATTCGACATCATGGCGTTTTTACAGACACTGGTGAATCTTAATTGGTGCTTCTTCATAATGCATTTAGTCCTTGACTAGTTTCTTTATAGTTCTTGTACAAAAGGCAACAAAGTAGTTCATCAATATTAGATATGAGTTGACAGATAATTACAATCCCTTTCTCGTCATTGTGGAGGTTGGTTGATTGTTTTGTTTCAAGCCTGTGTCATTTCTGTAGATTTGTGTCGGGTCCGTTGGAGCGTCACTTCACACCGCTTCCATGTTTGCAGAGGACACGTTGTGGCATCTACCTGCGTGCAGAGAGCTTTGCTCTGCTGGCTGGAGATGCAGAGGGAGAGAGAGAGAGAGACAGAGAGAGAGAGAGGAGAGGATCCCCCACGGGGGGGGCCGGCTGTGTGCAGATGTGTGCAGATGTGTGCGTGTTTCCTGCATAGCGAGTCCCGGGGGGGGGGGGGGGGGGGCGCGGTCCCCGTCATGCGTCGCCCCCCGAGCGCTCGTCGGGCCTCAGCCTCTCTCGCTCTCGGTGCCGCTGGATGGCCCGCCAGATGCGGCAGAGTACTCCGCCCCTGCGGGGGGGAGAGAGGGGGGACAGATCGATGGGTGACTGCGTCTAACGTGAGAAACGTCTTTCTACCAACACACTGAAGACACCGTGGACTAAGCGAGTTGTTGTGTCTCCTCTGGACGCTCTGAATCCAGACAGTAACAAGAGTGCGGCCTGGTTTCGTGGCGACTAAGCGCGTTGTGCGGAGGAGATACCGTAGACGCAGGCGGTGGAGGTCGTCTTTGGTAACTTCGGCGAGGACGTCGATCAGCGTGTACTCCTCCAGCACGAACTGCAACACAACACATCAGACTGAGAGCCGTCTGAGCGCGCGACTTGCCGCAGCGGGACGGGGGGACGGGGGGACGGGGGTTCAAACCTTGTCTACGGTGTCTGCGTCCGCCCCCTGCTCCTTGAGCCAATCAGTGAGCGGCTTGTCCGGCTCGTGGTCCGCCGGGATTTTGAAGATGGAGGGAGGTAAAACATCTGTTGGCAGGTGAGAAGTACGGAGTTAGAGCCGAAGCGGCGCCACGGCGGCGGTTGGAGGCACCCGTCGGCGCGTTCACCTAGTGGCCTGTGTCGGACTCGGACCAGCTCCGTGTCATGTGACCTCTGCTGCAGGGTGGCCTTCAGGACCTGCTGGTACTCCTTCTCCTTCTGCAGCAGCTCCTCCAGCAGCCTGCAGCGACAGTCACATCTGTTACGACAGCCAATAAACCTCACAGGCGCACAGCATGGGGGGCCGGGGGGGGGGGGGGCTGCCAAAACAGAAACGTACACTAGAGTGCATGTTGTGTATTGGGTTACTACAACTCAGTAAGAAGATACCGTCTATTCACAGAGAAAAGGAAAAGGCCAGAGACTCTCGGTACCTTACAGTGTGTATCAGAGTGCAGTCGGCAATGTGCAATTTATTTGTTTTTTGCAAAATACCACTTTAAATGAGATCACATTGGTCTTTGCAAAAATGGACAGAGAAGAACACGTGAGCTTATTAGCGGCGTCGTGTTGAATGCGTCTCTCTCTCTTACGATCTCCGATCGCAACCAGCGATTCAAAATGAAGCGTTTCACACATGCAAACTCAAAATACTAAGAAATGCACACTGGGAACGACACTTTAAAGGTTCTCTCTCTAGCTGACAGACGTCAGTGCTGCCGGTCCGCTGCGCGCCGTCCGCATAGTGATGCTCAGCCGTTTGGTTTCTGTCTGGCCGGCATAGACGTTTTAAAGACGGGTGTGTCGCTGATAGAAATTAAAATCACATATTTGTTGCTGGTTTCAGTGAAGACGTTAACATTCTTTCTGTGTTTCTAGGTTGGAGGAAGGAATCATCACAATGAAGGAAGCTCATATGCTCCTGATAGGATCTTCTTTAACAAAGCATTCTCCACACAAAAAAAAACAAACTCATTTCAAATCTGAATCTTTGCACGAATGACAGTAATGAGTTATTTTTGTTAAGACATTTTGACTGTAATGTCTCTCGATTAATAATAAATCCAGAAAGCCCTTCTCTTGCACGGGGCATTCACTTTTCTAATATTAAATAATCACTGCAACCTTTTTTAATAAAAATAAAATAAATATCTTTTAGTTTTTCATTATTTATTGTGATGTTTAAATATCACATCAGTGTTCAAATATGGACGTTTAGCTGAGCTATTGTGTCAGCGTGTGTGTGTGTGTGTGCGTTTATCTGCAGGTTAAGGGTGTGTGCACGTTCTTTCCGGCCCTTTCACTTATAGTGACATGAGTGCTTTGTGTGTGTGTGTGTGTGTGTGTGTGTGTGTGTGTGTGTGTGTTTGGGAATCGTTTCGTCATCGTTTGTACCGACATCAGATGAGAAATAATCGATTGCACAATTTATTGAGACATTGTGTGCGATTGTGTTTCGGACGTTTCGCTATTTGTGTATTTATTCTTCATCTCGATGCGCTGCCACGTTTTCGTGCGTCTACCTGTTGGTCTCTTGTTTGAGGCGCCCCAGCTGTACGCCCAGTTGATGATGCGAGCGCAGATGCTCCTGCGAGTTCTGCCTGCAGGCCACCGGGTGGGCGGGGTCAGCCACGGCGGCGTCATCAACGGGCAAAGCCAAGACGGGACTGAACTCCGCTTCCTCTTCGTCCACCTCGTCCTCCTTCTCCGCTCCCTCACACTCGGACGCCGGGCCGAAGTGGGTCTGCAGCTCTGTTGGAGGAACGCGATCGTGTTTCATGTTGAGTGAAGGACGAGCGTGCGTCCACCAGATGGCGGCGAAGGTCTCTGAAGGGCGTCTGACCTGGAATGAGGATGGTGATCGCGGCCTGCACGGCTCGGCGGATGATGTTATCCATCGCAAACATCCAGTGAGGTTTGATGTGATGGTTCCTCAGGACTTTGTTTACCTGAGAACAACAAGCAAACAAACCGCCGTGAGCGGATGTTCAGACAGAGAATCAATTTAAGTCCAATTAGCTCCGCTGTGTGTTACAATAAAGTTACAATTCAGTTTAATCTGCATCATTTTGGACGGAAGGTCCATGTGTGCTGACCGAGTCCTGGAAGCCGAAGAGCACCAGCTGGATCTGGTTGATGGAGGTGGAGTCGAAGTCCAGGTCCAGCTTGAGCTTGGAGATGGTGGCCGCCATGACGCGCCTCTCCGGGGAATGGATGAAGTCTCGGAGGATGCAGATGATCTGCTTGATGTGATCGACAGAGAGCTGGAGCTCTTCAATGCCCTGCAGACGCACACACACGCACACACGCACACGCAGACACACACGCAGACCTAGTAGACATCCTTTCTACAGTACATTGGTTCATTGTATTTTAAATCAGAAAACTTGCCACAAAGAGGCAGAATATAAACACAATGAATGAATACAAACCACAGATATTAATACAAATTTGAAGCCTATCCGATTTTAGTGCTTTCGTTGTGTGATGTTAAAAAATGTGCGCCACCCAGTGGTAGCATCACGTAATACAAACCATTTCTCTTAAATACTTGAACTTTGTGAAAACTAATATAATTGGATAATTGGATGATAAATACAAATAAAGTATTACTTTTCATTAAAAACGAGGTAGGAACATCTTGTTGGTTCATTTGTTTCTTCATAAGAGCCGCAGCTCTCAGCGTAACACACCTGGATGTGGTTCTCCTTCAGGTTGGAGATGACCTTCGCCTGGTCGTCGTTGAGCACCTTGAACAGAATGGCCCGCCTCTCGCTGTCCTTCTTCAGCAGGAACAGACCGCCGTCCCTGTCCTCGGGGGACGGGGGCGCGCTGCGGTCGTACGACGCCGAACCCTCGTCCGGAACACTGCGACACACACACACACACACACACACACACACACACAGTGATCTCACCGCCATATAAAACGAAACATGAAGCGCCTGATGGATTTACAGCGGCGTGACGCGCCGTCCGCCTTGTTTACAGATGCAAGCTTCTCCTGGCGACTGTGTGTGCCCAGGAGAGTGCGCCGGCCGCGGGAGTCAGCCGGGCGCCGGGGTCGCGCACCTACGCACGCGCGCACACACGTGTGTGTGTGTGTGTGTGTGTGCTCAGTCTGCCAGCTGAAGCTCGTAAAGTTACCAGACCTCAGTGCACCTGATGAGTCGTAAAAGGCAGCGGAGCATGCGGCCACCTGCCAACAAAACACACACACACACACACACACACACACACACACACTCATTCACATTCATTCACATCTTCTCACATGACGTGTACCGTCCCGGCAAAAGAAGGCTATTCAGAGGACCAACAATACATTTGACATTGGTGTTAACTTGCAAAAGAGAAATCTGAGCTCCTGAATTATGAATCGATGACGCACCTCAGGTAGCTGGAGTTGGGCGGCTTGAGCGGGTTCTCGGAGTCGGGGCTCTTCTTCTTCAGGAAGAACACGTCGTGTTTGGAGTCGCAGTCCGGGCTCATGGAACCCGGCTCGCTGCTGCTGCTGCCGATGGCCTCGCACTGCAGCTGCACCGGCAGCGACACGCTGTGGATGTAGTCTGCACGGGCACCGGGCGAGAGGAGGTCAGCGGGACGTCGGCGCGGAACCAGTGATCACCTGCAGCTACTCTTCACCTCTCTTTCTACTAAATTTCATTGACAATGAACCTTTCTACAACTTGTGTGTCTGTTTTCTCTGCAAAAAGAGACCGTTTGCTGACCTAACGTGACCTCCAGTGTTGGTGTAGATGTTTGAGTGACCCGACCTGATGGCTTGAAGGCGATCTTGCTCTTCTTGCCTTTGCTGTTCTGTCGGACAAACGTGTCTCTGAGGAGGTCCGAGGTGATGGCTCTCTTGTTGGGGTCCGGCTCGAAGCAGCGCAAGATGAACGACTTGGCCTCCAGGGACAGCGACTCGGGGATCTCCGGGTGGATCTTGAACATTCCCACCTAACGCCGCGGTTTCCCCCGAAAGAATCAACACCATGAAAACGTCTCCCTCGCTCGTCTTCGTCCGCGTGGAGTGAGGCGCACTCTTACCTTGAACATGGCCGCCTGTGGTTCTCCCAACTCGTGGAAGGGCGGTTTCCCAGTGGCCATCTCTATGATGGTGCACCCCAGGGACCAGATGTCGGCCGGGGCCCCGTAGCCTCGAGGGCCCTTGTCGATGATTTCCGGAGCCATGTACTGCAGAGTGCCTGCGTGAAATGAACATTTATGAACAAGGAAGCTGGATCCCACCTAAAGGATGTGTTACAAACCCCGCAGAGCGCCGCCGCTAAAGACCTTTGAAGGATTAAAGTTATTTCCTGATGTCATTCTGAGCATATTTGGAATTTGTGGTCCGCTCTAAATACGGATGTCAACAGTGAGAGACAGACAGAGCTAAACAAAGATGGAGACGGATGAGAGACAGATCAGGACACACACACACACACACACACACCACTGCTAATGAAAGGTAAACACCATTCTGCCTCTGCTTGATTAGCTAATCTAATCACACACCTCGCTGGCAGCTGGAGGAGGCCAGATGGCCGATGAATGTGCAAGTCGGTTGGAGTGTTTCCATAGAGGCTGATAGTGGCTCTCGTCATGTTGAGGGCCATTTGATATTTATACTTCGACATTTCTATGACTCCGCTTAGGCCGCCGGGACTGAATTACCGACTTGTGACGTCTGCAGTTTCTTGCTTTCTCAGCAATCACTTCTTTTGTGTCACGTCTTTTGTTGTTTCGTGCACAATTGCATTGATAGCAGACCATTTAAATGCCGAACGGATGGAAGTCATCTCCTACTAAACCCTTATCGAAGTCTCATCACGTCATTGGATGAGACCGGCTGGCGCTTTGTGCGCAAGACGCAAGTTACCGGTGAACGTCTCCGTGCACGGGTTCACTCCCGCCAACCGCTTGGAGGTTCCAAAGTCGGAGATCTTCAGGACGCCGCTGTAGGTGTTCACCAACACGTTATCCCCCTGATGGAGACACAGCAGCCGTCAACCGCCGAATTTAATGCAAAACTTGTGTGTTTATTGCATAATTGATCAAGCAGCGTCATTACTTCCCTTTCCTGCCACACGTGGACGTGACTCGTACACATTTTATATTTATTTAATCTATTATCTATCTACTGTCCCCTCGAGTAGATTTCTGACTTCATGTCGGGAACCTGTCTCGCGTCTCTGGACGCGGACGGCGCCCCGGACGCCCCTCCAACCGCAAACCTTGATGTCCCGGTGGACGATCTGGTTCTCGTGCAGGTACCGGAGCCCCTCCAGGATCTGTCGGGTGTAGAAGATGATGGTGGCCTCCTTCAGCGGGCCCCATTTGGAGCGCAGCAACGCGGACAGGCTTCCTGGAGAAAGGAAGAGAAGGAGTGTCCAAAACCTATCATGAAACGGGAAGATGACCAAGCAGTTAGAGAGACCGCCCAGTAACCCGGAGGCCACAAGCATCGATCTCTGGAATACATCTTTGTGAATCCAGATGAAAATAGCAGAAAGCAGCAAAGTATTCTTAAGGATCTACTCGGAGTTCAAACTGTTCTCAAATCTTTTTCCTCTCGTACGCAAACGCACCTCCGGGCACTTGCTCCATGAAGATCTTGATGTATCCGTTCTCCGAAACGGAGCCCAGATACTGAACAATGTTCCTGTGCTTCAGGTACTTGTGGAGGGCGATCTCCTCGTGGAGGGGCTGCGAGTATCTGATGTACACGCAGAGAGAGTGAGAAAAAGAGCAAAAAAAAAACCACACACAATGCACGGATCCGGTTTCTTGTGCGACCCCGGCGACAGTGACTAAGGCCACGGCGGGAATTTAGAGAAGGTCTAATTAGTGACGACAAAAGATGTATTTTCCAGCAACACACCTACCTGCTGTCCCTCTCGGGGATCTCTTTGATGGCGATTCGGACCTGGTTGCTGACGTCCCTGCCGGCGTACACCACTCCGTAGGTGCCCCGGCCCAACACCACCCTGTCCCCTGTCTCGTCCGTGTCATACTCGTACTGGAACGACACACATGTGGCCGTTCAGCGATCGCCGAATTGAGGGCCGCGGCGAATGTTTGCTGTCCGTTCTTCGCAACCTCCAGCGTGTCTCCGTCTCCTTCCCCCTCCAGTTCCACGGCGTTGCCCGTACCGTCGGATATCATCTCCTTCACCATCGAGCAGAACCTGTCGACACGACATCACAGCGTTGTGCTTTTTCTCTCCCCCCCACCCCCCCGGTGGCACATCTACGTACTGTACGGGGCACAAACGCTGACAAACACACACACACACACACACCTACACAGACACATCTAGAGGTGTGTGTCCTCACCGACCGCACTGCTCCTCGGTGGAGAAGTAGATCTGGAAATCATCCGAGTTGTCGTGGACGTAGAGGAAGCAGCACCGCTCATCGAACTTACTTATGCTGCGGACGGGAGAGGTGGAGCGCAGGGAAGGTCAGCTTCATATTTCACAGGTTAGTTTCTACTACATCTTTTATCACGTGAGCAGTGACAGCTGCATTAACCCCAACATGCCGAATGGAGACTGGTACCTGATGCCTTTGATGGACATAGCGGTGAAGTTCCACTCGTGGATCCCTTTCTGTAATGAAGGTGACGTAAGTGTTAAACTTTCAACCAGTAGGTAGAAAGGTAGTTTGAAGGTAACTTCATGAAAGGAACTAAATCAAATGTTAATCAATGCAACAGCGATGATGGAATGAAGCAGTAACGAGGCGACGAAGGACGTCCTCTTACCGTTTCAGCGGGAGAAACGTGCCAGATGGAGACGTTCTTCTCCTCCGCCTCGTTGTTGATGGACACATACGAGGGCTGGTAAACCTTAGTGGGCTCCAGAATCAACACCTGGGACACACGAAGACCAAAGAACCAAAGATTCAACAGGCGCGTCGGCTCGAGTCCCGGCAGAACCCGACGGAGCGCCGCGCCGCGTTTGTTTACCGGAAAGCGCAGCCGCTTGGTGGTTCCCTGCGTGGCTTCCACGATGATGTCCATCCAGAAGTTGAGTCTCTCCCGCTGTGGAGAATGTTCCACCGACTGCTTCTTGAACCTCAGGATCAGCTGCAGGTTCTGCACCACCGACCGCAAATACCTGGAGGAAAAATACGCAAATGACGGTGATGATGAAGGTTTCTATGGAACAAAGAGTAATGAACATTGCTGCTTCATAGTATCATGCTTTTATCATCACAAGTGTCAAAAGATGCATCGGTAAGAGGAGGTTTAAACACAAACGCTTGTTTTCACACAGAGATCTCTACTGTCCCGTAAAAGCACCGAGCACAGAGTCTACTATTAGTATTTCGGGGGTAAATATCGGAGAATTCCTACCAGAGAGGCGGCTTGAGTTTGAAGAGCTTCTCTGCAGCCTGAGTGGCTTTGGGGATGTCGCTGGCGAGCATGCCGACAGTGAAGAACTGGCCCACGTCCCAGTAGTTGTTCATCTTCTCCAGGGAACCTTTGCGGCCGAGCAGGCTGTTCAGCCTCACGCCTGAAGACACCGGATTCAAAGTGTGAAAACATTGTAAAATATTTATTTAATACCTTTGAGCTCCATTTAGACACCAACGGCTGCTGTTAATATAGTTATAATATTTGTATTCCATCGTGTTCCAGCACACTTTAAGCATTGTGTGCTGTTTGATAAATCAATTAAAGGGGATGTGAGGTCTTCCTCTTACCTATTTTCCTCAGTTCCATGGAGCTCTCAAACTGTTGCCCCGCAACTATGAGGAGGACGGCCAGGTTGATGCCAGAGTAGAGCGTTGGCTGCAGCTCAAACCCCTTTCTGTACCTGCGCAAATGTAACCGTCACGAATCACCTGGAAGGTGCCACGCGTGAGAGTGCCGCGAAAGGGCCTGCGTGTCCTCACCACTGTATGGCGTTGTCCCTGTTCTTCATGTCCTTGCAGTCCGAGTCCAGGAAGATGTCCTTGTATATCCGTCCGCACAGGCAGAACATGTCCGGCGCCGGGTGTTCGCACGACTGCAGCACCTGCAGCATCACTCCGAGAGCCTGCTCCCGGTCCCCGGGACTGTTCCTCCTGCACGCAGACAAAGTCCAATTGCAACAACTCAGTTATCAGAAGCCGACATGGCAGTTGGAGTAAAAGCTTCTTTTCTCCTCCAGGCCTCCGTGTGAACCCACCTGTTGAGGGCGAACGCGTAGTGGAACTGGATCATGGGCTGCGTCGCCAGATCACAAGTCGGCAGCATCTCCAAAGTCTGCACCAGCTTCACCATGGCGTCGTAGTCCTGTCGGCGGCGCACGGCGGACTCATTTCGTATTTCACCTTTCACATTATTGGACGTGCTTGTTTCCAATGGCGTGGCATTTATGTACCTGTATGTCCCGGTAAGAAAACAGCAGGTTCATCACGATGTCCTGGGTGAGAACCTCCGTGTTGTCGATCCTGAGTTTAATGCGGGAGAGCTCCTTGGCCAGCTCCTCTCCCTGGTACTTCTCTCTGGCCTTCCTGATGTCGTTCAGCAGGGTGTCCTTAAAAGAGGCACTGAGGAGAGACCACCTTTCGTTATAGAGGACACGCCCGTGAGACCAGGTCCGCGCTTTGAGCGCGTCTCTCACCAGGACGTGACGTGGATGTCCTTCAGCAGGCCGGTGAAGCGGTCCGTGAGGGGCACGCACAGCGGCCCCAGCAGGTTGTCCCAGCTGGGCTGCATGTACTCGCTGGCCCTGCGCTGGGCGTCGCTCTCGCAGCACATGTACTCGTGGTTGGGCGTCACGATGTAGGGGATGAAGTAGTAGTTACCGCTGGACGCCTGCAAAAGGGAGGCGGGGGGAGGGGAAGAAATTTAACTAGATTTGGGGCCTCGTGTCAGATCGAAAGACATGCAGAACGCGTGCGAGTCCAAGAAGAGGGCGGGATGGACAGAATGGAGATTACAGAGGGTTTAATGAGATTGATCAGCAGAAGTAGAGGATCAGTGCTCCGCTGGGTGGGATCGTGGAGGTAAGCTCTAGTAATGAGGCTCCTGTGGGTGTTAAAATGCCAAGAACAGCAGGAACTGCACACCAACACACACACACTGGCTTTGTTTTAGTTGTTTTCATGGATTTAACTGGTCTATAATATGATCCTTTGGTTGCTTTTTTTCCGTCATGTGCAACGGTCGCGCGAGCTGTTGTTAAGGCGTTTCATTTCCTAATCACACAACACCACGTGCCGAGGTCGGCGCTCGCCCCTCCTCCATGTTCATTATCGTTATTATTATTAGACTGTGAAAGAATCTCCCAGCATGCCCTAGTGCAGCATGGTACCTACTTTATTACGCAATCCAGAGCCTCTGTATTCTGGAGGCAACTGAACCCACGGAAAACCTACCGCAGGAGAGCGAGTGGCCTTCTCCACACACGCGGGAGGAAGCACACAATGCATACGTGAATAAATCAGCTGCTTGCATTCATGTGCGCGCGCGCGTGTGTGTGTCAAGAATATCATTCCACAAATAGCCTGAGACGGTGTGTGGTCATAAATCACTCCGTGACACACTAACACACACACACACACACACACACACACATAGACTTACTGTGTTTTTCTGCGCCACCATATCCTGTAAAAAAAAAAAAGAATGCATGTGAGAATGGATTTGTAAGAGTGGACAGCAACAGTGTGTGTACTTTGTGTACTCGTGTTGTACTACTTCAAACGTTTGTGTGAAGTAACAATGAGGCCTCCGCGAGCCGCGGACACGCCTGCAGGAGGCCCGGAGAGGGGCATTGTGGGAGTACCTTCAGCGACTGCGCGGTGTCGGGGTCGGTGTCGTGGTACAGGATGACGTTGTTGGCCATGTCGAAGCTCTCCCTCACGCCCAGGTGGTAGAACAAGGAGGGCTGCCGAAACACGTCGCTCATGTCCACAACCGCGATGTCTGCGGGGCGAAGAGGGAATTGCGGCGGCCGCGTCATCGGACGCGAATGATGGAAAGGAACGCGTTTTGGAAGCTTTATTCGTCGGGTCTTGCTTCTCAGAGGTGCACGCACATACACGTCCGAAGCCATTTAATTGTCAGGCGTCAGAGGCCCTTAGGCGTGCTCCTTGTACTGTACTGTGTGCGGCGGCATCTTGCGCAACAGATTCTAGGACATGTCGCCACAGGAAAACCGCAGGAGTACTATTGCCGCAGCTGTGAAACGTTAAATCTTTGTCATAAACAGTGTTCAGAATTAACGATAATGAAGCGTTTGAACTCCTCCTCGACTTACTGTACAAAAGGCAACCGATCCCATCCAAAAGAAAAAAGTGAAAGGGATTCTGTGGCTCTTTGTCTCTATCAGCCGTTGAGATTTCACCCAAAGACACCCTTTGGCATGTTGTGTTCATCACAATAATAAACCACATAAAGAGCCAGTCATCAATGTCTCATTGAGGTATTAACAGGCACCAGAGGTCATTTAATGTTGTACCAGGTTGCCAGGCTTCTGTTTACGTTTATATTTGACATACTAACAGATGTAAATTGTCCATAAACACGTCTTGGCTTGAATTGAAGAATTGAATGCGAACATGCATTAAGCATTGATAGCAGATTCAGGCTGGGAGAAATGAATCAAACGTACCATCATAAGCACAGCTGTCTGTGAGATGAGTGAGTTAGAATCACAAACCCAAATAGGAAATGGACTTGATGCACATGTAATATTAGTAGTTTCACAAAGTATGACGACACCACGCGGTAACAACAACAACTTCATCCTCAACTCATAAAGCGCATAAAACTTTCTTTAAAAAACAATCATACACAAAACACGTACTTCCACTGACACACGCGTGCACGCACACAAACACACACACACACACCTGCGTCGTAGAAGCTGTCCAGCACGGACGTTTCTCCGAAGTCCAGCCGTCCGAAGGTGACGGTGGTGAGCAGCGCGCTCTCCGCGTCGCACGCTCTCTGCAGACACTGGAGCGCACCGGATTCGGGGCTGCTGGCCATCACCGACTTCAGCCCGTCGTTCAGGACGTACACCACCCGCAGGGAACGCTGCTTGGCCGGCGGGCAGGGGCTGGTCACCTCGCCCCGCTCCCGGTCCCGCTCCCGGTCCGCCGCGCACGGCCCGGCGGAGTGCTCTCCTCCCATGTCGGCTGCCTGCGCGCTCTGGCTCGTATCCATTGCTGGAAACCCGGGAGGTGTTTCTGCTTTATCTCCTTCCTTCTGCGTTCACTTGCCGCCTCTCCCCCCCGCTGCTTCTTCGAGTCCGTCACTCGCGTCCTCCTCTCGCTCACTTGTTGCGCAACTGCCGTCGGCGGAGAGGAGCGCGTCTGGGTTTGTCCCCCAACATCTGCGCCTCATTAACTCACATCATCCGCCGATTATCACGCTTCACGCAGACTGGATCCGACCAGGTCCGAGAGAAGGGAGGGTAAAGTTGAGGGTAGGGGGGGGGGGGGGGGGGGTGGAGGAATCCAGATGTTAGCTTTCAGTAGAACCCGGTTTGGTGGATCAGGTCCGCGCTGGATCACGAACGTCACTGCGTCTCTCCGGTTGTCTAAATATAAAAGCGCGTGTCCTTCAGGTCGCCTCGCTGCAGAGTTCTCATGTTTCCCCCCAATGAGTTCAATCAGTTCTTCATTGAGGTCGATCAAGTGTAACACTGTTTTTTCCCCAAGTCGTCAAAGTCAAAGCAGCCAAAACTCTTAAACGGTTACGCACTTGGCGGGGGTCGGGGGGGGGCTTAAGACAGACCGAGCTGACAGCCAAAGGTCAATAAGTCACACACTGACGGGGGGGGGCACGGAATGGGGTCAGTGGCATTTGTCCTTTACTGTAAAGGGTCCAATGCCTCCTAGAGGAACCACAACTCTATTATAATTTATATCCAATATCTATTTTATTTTGTCTGTCTTGTATGTTGTAGTAGAATATGTGCAGTAATTATCGTGTTTAAATAATACTACGATATTAAATAAAAGCAAATAAATTGACCAACATCAGCAGCTCTTGTAATTCAAATAGCTCAAACCTATTAGATGGGGAGAAGTGCTGCCATGGCAACAGTGAATGTGAAACCCAACTCTGTGTCTCCTCTGGGAGGACGTCGGTCTCTTTGGAGGCTCAGGTGACTCTTCAATTATCCCTTCTCATATTAAAACATGCTTCTAGAAACCAAAAATAAATATATTTATATATATATATTCAAAAGTCAAATGCACAAATGTTTTCCTTAATTCTCGTGGAGAACAAATAAGAAATGTCAACATGAATTAGGAGTCAGTATGTTGTTGTTGTGTTCTTTGGGTTGCATTTAACCTTTCTAGTTCTAGTTCTAATAAACTGCATTCTGCAGTGGTTTCAGTGCCTGTTAATGCTGAACCGGGACTTTTAATTCTCCTTTTGTTCTCTCAGACATCATGTGCACGCATGCACTGCCCTATAACTAACATACGAGCAGCAATTGCATGAATGTAACAACATGCGTCCTCTTAATACTGCATGTTACAAATAGACAATTTAAACATTTTTTTTAAACAAACAAATACACGTGTACAGTACATAATAGCATCTTTATTACACTGAAATATAAAAGTATATATTTATCACCATCCTGGAGAGAAAGGACCGAGTCGAGAAAACAACTTGCAGACTCAGTTGTAGCATTTTTTTTTTCTTGTTGTCGTACGAAAAGAAAGAGAGTGAGAAAAAGAAAGATTTGGAGTCGAGAACAGGAAGGCCACAGTGACGTTTGCCATAGATTCTGTGCACATTTAAGGAAGGGACGTGCTACCACTCTCTCTCTCTCACACACACACACACACACATCTGACCTGTGAGGTCCTTTCCCTGACTACATTCCTCAAACCCCGTCTTTACTCTGATGCACCTCTGGTTTTTTATTGGGGGGGGGGGCGACCAGCACAGCAGTTTCTTTTATTCTTTCTGGAATTATGGTGCAAATTAAGTGCAAAACAAGATGAAATAATACTTTTTGGTCCAGAAGGCAATACTCTTCACGTGACAGATAATACAGGTGTCCATGCAGTGACATCACAGCCAAATATTACAGGGCAGTTGTGGATTCTGTTAAAAAAAGAATTGCCTGACATTTAGAGACCAGATGTGCACTGATTTGTTCTGTGCACATCTGTTCCTTTAATGAGCACCTTTGACAGCATCAGCGGTTGTGATGTGGAAACGTCTTAATTCAGTTGATCGAGGGGGGGTGGAGACTCATGTGCTTATAGTTTTAGCCTTTGCCAACAGGCGGAATATTTGACTGCAGGTTATGAAGTCATGACATCAGGAAGAAAAAGGTTTGGGCTGTTGATGCTTCAAAAAGCCCTCCGCCTGCAGTCAATGTGCGAGACCATCCAACCCCGGTGTTAACGAGGACACCTAAAGACTTTGAGGACGTCCCCAATCTGACTGCAAGTCGCCACATGCATGCCAAAACAAAAACACTCTCTCACACACACACACACACACACACACACACACACACACACACACACACAGTGAAGAGGTGAAGGCCGCAGAGTGGACGCAGACTATAGGAAGTTTGAGTCTCCTTTACGCTCAAGAACCAGCGACGTCGCCACGGCAGCCTCTGGGTCATCTTTCCATCACCACGGCGACACACGGCCGGTGACAGCACCGGCGGCGCGGCAAGCTTTTTTTTTACGAGATGGCAGTAAACGTCACACGAGAAGCCTCTTTAAAAATGAGAACAAAGAAGTAAACGCTGGATAAGGCGACGCCAGAGAGGGGAAGTGGATGATTCCAGGGAACGGTGCTGTTGCTGATGCTGGTCGTGACCATCGTTTTGGCACAAACTTTGTTGCGGCCGAAGTGCATCGGCCGACAGGGAGAATGTTTTTAAACGTGAGCCTCAGAGGACGCTTTAGTCTTCACTTCGACATGCTCTTCTTGATGTGCTCTACCTCCATCTGTGCAACAAAGACACAAACACATGACAGACATTCAGCTTAAAATACTCTCCGGATGACATAATGGCTTAAGATCATCAATCATTTTTATTTTCAATTTAAACATCAACCACAGAACCGTCTTTGTTTCTTCATCTAAACTTTACGAGTCTCACCTGTAAACTGACACGAATCCTCCTCTCGTCGTCCAGCGCGCTGCTCAACTGTTTCATCTCCTTCCTGAGAAACACACAATCACACCATGACTCCGATGCACACACTCATGCACGCTTGTGTACACACACACACACACACACACACACACACGTGTATAATGATAAACTTTGTTTGAACTTTGAGTGCTTTAGCTGAGCGGACACGGAATTACAAGATGGCAAATGGAAGTCGATAATACAAACATTAAATGGAATAATAACAGTTAACTAAAGAATACAAGAAAAAAAGTAAATAAACGTGTTGTTGGAATCTGTGAACCGTCACTGATAAAAAGCCCTTTGGGTGATTTTGACGGTCGTGGTACCTGTGCTGGCTCTTCAGCTGTTCTACAGAAGACCTCAGGTCCCTCAGCTGCCTCCTGAGTTCCTCCAGGGTCGGGGGGGTCAGAGGTGACTGCCTGAGCTCGGGGGAGGGGCTCAGACCCGGGGACGAGGGGCGGTGTCTGGCGCTGGGCGGAGTCAGGGTGGAGGGCTTGGTGGGCGGCGGTGCTTTACTGTCAGGTACCTGGAGGCAAACGCAAGCACAGATCAGAGACGGGATTATGAAACATAACTGAGCTAAAATCTAAAATAGTATCATTATTGTTATTAAAAATGGAAATTGTAGACGGAGATTGTTATCGCCAACATATAAAAAAACGTATTAATTATGTCAAGAACAAACTGCACTTCTTGCTGGTTTTAGATTCCCTCTGTAATAAAATCCTAACGCTACGTAACTAAAAACATAAATACATCGTCTGCGGTTTGCACGCTGCTGAAGAACATGGAACTATGCGGCGTGGCGCCCTCTGCTGGGTGAAGTAGTGACAACGAAGGCGGTCGTACGGGGACAGCGGGGACTCCTTTCCTCACGGAGACGTCTCCAGGTCTGCAGGGGACGGACTCGGGCTCCTCCCTCTCCTTCCTGTCCATCGCTGCTGGGGAGTCCAGGTCGATGCTGGACAGGGAGGACTGCAACACAGAGTCACCCGATCGGGGCATTTAAAGACACTACAGCTTTGCAACCCTCGAAAGGAAATATGTCTGTTTGTTGCACAGATTAGATTAACTTTGGTATTAATCAGAGCAACACGTTCTCCACAAATATACTTTGATTACTGATTGATTATGCTGGACAGCAAGCAGAGTTTTGTAGCTATTTCATGCTGCATAAAGTACTTTGTACTACAGTCATAATGAGCAATGCTCTTTTGTACTTTAAGGAAAAGATGCACCGTGACTGTGATTTGAAATCAGGCATCAACGCATCAATGCATCCGTGAGGAACAGCTGCTGGAGGACGACAGACGCTCACCGTCGAGATGACCTGCGATCGAGGCCGGCGGTCCGTCACCCTCGGCCGCGACGCCGTCGGATGACTCAGCTTCTCCGTGGTCGCCACCACGACGTCGAGGTCCACGCCTGCAACACAGAGAGCAGCCGGTCGTCAGCCGCAGGGCGCGCGAGGGGGGGGTGAGAGGGGGCGGGAAAGAGACGGCGCGCTCCGTCAGTCACCGCGGCGCCACTCTTTGATCTCAGCGCGGGTCGATGCTCCCCGTCTGTCCAACTCACCAGCGTCATGTGACCTGTCAGGGGTGGAATCTGGTGTGGAAGCCCCGCCCTCTGACTTGGGGCTTTCGCACCTGAGCGGGTAAACCAAACGTTAGGCTGTGGATGCTCACGAGTGTGTCGGATGTGTGTGTGTTTGTGTGTGTGTGTGTACTGACGCCAGAGCTGGCGGTCTCTCAGGACGCCGAGGAGGTTGGGAGGAGGAGGAGGAGGTGCTGGTCTTTGAGGGGTGGGGTTTCTTGGGAAGGATGGATGGGAGGGAAGGCTTTGGGATTTCTCCAAGCTTCACATCTTCACCTGAGAGCACACACACACACACACACACACACACACACACACACACACAAAAAATACAACCAGACACACATGGATGTAAAAAAAAGGGATAAAATAACAGGCATATTGTAGAAAAACAAGTGACACACAGTCGCACACAATAAGGTGGGAAGCGGTAGTGAGGCGAAGCCAGAGGAGGTGACGAAAGGTCAGAGTCACCAAAGCAAAGAAATAAAGAGAAGCAGTTGGATTTAGTTTGAGGATTAGAAAGGGATTTAGAATAAAAGCATCACCAGAAGACAGAAAGGATCTTTCCTCTCCCAGCGATCACCTCACGCCTTAAACGCCTTAAAACCACCTGGAACAGCTAAGAGCCGAGCGACGGACGCATTCATTTGAACTGAATGGATGAATTATCATCACGCCATTATCGGATTATTAACTATTAAATTCATTGTCGCATCGCTACTTAAATCTGTTTAGAAAATAAAGTCAAATAAACGCCACACGAAAGCGATTGTGTGCGTTTTTCCTACAATGAGACAACGGGGAGCTTTGCGTTTGTCTCGGCGGGTCGGCGCTTCCCGCTGCACGCGGAATCGCGCCGACGGCGTTTCCTCAAATCGCAGCTTTGTCCTCCGCTTTGCGACGGACGGAGGGCAAAGTTCAAGCGATCGATTGTTCCACCAAGAGACCTGCGGCGTGTTCCTTTACAAGCGGAAAACATGGTTCCCCCATCGCTCGACGAGTCTCCCCGCTCCACAAACACGTGTGACTGATGAGCGCGTTGGTTAGTGGCGGGCAGAGCGTTGGGAGGCGGGAGCCGGGCCGGAGCGCGTTGGGCCGTACCTCGATCCGGGTCTCTCTGCGGCAGGTGTTCAGGGCGCTCTGGAGGAGCCCTCTTGACCTCCGACCTTCGCTCTACAGGTCAGAGTTTTCACAGGTTTCTTTCTCTCTCGGGAACATGGAAGCAGCAGGGAGGAAGTGAGACGTTACTGTACCTGCGGTGTGTTTAGCCGAAGGTGCACAGGGAGGAGGCGGCTTCTTTGGTCTCTGGAAACACAGCGACATGGAAAAACGTGTTCACGTGTTCACGCATCGCGCCTCTAAAAGCTGCCGCGCGTCTCCCTGCACCAGGATTACCTCTTTATCCACGTCCAGCAGCTTGACAAAGTTGTCCGGGAAGACACCTTGCCGTCCCCCGATCTCCCCCTTCCACCAGCCGGCGTCTGCACACTCCTGCAGCAACGACAGCCGCACGTTAAAGGCTCCATCCGTGCAATGTGGATTAAGATCGCTCTGCAACCAAAGCCAAGTGTTGCCACAGAATTACCTTTGTGAGGATGTTGATGATTTCTCCCTCTTTTAGAGACAGCTCGTCTTCGTTTTGTGCTTCATACGGAAAGAGGACTTTGCATACCTCCCGACCTGTCAATCAAATTCAAGGCAAAGTCAGACATGAGGAATTAAGACTTTCTCTACGTGTGCTCTCGCTGAACTGCTGTCCCGCACGGCTGTCTGCGTGGGAAGCGTCACTTCTCACCTTTGGCTTTGCCATCAGGTTCAGTCTTCATGGTTTCCGGGGCAACGCTCGCCGCTTTCCCGTCGTTGACCTGAAAGGACGGAGGGGGAAAATCCTTTAGTATTCCCCCGATGCTCGGATGTACTTCCATCAGCAGCAGATCTCATTTTGTAACCGGGGGGGCGATGAGGGGGGGGGAGGTAATCCGTCTTATTTCTGGTTCGGGCTTCCTGTTCTTGTTTCACAGACCTCTCTAGAGAATATTGTGACCCGGTTTGATTCAGCCGTGGTTCACTCACTAATATTGATGGAGACGAAGAGCCGTCTCCCTCCCGATGCTGCAGATGACTCATTTATCGGTTCACCTTTTTTACGTTCTTCACTTAGGTCTAAAAGAAGAATCAGGGTTTCTCTGCAGGTGTCCGTAAACGTCTCGGCAGCCGCACGCCGCAAAGACATTCACTCCAACGGAGTAACGAACTGGGGAAACGGGGGCAGTTCCGCAGCGTTTCAGGTGCTTTAATCGAACGAAGCACAGAACGTGTGGCTCAGTCGAGAACTCCTTCACAGATTTAAAAAAGGAAATGTGCCCAACCGCCAAGCGGCATATCCGCCCGGGAGTCTGAAGGGACACCGGTGACTCGGTCCTGCTTCCCTTCCTGAGAAGAAAATGGCCCCCAAGGTTTTTGTGTGTGTGTGTCCCTCCCGTGCACACACACACACACACACACACACACACACCAGGAGCCCAATGCTCTCGTGAGGGAGTGGGCGGAGCCTGTAATGATCCTGCCCGTCGACCCCTTACACACACTTAGTTAGCATGCTAACATTAGCACTTGGTACAGAGAGGGAACATGTACATCCAATAGCTGTCATGTGACCGTCTCATTAGTGTGCGCGTGTGTGTCGTTGGCGTGCGCTTGGTGTCGGTTATTAAAGGCGCCGTTGTTTTTCCGGCTGGAGTGGATCCCTCCGCGGTGTTTGTGGAACCAGGGTGGCTCTTCCACAGGAAAGCACACACACACACACACACACACACACACATTCACAAGAGCCGCTCTGTCCCGAAAACACACACAGTTCTGTTCGGCTCGAGGGAGAGAAAACACCCCCCCTCCCCCCTCTAATGAGACCCATGTGGTGCCACGAGCATCGAGACAACATCACATGTTTCTGTGCCGCTTATAGACAGACACAGGAAGTACTCTGATCCTACACAAATAAAAGTGCCTCGATATAATGTTTAATAATATACTGTAAACAATCCGTAGCTTTTAGGGCGAGTTATTAGCAGAAATGAAATATAATATTAACCTGAAAAGAAATACTGTGTTTTTGTTCCCTTACATGAGCAGGTTGTTAATAAGCGAGTCAAAGATCAGGAGCTTCACTTGGTTGTAATCTGTGACCTCGTCACTAGATGCCACAAAATGCTACATTGTAGACCTTATTAAAATATTAACATATATATTTATAATCAGGAAAATCTATTGTAAATCTAAAGTGCTGTTTATATATAAACACATGAGAAAGCTGATTGTTTTAGTTCATTTGAAATTCTTCCATTCAAATTCTGAAATAGTTTGGCCTTAATATTTTATACTGATAGGTAGTTTAATTTGTTTTAAAAGCTCTTCTTATTTTCTAAATCTTTCTAAAATCTTTATTAACCAGAAATGAAGTGTAATGAAATGGAGCAGGTTGTTTGTAACAGGAATCAGTCGGACTGTTTTCAGAGGGAAACGTCACATGACCCCACAGCTGCGTTTGCTGGCTGCTTCAAGGCCGCGTCGCTGTAAACCAAAATGTGACCAGATGCAGGAATTTCAATCCGCCGTCGCTTTTCTTGCTTCACTGTAAAGTCACACGCTCAGTTTGCTCCGGAGGCTTTTTACACCTTTTTAACTAAGAAAAAACACAAAAATACGACCTGCAGTCACATAATACACTTTCCATCCAGCGGCAAAATCAAACCGTACTTTACAATAGTGTCTTTTGACATTAAATTGTATTGTATAAACTTGTTGATTGTGAGATTATAACTGTATTACTACACAGTGGGTATACATCGCAGAGGCCGATTCTTCACTTATTATGAGTCAGTCAACGGAAGTTTCATTAAGCAGCTGCTCGTTAGGACGTCGGACGCTTTTAAACCACCTCTTGCTTCCGTCCTAAAGTGGACGCGGCTCCGCTGTGGCCTCATTAGAGAGACATGCCCCCCCCCCCGCCTTACAGGAACACCAGCGCCTCCGGCTGACAGACGTCCCTCAGATGTCCGGAGGAGCCGCAGGTTCGATTCCCGCTGACCACTTTTTGAAGGTCTCTTTGCAGATGACACTTCCTCGTTTATTCCTTGTTTCCATCCTGCGTCTCTCACCGGCTGCTAGTCTCGCTCTTGTTTACCACTCAGAGGATGACATGTTCCACATGCAGGATTGAGCAGTTTATTAATTAGATTTTAAGATAAAGGGGAACAACGTCACTTTTTCATTGAGTTTTATGTCAAAACTGTTTAGTATTTTACTAAATGCCTTTTGGAATTGTGTTCTGTGGAATCCAGTGGATGTGAAATGAATGCGTCAGTTCACCACATTTACAAACACATTTTGAATTTACTTAAGAGCTTTTACAGAATCTCCAGATCTACACTTCGACTTCTTATCATTTGGGTGAACTGACCCTTTTTTCCAATATCCCTTCATATAAGTATCTGCACCGCCCGACACCACTAGGAAAAAATAAAATGTGCGTTTTCATCTCTGACACCAACTCCTTTAATCCACAAACATGATTATTTCAAAGCCCTAAAAAAGATTAAAGCGTGGAAAATGTGTCCCTGGCAGAGCGTCACGGCCGTCCAAACGGTACTTTGATCACCGACTGCCGCGTTATTTTCCAAACTTTCCGCGTGATGCGCCCGCCACCTTAAGGCCGCCTCCGCCGAACGACTCATCCCGAACTCCGCGTGACCTCCGGTGACCTCGTGGGAACCGCCGCGCGTTTGAGAGGACAAAAAACACGATAGATAGAAGGAAGAAAAAAAAAAAACCAAAACAAATGAGCAGAAGCGGAGAAAGCCGCCAGCCTACCGTCCTCTCCTCCGCTTCCAGGCCAACGCAGACGGACAGACGGAGCTTTGCTGCATCAGCGCCGGCGGCGGGAGACAGCGGGTGTGAATATGTGAACGTCAGTGAAAAACTGCGACGCCTCCCCTCCTCCCTCTCCGCCCCGCCGAGCTCTCACTTCTGCTTTGCTTGTCAAATCCCCTGCAGGATGTGTGTGCGTGCGCGTGTGTGTGTGTGTGTCAGTCAACATGAAACCACTTCCTGTGCTGTTAAAGAGAGGAAGGGGAGGAGCCAAGGGGGCCGGGACTTCCTTCCTCCACTTCTCATAATACAATGATCACTGTATTAAAAAATGTATGACGTTAGTGTGTCTGTGTCTGAGGGGCGAGGTGGGGGGGGGGGGGGGTCCTCACCTTGTCCCCCTCTGGGTCCACCTCCATGGAGCGTGGTCTGAGCCTGACCTGCTGGTCTTTGAAGATGTTGCCAAAGCCAAACCCTCGGACCTACAAGTTGGAAAGAGAAGAGTTTTAACACTGGAATTCAACGCGATGGCTGAAGGGGGGTGGGGGTGGGTGCGCGACGCCGCTGGAACCAACGTGAGGTTCGGGTCTCCCACACTGAACCCCGGTGGCCCCGATGGGAGCGGGCCGCTTTGTTCCAACGGCGGCTAACGAGTGGCCAAGAAGGTCTGAGCTCCCAGGATGTTCTTAGTCTGGTGACGGAACTGAGGAACCGTGGGAGGAATTCGCTGTTTGTTGTTTACACAGAAGGCGGCGCGGAGGAACGCGGAGGAACGCGGAGGAACGCGGAGGAGGGAAGTCTGTACCTTCTTGGGCTGGACTTCTGCCGACCCCGTTTCTGAGCGACTGTCTCCTCCATCGCTCTCACTGCCGGGGCTGTCTTTGCCTACACACACACACACACACACACACGCACACGCACACGCGCGCACAAAGCTTTTAGCTTCACCACATCAGCACATTTAAATTCCTTGGAATCAATTTCATTATTTAAAAAAATGTCATGACAATTCCAACATGGAAGGTTATTTGTTTCCCCCCATCTGATTGGCTGAGACTCACTGGTGCGGCCGCTGCGCAGCTCCTCCTGCGATGTGTTCAGGGAGGACGTTTCCGACTCCGTCTGGATCACTTTGGTGAAATTGGAAGGGAACATTCCAGTCCTCCCATTGACGAATCCTTCCCACCAGCCCTCCTCTACCTAAACACACAAAACACACACAGATTTAAACGGACACTCCAGAAAGGAGGAGTTTGTGTTTGAGCTTCAAGGGCCGCGTTCCGTGAAGGTGACAACCAGAAGACAGACGAGATCCAGTCTTACCTCTGATATGATCTCGATGACGTCTCCGATTTTCAACTCAAGCTCGTCTTCATGCTGAGGCGCGTAGCTGAACGCCGCTTTACATCTACGCTTACGGATCTGCTCTGCTGCGCGCACACACACACACACACACACACACACACAACAAGAGCATAAACAAACAATTCAGGCCTACAAGAATAAATTGGCTCCATCACTTATCCATAATCCAAGATTTGAGAAAAAGCGACAAGTGGTCACGGACTTATTAAAAGCCCTAGCGGCTGAGGACTGAAAGGCCGACCTTTGACCTTTCAATTAGAGGACAGGCTTACCACCAAACGCTTCCCACCGGCCTTACACTCATTAGCCTGCTCATTCCTCTTGACTCACTCACACCAGCTGGGCGTGCGGACGTAGCCCTGCACGTCCTCTTTTGTCCACCAGGTGTCACTCGTGTTAAATGCACAAGAGCGTTTGCATGAACAGGAGTACAAATTGAAACGTGTGAACGCCAGAGGAATCAGCATTCAGCGTGTGAGTAATAATACAAACACGAGCGCAAGATAGAATAGCTATAAGAGCAAGGTAAAGGTGGCGGAGGACAGACCCCTTACTTACTAACACAAACCCCAAAATAACACCACATTGTTAAAATACCTTTGAGTTAAAAGTGTGAAATGTGAAAACATCAGGAAAAATAATAATGATTGCTTGCTGTTACTGCTATTACTATTATTAAGGATTTCTGGTTCAGGGGGAGCAACTAATGATAATCTCAATTAGTCTATATTGGGTTTATAAACAGTTCATAGCAGCAGCTCAAACTATGATTGTCTTTCAGAGGCTATAACGACAAAACTTATTTCATTGTTACTTGAAAAATTAGTTTTATTTTCAGCTTTTCCTTTTTAAACATCTTCATCTGTCATGAACATTGATGTCGAGTAATCGCAGCGAAGTAGAATATACAACATTCCTCTGAAACGACGAGTAGAAGTCTCAAGCAGCATGAGAAGCGGTACTTGAAATAAGTATTTACATTTGACCACCGTGTTTACGTGTGTGTGTGTGTGTGTGTGTGTGTGTGTGTGCGTGCCAGGAATGCCTGACCCAAACCCTCCCCTCCACTAATAGGATCCATGTTAGAGAAGGAAGACATAAACCTGTCTGATGACCATCTATTAACACGTGTGTGTGTGTGTGTGTGTGTGTGTGTGTGTGTGTGTGTGTGTGTGTGTGCGTGCGTGCGTGTGTGCGTGAGCACCTTTGCGGCCCGATCGCACGCTGCTGTCGGACACGGGGCTGGCCCTCCCGTTGGAGAGGTCCGATCGGCTCATGCTCGCCTGTCCCCCGTCCCTCTTTCCCTCTTTCTTGATCTCCTACGAGGAGCAGAAAGCCAGCAGCAGGGAAAGGAGGCGAGAACAATAAAAGGGAAATGTGGGTTCAGGTGAGGAAGTGGATAACAGAAATGAAATAAAAACACAAATGAGTCAGTGGAACGAATGTGAACTCCATAACATCACAAGAGGCTTTTAAAAGTCATGTTTGAATTAAACATAGTGATTCATTATTTACGTTGTCCTGTAACTAACGTATGTCAACACAAGGGCAATAAATGAATAATAAATAACAACACGGTTGAGAGGGTAAATCCTCCACAGTACTTTCTCGCCGTTGTACAACGTTACGTGATGTGTAATCGATCACCGAACGTACTGAAGAAATCTGATGACACAAAAGCCAATAGTGAAAAAGTAGTGATGTTAGAATTCCGCAAAGAGAAAATGTTAACGTGTAACAATGTAAATACTGAATCGATGTTGGTGGTGTTTCTGAAGTTCAACTCAATATTAGGACACTAAAATGCTTTAGATAAGAAGCGATCGTTCGGACCTCAACCATCTTCTGTTACGTGCTATAAATAGAGTCTGTGAAGGTCACGCGTTACGTAACGCGCTGAATGAATACACATGCATTGTGTTTTCGGCCCAGTATCAGATGCCAGTAACCCAGGTGAGGCAGACAAACGCACAACTCACTGACTACTCCCCCCCCTCCTCGCCGCCTGCACGAGACCTCGAGAAGAACGGGCGAGTCAACAAGCACACGGGAGACACGCTCGCACACACACACACACACACACACACACACACACACAGACCCAGAAGAACTACACGGCGTCTCACATCTCCCCACCACATTCATCATGACACTGTTTCATAAGCTCCGGCCCCCCAGCGGCCAAAGCGGCTCAGTGAAGCATGCTGGTGTACTGACTCACAGAAGCTCAGACACACACACACACACACACACACCGGTTTGTGTATGGCGCAAAAAAAAAAAAAAAAAGTCTTAATGAGCCTCTGAGATCCAAAAATACCAAGACGGGGAAGACGTTTCCTAGACAACAGCGAAGCTCATCTTCTTCTGAGACCCGTCTCGGGAGGAGACGCGGGGGGAGGAGACGGGAGGAAAGTGTGGCTTCCGTGTTAAAAAGGGGAAAAACTAATTTGGCACTCAGCAGAAGAGAGATGAGAGGCCAATTAGAACCAGACATGTGGTGTCTGCACTCCCCTTCCAACAGGATGAGGTGGGTCCAAACATTGGAGGCACGAGGAGAATACCCCCCCCCCCATTAAGATCCAGAGACCCGCCCCCCCCGCCTACATTTTCTACAGTGTCTTTGGTGTTTGCGACGTTTCTGGGTGCGAACCTCAATGAAGACGTAGCGACCAGGTGCCAGATTATAAGCACACATTCAACATCTGGTCTTAATATATATGACTGTATTTATATAACAGGTGGATTTCACGCTGGATGATGCTAGGCTAGTTGTTTCCAAGCTAAGTGTCTCTCTGCTGTCGCTCGTCTGTGACATTCCCACACAAATGCATTGTGAATGAAGTTTCAAAGGGAAATGTATTTGTGATATTCTTCACTGAAACGACTGAGAGCTGCGAGACTGAACCAAAACCGTGGGGTTAAAAGGTAAAACGGGCAGATTATGTTTTGCTTAAACTGATTTCTTTTTTAATTTCTTTCCACTGATTGATCTCTCCACGTCACTTGGTGTTCACGTTTGTTAGGCTAATGCAGTGCTAATGCAGAGCTAATGCAGAGCTAATGCAGAGCTGATGCAGAGCTTATGCAGAGCTGATGCAGAGCTGATGCAGAGATAACAGTGCTAATGCAGAGCTAACACAGAGCTAACACAGAGCTAACGCAGTGCTAATGCAGAGCTAATGCATTGCTAATGCAGTGCTAATGCAGAGTTAATGCATTGCTAATTCAGCAGTGCTAATGCAGAGCTAATGCATTGCTAATGCAGTGCTAATGTAGAGCTAATGCAGTGCTAATGCAGTGCTAATGCAGAGCTAAAAAACACATTCTGTCTGAGCAGATGGACTTGCTATCACTCTGCATGCCTTCACGTACAAAAACAGATACAAACACACACAAACATTCACTCTCCTGCACGGACCGACTGGCAAAAACACTCTGAACTCACAAAGACACAAGACAACCTACGCAAAAAAAAAAAGGAAGTAAAAAAACACAGCTACAGCTTTCCTTTTTTTACGAGTAGTTTTCACGACGGTGGCTACTCACTTTTTGGCTTTGTGTTTCAAAAGCAACATCAATTCTCAAATCCTTCCTTGGGGACAACTAAGTGTGCCCCGCTCGGGGGGAGGGGGGGGGGGGGGCCTTTGTTACTACTTGGAGCGCAATCGGAGCTGACCCAGAGTCAGAGGAAACCCAGCCGACAAGAGGAGAGGAAGACGACTTGACTCGTCGTATCTCTACAGGAAGCACCTGCAGAATGTGCGCCGCAGTTTGAGGGGGTGTTTGTCTGCGTCACGTTTACATGGCTTACGCAGCGCTTAGACCCTTTACACAGATATGTGCATCCCGTCTCCGCCGACCTGTGACCTTTTCTCTGTCGCCCGCTCGGCCACAGATAATGTGAAAACAAGCCGAGGACAAAGGAAGCTGTGAGACACCGAGGAAGAAGAAGAACAGAGAGCTTCGCTTGTTTCAGTCATTGGGAAATGCAGAGGAACGATGGCCCAAACTTTTATTTCACTTCCTTTCAAAAAGCCCATTGTTATTGCAATAAGTCATTGCGCTGGCACAGAGAAGGGTTGCAACCGAGTGCACTGATTGGACGCAACGCTTTTGGGTCTATCAGTCATTTCCTGTGTTTTTAATGCTGAATAACTTATTTCTAAGTTTAAAGGGGAGTTTTTGTGGCGAAACACTGGACGCCATGATGATGATGATCTTCAGTGAGTCTCATGACTCTCAGTAACGTCGTTTGTGTCGCCGGATTAAACCGCCCCGTCCTGTATTAATAGTTTAACCTGAGCCGACCTCGGAAATAAATAAATGAACGTCTTTCAAAAACCGTGCAAAACTTAACTCATTGACCTTCACCTATAATCTAATAATCTCAGACACGCCGGTCGATTGGGGGAGTGTCTGATTCTTGCATACCATCGCTTCCTGCCCTCCTTTTCAAACTGTCCACTTCCTGCACACCCACACACACACACACACACACACACACACTCATCAGCATTGCAAGGCTTAATGTCGCTGATTCCCATAACTGCAGTCCTGTGACACACTAGTCTGGTATTACGCCATTACTCACAGCTACACACACACACACACACACACACACACACACACAGACTTCACAGGCCCGTTGTCGGGCTCCCTGACAGTTAATGAGAGCTGTGACGTCTAGTCAGCACCACCTGACTTCTTCTTTGCCCTCGTCTTGTGATGCTCTTCTTCTCCACACCCCCCCCTCCAACGGTACAGTGTGCACTCCGCAGTCGTACCAGGTACCACTTTTGTGTGAGATGCAAGAAAACGTTGTCTACAAGTGCAAGTGTTATCGTCGCTGCTATCACTTCCATCTAATGCACTAACCAATCGATCAGCGCACTCATAGTGCAGAGCGGTTTGTGCAAATCTCTTTTTCACCGTCAGCTCACCCGCCTCCTCTTATTGGCTGTTGTTATCGCACCAGAACTTAAACAGGTCTGAAATCTGCACCACCTGACTGCGAGCACACAGCGTTTGAGATGAAGGGTGAATAAAAAGCATTTCATTACAATAAATGCATGCAAACGTGTTATATACGAGGAGTGTGCCGCTACACTAATTAGGAAGAAGAACTTGTTCCGCATTCACACCCATTGTGTTTGCCGTTTAACACTATCCCCCCCCCCCCCATGTGAGGCAGAGTTTCAGAGGCACAGAAACGAGCGCACCCCTTACTGCACACGACGCCTGTTCACTCCGCCGCTGTTTGTGGGAGAGAGAAGCGCACTGTGACAACTCACCCTGACGAAGTTATCCGGGAACAGGCCCCTTCGCCCGCTCAGCTCGCCCTCCCACCATCCTCCGTCGTCCCGCCGTACGTTCACGATGATGTCGCCCACCGCCAGGCTCAACTCATCGTCCCGCTGAGCCTCATAGTCGAACTCCACCACGGCCTCCACTGGAGCGAGAGAGCGAGAAAGAGAGAGAGAGAGAGAGAGAGAGCAAGTGTGACAACAACAAACCGCAATAACAAAGGTGTCTCATTGTTCTATATTTACTCTCGGGAACAGTGGTTTTCTTATTGATGAGTGACGACCGAACGTGACAGACACCTGAGACATAAACACACACACACAGATTGCTTTCCTCATGTACATCCCCAACAAATAAAGGCACGGAAAACCCTTCAGGGAGAATCCCCCGTGAGGAATGCAAATTTCCACTGCAGTAGTTCCATCAGTACGGCATGAAGTCATATTGGACTAATCCAAGCAGGTCACTTATTAGAACAGACAAAAGTCATCATGGGCCGTCCTCTCGGGGAAGCATGACAGCGTCAGTGGTTTCATCCACTCGAAGTCTTCCTCGTCCTTCCTCGTCTTCGGTTTACTGGACCGCTTTGCTCGTTGGCGCCGCAAAACCGCTGATCAGGTTATGACACCTGAATGCCGGAATGTCTGCGCGTGGCTTTGTGCACACCAAGCGCATCCGTTAGAGCAGGTACGATGCAAGGGCACGCTCCCACAATGCATTGCACTACCAGAGGTCAAAAACTGTCTCTTGAAATGAGTTCTCCAATATACTTCTGCTTGTGTTTTGTGTGGCCACACGTTCCGATGAACAAATCTAAACGCAATCTAACTGATGGCGATCGAGGTGACGAGGGGGGCGCTGCGGCGGCCGCTGCATGTGAAAAGCACAGATGTGTCATGAATAGAACAACAGGGGCGTTTCCATTCGCTTTATGAGCTGCTGGAAGCGCTAAACGTAGTTTACCAAACGTCACGCGTGCAAACACCTTGTGACTGCTGGTGCGCCCGCTAATACTCTAAAAACGTACCCAATGAGGCAGTTGTTACACAGGAACTGGCAAACAGCCGAGATGAGGAAACCGGACAGAATCGACCACGAGGCCTCGATGTGGAAGCAGCTAAAGTAGAAGGTCAGGACGCGGCCCGAGAGCTTCACCGCTGAAGAGGACGAGGGCTTGTGGTCTTTGCACGGAGGGCCGAGTGCAAAGAGTCAACGGCAGATAGGATCTAGAGCTCGGCCTGCTGGGAAGTCACACAGGAAGACTTGGTGAAGAAGCAAACAGACAGTTTTTGTACGCGCTGACGGCGCCGCACAGCAATATGAGACGCGTGCACAAAGCAAAAGGCGCACGTTGTTTTCCTTGAAAGTAACAAATCCATCAATGAATTCATTCATTAAAAAAAAAAAAAAATCTGTTCTTGAGCATCCAACGCTCCCTCCACATTTATCCAAAAGCTATTAAAAAGAAAACAGTGAGCCAAACGGTTACATTCATAATCACAAGCACACACGCTGCGGTTTATTGTGACTCAATTCCACATGCACTGTCCTGCTGCTTTAAATAGATCCCCACTCACAGTGGAAATTACCCCCACAGAGGTCTGGGTAATGTTTGCGAATAAAAAACGCTGTGGGGGGGGGGAGAGTCACTGCACTTACACCTGGAATAAAGGTGCCTCCTCTGCAGCGGTTGGTGCACAAACATCCCATTTCGACTGCTTTTTAAATACCAGCAGAGGCCCGTGAAGGTGAGGATGAAGTGACAGTGACACGCCGGCGGAGCACCGAGCAAACAGCTCCAAGTGGCTAATTAGCCTCTTTTAGCGCTTTGTCGCGGCGTTACGGCCGACTCATTCACTCCAGCGACATGGTTCAGCCTCATTAGCCGCAGTACGCTTTGAAGCACCAAACAACCAGCTCAAATCAGTCAGTGCAGAGGAAACACATGAGCTTTTATTTTGCGCATTTTTCAAACACGAATGCTAAAGATTTGCTGGTTCCTACTTCTCAAATATATAGTGATTTGCTTACAAAAGTGTATCATGTTGGTCGCAAAGGTCTGTGACTTTGGCAGGTTTTGCACAGTTTGGAAGACACTTCCCCGCGTGAGAAGCTCAAGAGTGACGGACAGGAGGCCTCGAGGAGACCAAACACCAACTCCCACTCGAGTCGCAGCCGAGATGGACCCGTGGCGTCCTCAGAGCAGCTGCATTCACTTTAGATAAGAGGAAACTGCACGCACACGCACGCACGGAGCCCTGCAAAGCCATGCTGACATTTCCCTGCTTAGCTGTGGATTTGTCTGCGTGTTTTCGGCCTGTGAAACGTTCCTTCATCCTCTGAAGCGAGCGAAGGATCCCCCCACCCACACACACACGTGACGTCGTGACACTTCTTCCCCGACGCCGCGCCAGAACGAATTAAGTGTCGTTGATGTTTAGAAACAAACCAGCATCTTTTTTCGCCAGACTCAGACGGGTAGTTCAGCTGCAGAGGCCAAACCGAACGCCCCCCCGCCCCCCGTGGCCCATCCAAAGTGGACGTAGTCTCCATGATGGAAGCCATTTCTTGAGTCCTCCAAGAGGGCGTGGCTAAGTACCAATGGCGCCGGGAAAAAGTTTTACAGTCGACCAAATCCTTTAAACGTAGATTAAAATACAAAAGACTCTCTGTTGGTGACCTGTCAATCACAAGCAAGCCCACCCTGCTTAAGGGCCTATTTGACGTCATGCTGCTTTGAAGGAGACTGGACACAGACTTCTATACAAACCGGCTTGAATTGGGATTTGAAGCGTATTTATAAAACCTATATTTCCTGACTCTGAATCATGCACACGTAACATAGTTTGCATGCAACATTTCATCGTTGTTGGATTTAATAGACAACAATATGGTTTGAGTTCCAACATAATCACATGATTGCCTGATAAAGTGGCCGTCTTGGGTTATAGACAGCAGTACGCAACTCGTTGCCCTGGTACAAATATCAAGGGCCCCCGCTGAAAACCTGCGCAACCACAAGCGTCCTTCAGACGACGCGCAACCCTTCCCACAAAAACTGATGTTGACCGTGTGAACGTCACTTCTGGATGTTTACAAACAGGTGCGGCTGAGACCTGTTTGAGGGCCCTTGGACTCGAGCCGCTTTTCTCGTTACGGCTGCACATTAAGGATATTTAGCGGCGAATTAACACAGTGAATCTGCTCCACGGCAACTGGGAAATCGCCTGCTTTTCCCAGTTGGTCATCCGGCCTTGACGGTTGTTAGCGGTGTGTTACTGTGTGTGCGTGTGCGTCCGTCTCGCTGTGCATTACTTGTTTACGTGCGTCAGAACCAGGGGCCCCGTAGAAAGTATGCATGCACGCGGAGGCTGACTGCGGCATGTTCAAATCCTCCAAAGGAATGCCACAGATGGAAGTGCCCCCCCATCCCTCCCCCCATCCCTCCCACCCCTACAGGCTAAATGGGAGATAATTATCCAATTTGCACGGGTACTAAATTGATTGATTACCCGCTCAGCAATACCTGGTGCAATCCGTTTAGTGTCACGCATTGTTCTGCGGGAAACGATGGCGAGGAGGAGAGGAATGTCAGTCAGGCCCGTTTGATCCCCACAGGGAGGGAGAGAGAGAGGGGGAGAGAGAGGGGGAGAGAGAGAGGGAGAGAGGGAGAGGGAGACTCAACCCCTGCTCAACACAATCGGCAGACACACAGACTGAATGTAAACGTGTCAACATCTGCAACTCATCAATGTGACCCGCCGAGTTCCTGAAATATCACCCCGCGCGGCCGCGGCGCAGCGCTCCCACGCGAGGGATTCCGATCGCGAATAAAAGCATCGGCGGAGGAGGAGGGAGGGGGGGACGTGTGTGGGGGGGGGGGGGGGGGGAACGCCACAGAAGAGATAACGGTGCTGTCTCTTGGAAACGGCTCGGCGATGTCATGAAGCGACGTCAGAGCAGAGGTGAGGCGGGGAGGGGAGGGGAGGGGAGGAAGGAGCGGGGGTGAACCCCGCGAACATCTGGACCGGGCGTTTGGTTCGGCCCCTCCAGATGCTATTTTGGGGGTCCATCTCTGAATTAAAAGGCGCCAACAAAAACCCCCCCAAAAAAACAGAAACCCAAGCGCTGCTTCTCAACCATTTATGTGTCCCGTGCGCCGATGAAGCTCCTGCGGGCTGTCGATAACGAGGGCGAGGCGGTTGTGTGAGGTTAGTGCCGGACCAAGCCCCGACCTCCTGTTCATGAAGCTCCGTTAAAGCAGCGCGAAAACGGAGAGAGCGACTGAGGAAACCATATCTCCCCCCTCTCTCTCTCTCTCTCTCTCTCTCTCTCTCTCTCTCTCTCTCTCTCTCTCTCTCTCTCCCCCTTTTTCTCCCCAATGCCCCGGCAGAGGAGGCAGAGGGAGGCCCCAGAAAACGGAAAGAGGCTGATGAACAATCCCCCCCCCCCCCCCCCACACACCTCCCACACCTGCCCCTCCCTCTGCCTCTTTTGTTGCCTTCAGGTGCAACTCGTAAATTCTGCTTTCTCATTTGTATTTTTTCCCACGGACGGCAAGGCGCTTAATCTGAGTAGAGAAAAAGTGAGCTTCTAGGTTAAAAAAAAAGTCGAAATATGTTAGGTCAAAAAATATCTTTGACGTACATATATGTATATATAATGAGGTTACTAAGTTTACGTACAGAAAACATATTTTAATACCAATATTAATATGTCAATATTAGATGATGAACAGAAAACACAGGATGCAGTAACACAGAAACTTTGTTTGACAGTTTAATTTTTATTGTTCAAATACAAACTCATATTTATTATTATTATTATTATTATTATTTTACTGAGGATATCAGTTCTCCGCCTCTTCAGGGAGGTTCGTGAGCGTTTCAATAATAAAAACAATATTTCCAACAGAATTTTAAGGGAGCATCGATCTAAGATCCCGGCCTCGCACCTGTGCGGCCCAAATCTCGCGATAACAAAGTCATCAAGCGCATGTACAGTTTACCCCAGCGTTGCACCGCGCGCGCACACACACACACACACACCATGCTACGCCCTGCAGCGTTATTATCCCCTCCGCATCTGACTACATGAATGTGTTTGCAGCGGCAGAATGATGCAGCGAAGAAATGAGGAATTGCGATTATTTTTCACAATCCGCTGTCACTTGGGCGGAGTGCAGTGACAGAACAAGCTGCTGTGCAGATAACAAACGAGATCTGACGTGATTAAAGCACTGAGCAGGGGAAATGTCATTCAGGTGACCGACTGGAATCTCATTTATCCGTGACGCAAGAGTGATGATACATGCCTGACCTTGGATTCAATGTGTAAATGATTGTGCGGACTGCATTTTAACATCTACTGTATAAACGATGACTCATTGTTCAAAGCTAAAGAGGAAGAACACAAACAGAGTGAGAAACTGTGTAAAAGCTGCAGATGCTGCATCACATTAAGTCTCACAGTGACAGCCTTCTAAAGAAGTCGTTTTCTGGGACTTGTGTCTTGTCACACTATTCGGTTGCATAGTGAGACACCATCCTGTCACCAAACTCTCCCACAACAGCCAACGAATCCACTCAGGCTCCAACAACCCACTTCCAAATGAAAAATGAAATGCCCAAACCGCAAAGGACGTGGTTTATCTAAGGAGTAGCACATCACCATCTGTGCTGCTGCATGTGCAGCACTTGCACTGAGAGAGACAAATTGTTTCCTCATCCATGGAGGTTTAATGTCCCCGGAGACGAGGGCTAATGTTTTACACAAAGCACTGAGGTGACACCGTCTGGGACGGTGTTGCTACTGCACGATGAAGCACAGCACCAATTACATTTGCCACCTACTGTGCATGTGGAAAAACACATGCTGAGGAGCCTCAGCAGCACTGGACCCCTCTGTAGCACCTCAGTCCGTCCCCTGGATACATCTGTGATTTGATGGCATCTCTAGGGACTGTATGAAAATGAATAAGCTCAACTTGTGTTGTTCTGGCGGCACTTTTTTTTTTTCAACCAATATTAAACATTTTTTGTTTTCCCTTTATTTGACAGAAATCCAACGTAGAAAGTTATTTTTCTAGAGTAGGATTAGGACTGAAGACACTATATATGGGAATGAATTTGAGCATCAGAGGAATGTTAGAGATAGGGGACTAACTAGTTAAGGTTAAAAAGGTTTTACTAAAACTGGTGATATCCAGAATACGACCACTATAAAATAAATTATAATCATAACAAAATGATGTGTCAAAACTTGCATCCTCCGGTACTCTTAAACCAGGTCTGTGTCCCCTATTGACCCAAATACTTCTCCCCAGAACATTTGTACAGCGGTTTCTCTTGGAATCGCATGGAAACCTTTGGACATACACACGCATATGCATTTAACATACTCAACTGTTTATATTGTTGATTCTTGCTTGTAAATTTTTATTCTTACGTTGCACCAATGCACTAAGTCAAATTCCTCTATGTGTAACACTACATTCTGGTACCGGTACTGTAGGTGGCAGCACCCTTGTGCATCGTTGTATTAAATACGTGCGGACATTAGGCGGAAGTGCCACCCTGCTCGACTCCTTCAATAAGACCCGCCCTCTTCAGCTTTCAAGCGCTATGATTGGCCAGGTGTCTCTGCTGACCGAGGCACCGGTAATCTGATTTGACCGCGTCCCTTGACGTCATTTTCCCTGACCAATGGCGGGCCTTGACCCTCACCCGCTGCGCGGCAGTGAGCTTCATCGGGCAGTGACAGCAGCGCATTTACAGCAAGACGTGCGGCGAGCGGCAGTAAAAGGTGAGGTTCCTGACATTGACAGACCTTTCTTTCAATTATTCCTTGCAAAGTCATCCGGTTGTTGCGTTGCGTGTTCGCGCGAGTCTTTCCCCCTCAAATAAAAATGGAGGACTCCAAACGTGAAGCTAAGTGACGTTAGCGTAACCGACAAAGGATGCTACAAATGTCACCTGTCTGAACAGGTGACATTTTCCGAGGAGGTGGAAGTAGAGTTTGGCTTTTATTCCTCTCCCCAATGGCTCCTTTATGCGCCATTGTTCACCCGTAACATTGGTTATTTAATTTATCTAAGAAAATAACCCATAAGCGAATGACTGGGTCCATATTCTCTCGTACTGATGCTGTTAGAATAATACACCGCCTGGCTGGAAATTAATCTGCAAACATTTTGATAATTCATAAAAAACCTCAAGGTTTCTTATATTTTCACGTTTTAAACTTGTCATTGGAACGAATTGTTTAGTTTCCTTAATGGGAAATGTTCAGCGCGTGGATCGGTAACGTCGATAACGTCTGGTGAAAAGGTCTTTTAAAACTGCCTCCACAATGAATACAAATTATTATTATACAAATTATTTTGTGTAATTTGACACCCCGACGTGAATGCTGCAGGATATCCTGGAGGTTCGTCGTCTCTTGATGATGAGCCAGTAGCATTGAGGAAGTTAATCGATTTAGGCGGTAGTGTGTGGAGCGAGTTGCACGAGGCCCCACTATGCGGAAGAAGCCTTGCGAGAAACCACAGGTGCTGTTGGCACTTCCTCTTTTTCTGGTCCGCGTCTGACATGTTTACAGAGGATACACGGGCAACGTCGCCGCTGTGGTGTGCAAACATCACAGGAATGTCGCTCGTCAGGGGGCTTTTAACGCGAGCCTTTCGGGAAGGGCGCAGTGAATATACCTGTCTGTTCACTTTCTGTGAAAGCAGGAACAATTGACCAAAGTAACCGCAGAGCCTGCAAGAAACGGCCTTTTTGAATGCTGTTTCAGTGAGAAACGAGCCACCTTTTTACATTTGATCTGAATAGAAACTCCTCTCTCGTCACTTATTTCTGTCTTTGCATTTGAGTTTCTAATTCCAAAAAAAACTCTCCTTGTCCCCCTCTGTGTGTTTGGTTCAGCAGCAGCGATGGATCGAGTGAGGTCTGCATTCAACAGCATGGTAAATGTTCGTTACTTGTGATTAACATAATAACGCATCATTATTTGTCATCATTATTAACTGTTATTCATCACTTTGTCGTCACTTTGTTACTTGTCTGTTACTTGTTCGTTAGTGCACTTTATGCTTAATATTTTTCTTTTTAACTTTTTTAATATTTAACATTTTTAACTTTATTCCTTGTTTTATACTAACCCTTAGCCTTATTCTACTAACCCATTGCATTAGCATTTTACTTTATTTTATTACTTGTGCTCTGTTGTCTTGTCTGTCTACTGTCGCGCACTAACCGCCAAGACAAATTCCTTGTATGTTTAGCATATTTTGGCAAATAAATGTTTCCTGATTATTTGAAATCCAACTTTTTGAATTGTGGACTAATTGAATACGAGTTGAGATGACGGACGGGACATTTGCAGCCCCTCCGGCAGCGGGAGCAGCACCGAGTTTCACTCTCGTCTCCTCCAGGTCAAGAGTGAGCGCTACAGCCGCTTCACCCTGCAGCCGGCCGAGGACGGAGAGCGACACGTTGAGGTCAAGCTGTCGGACGACGCCGTCGAGGACTCGGCGGGCGGCTCGCCGAGCTTCAGACCGGCGCCTCGGCGTCAGCAGCAAAGCACCCTGTGCTACTTGGCACTGGGGACCCTGCTGATATTTCTCACCGGTAAGAAATCAGTATTGAAAGAATTGGAAAAGGAAAGCAAATTTCTCTCCTAATGTTGAGTTAATAATAATCTTGGCGTGGGAAGGAATCTATTTGTGGCCCTGACGCGGGAAGCTGCTGACTGAAATTCTAGAGAAGGCGCGTGCGTGCATGCGTTCGTGTGTGTGTGTGTGTGTGTGTGTGTGTAATGCTGGTCATTGATTTTCATTTATTATTAACATGAGTCACTGATGTGATTCAGTGTCTCGTGTCTCTTTGTGCCATTTATGTATCTGACTTTAATTTGACTTCATTAATGTTTGTACTGTTTTTATTTGACTGCATTAGTAGATTTATCCCGTCGTTAATTCCTCTTTGTATCGTCGACTTTGAATTGCAGGTGAATATAATGCATCCACCGATCCCTCCGTATTCGGCAAAGGAGGTTTATTTGTAAAGCACCTTACTGCAACAAGGCACTTAAGGAAATACAAGACAAGTTTGCATTGCTGTTCATTGTGTCATTTCATCTAAAGACGCACAGGAGACCCGTGTGGAGGCCTGAGAGTTGGGATGATGCGTCATGTTAGTATCATCGTGTTGTCCCGCAGGCTACCTGCTCGGTTACCTCATCCACCGCAAAACTCAGGTGGAGCCGCTGGCCTGTGGCAACGAGCCGAAGGCGGACGCACATCCGGAAGCGACGGCCGGCCCCGCACATCCGGAAGCGACGGCAGCCCCCGCTGAGGTTGCACCGCTGCCAGGCGCTCAGATGGACTGGGGGGACGTCACCCAGCTCCTCACTGAGAAACTCACCACCGAGGCCCTCAGCAAAACCCTGAGGTACACGGCTCATGTGCACACCTTTTTGAGATCACACATAGATACAAGTGAACGTTAAGGTAGGGAGGGTTTGTGACCTGTGCGTATAATTTTAGTCCAAATAGCCTTCAGCTTCTTGTGAGAGGGGAGATCAATAATAGATGGGAATGGACGGGACGAGACGGGAAGGCTACTGTGGTTATTTAAGGGATGAAACCCAACCAGCTCCTGTTATGAATGACGCTCATCCCAATCAGGGTTGAAAAATATCATTTTCTCAAGCTCTGCGGATGGCAGAGCCTCATCTATTAGGTCTCTACGTGCGAAAGTTAAGCAAGATTTAAATATTCTTTTAAAATATCCATATGAAAGGTTTTGATTGCCTTTGGTTTCCCCGCAGTGCCTGCGATCTCCCCAGACGCTCTGCAGGGAGTGTCGAAGACAAATTCCTGGCAAACCACATATTCAAGGAGTTCCAGAAAGTGGAGATGGATCCCTGGACTGACATCCACTACGTCCAGCTGCAGACGCCAGACAGGTGGGTTTTATTTTAGCAATGGCGGGAGGGTGGGGAAAACAATCGTCCACCCAGGAGCAGGAATTATTAAAAGGCAGGGAGCTTATAGAAACCACAGATGAGAACCAGATGAATAATGTTGTAACGAGCTTTTGACCTCCCGCCTGTAGCCAGCGTCCAAACCGTGTCCGTTTTGGTGCCGACGTCTTCGAGCCAACGGGGTATCTGGCCTACAGTGCTACTGGGCAAGTACAGGTGAGTCCGGCCTCGAGGCCCGATGAACTGGTATCCATCGCCTTTGTTCGGCCCGCAGCTGTTTAACCCGTCTGTTCGCAGGGAAAGCTGGTGTACGGCAACTACGGCCGGCCGCAGGATCTGGATGTCCTGCAGGACAAGAACGTCTCCCTGAGAGACAGCGTGCTGCTGCTCCGAGCCGGACAGATCAGTTTTGCGGAGCAGGTGACTGCAGGCGTGGGCGCCTCCTTGTGCCTCGAAGCCTATTTCGTCTTCCTGGGGGAAACTCCCCTAAAAGCTTGTCTCTCCTGTGTCCGATGGCGTCTCTTCAGGTGGACAACGCTGCTGCGAAGGGAGCCGCCGCCGTGCTGATCTACCCCGACGCTCAGGATTACCAGTACCGAGCGGACACGGCCCTCTACGGGCACGTAAGTCCGCTGCTGCTAGCGTCGTAGCATGTTAGCGCGCTATTAGCCAAAGAAGCGAGTTTAAAGTGTTGTGTCCGTCCTCCTTCAGGTCCACCTGGGTTCAGGCGATCCCTACACGCCCGGATTCCCCTCCTTCAACCACACGCAGTTCCCCCCAACCAAGTCGTCCGGTCTCCCCAAAATCCCAGCGCAGACCATCACCGCCAACATGGCTACCGCTCTTCTACGGTAAGGACAACCCCCCCACACCTGTTTCATATATATCTTTCATTCCAGGGACTCGCCACTACTATGATTTTATATCTGAGACTCATTCTGTAAATGCATGTAGAAACGAATCACTAATAACTCTTCTCTCTCTCCAGGACAATCGGCGGCCCTGAATCGGATGCGAGCAGCGGGTTTAAAGGCGGCCTGTCAGCGACTTACAGGCTGGGAGGCGGCGAGAACATCTCCGTCGAGGTGAACAACGTCCTGGTCAACAAGGAGATCCACAACGTCTTCGGAGTCATCAAAGGCTTCGTGGATCCCGGTACGTTGCCCCCCCCCCCCCCCCTCCCCCTCTGACCGTCCACAGCGGGTTATTTCATCACGAGCTTAACTCCTCGGTGTCCGTGTGTGAATCTGCAGATCAGTACGTGGTTCTGGGGGCTCAGAGAGACGCCTGGGGGAGCGGCTACGCCAAAGCCACAGTCGGCACCTCCGTGTTGATTGAGCTGGCCAAGGCTGTTAGCGAGATGGTGGAGAAAGGTAACAAAGGGAACCCTTACCACACACACACACACACACAGGCTTAAGCAGTCTGTTCCCCCTGTCGCTTTCATTGGATGTCAGAGAGGTGTCTGTTAATTGCCAGTGTTAACAGGAGAAATTCTCCTTTTCCATTGCTCTGGTAATGTCAGATGTTCGGTCGTCCTCGCTAAAGTAACACGACTTCTTGAGTAAAGTCAGGCAGCGGATTTTTCCTGCTTCAGAAAGGCCATGGTGTTTCTTTTCTCCTGTTTCCCAGATGGCTTCAGACCCAGGAGAAGCGTGGTGTTTGCCAGCTGGAGCGCTGGAGACTACGGAAGTGTCGGCGCCACCGAGTGGTTGGAGGTGAGAACTCTAATAACAAGAATCAAAAATACAAAAGAAATTCTCCCCTCCTCTAACTGTGTCCTTTCATGTCATTCATGTTTTTGTTCTTAGGCGTACATGTCCTCTATTGACAAGCGTGTTGTCACCTACATCAGCCTGGATGGGGTCGTCGTGGGTGAGTACAGACTCTTCATCACGCCCTGCGTGTTTGCCGTTGTCTGGGATTGTCGCGTGGCTAAACCGTACCTCCTCACAAAGGTCGCGGGAGCTTCGTGGCCTCGGCAAGTCCGCTGCTCTACGGCCTCCTGGAGAACACGATGAAAGGGGTAAACGACACAACAGCCCACTTGCTCTCTGATCAGCTTCCGCACAAAGCCGCGGTGTCTGCATTCATGTGAATTGTGCTCGTCCAGGTGAAGAGCTCTGCTGGTTCGGACTCCCTGTACGACATGATGGGGGCGAGTAACTGGGAGGCCAAAACGTAAGTAGACAACCGGCATGCAAAGCCTACTAGTGATTCAGTCAGCAGAGTGGACTTTTCCTGCTGGAACTACTTCAATCGTTTTGTCAAGATAGTTTTTCTGGGTACCATACGGATTCCTCAATGCCGATGAATCAGAAACTGATCTGGAGTTGATTTGATCCTTCCATTGGGATTTCTGAGCCATGAGCGTATTCACGGAAGGTTTTCAACGCTTAGTTCCATGAAGAATAAAGAGTGTGTGTTTGATCCCAGCCGTAATGAATAACTTAAAATGAGTCGTTTGACCTTTTTGATCATTTACGCTAATGTGTGCAGAATGAGGCCAATGTCCATCGACGACCCCGCCTATCCCTTCCTGGCCATGTCTGGAGTTCCCTCCGTCTCTTTCCACTTCATCTCTCCGAATGTGAGTTCTCAGGCTAAACAGTCAGTGGGCATCATTTAATGACTCAATTCACATTGAAATGAGGAAATCAGGTGATATATTTTATTTTTGAACATCCTATTGAATGAATGTCTGCAGACTGAGGCCTACATGTACTACGGCACCGACCTGGACCACAAGGATCACCTGGATTACCAAACCAACCACCGCACCAGCGAAATGGCGGCGACGGCGGCACAGTTCGCCGGCCAGATGGCTCTGCGGCTGGTCCACGACCGCCTGCTCCGCCTGGATGTGAGCCGCTACAACGGCGTCCTCACCAAGGCCGTGGCCCAGATCTACAAGCGCATCAACCAGCTCTTGAAGGTCGGTCCGCCAAATTCTCCAGCTGCTTTTAGCCCTCCAGCTGTAAAGACTGGAATATGCATTTTTAGAAAGTCGCTGATGTTTTTTTGACTCTTTGGTCGTGTAGTCCGGGCAGCTGAAGGGCCTGAATCCCACCTGGCTGAACCGTGCACGCGGCGCCTTCCAGCGCGCCACCATCAGCATCAACAATGACATCCGCAACAGCAACTTGGACGACAAGGAGGCCTGTCGGATCCTCAACGGGAGGATCATGAGTGTAAGAAAGAAGTATTTTCATTTTTTTGACTAAACGTAGTCAAAACAAAGTAGAACGGGCAGTATGAATATTTTTAATTTTTCTTTTGTGAATTGAATACCTGATAAATGAAAAGTACGGAGTTTGTTTTGTCATTTTATTCATGAGTTGTGTGATTTAAACGGTTTCGAGGTTTTAGGGGATGTTTTTACAGCAATCTATAAGAATTAAAACTAACAATAGTTTCATTTGAATGACAGTGGTTGGTATGTGAGTACTTGTTATTATCAATGGATGAAAAATTATACTGATGTCTATGCAGCCCGGGTCAACTCCTTTAAACATTTCTATCACCTTCATGGTTCCAGGTGGAGCACGCCCTCCTCTCGCCGTACGTGTCCCCCGTTGAGACTCCCTACCGTCACCTCCTGCTGGGTCGGGGCCCCCACACTTTGGCGTCCATTGCCGAGACCACCGACATGGAGCAGCTCCACACGCCGCTGGCCCTGGCCACCTGGAACCTGCAGGGATGTGCCAACGGCATGGTGGGAAACATCTGGGACCTCGACGAGGAGATCTAAAGACGTGTGTGTGTGTGTGTGTGTGTGAACACGATGTGAGGTAAGGAGGAGCTACAATATCAGCACTTAAGCATGAGTTGTCAATCAGAGGTTGAAGCCCTGCCCTTTTATAAAAAGGTCAAATCTCACAAAGATCCAGGAGGAGATGGAAAAGGATCAAATACACTCGACTCCAAAGCAATTTCGCTATTGAAGAAAAATGTTTGCTACTGACAAACCTGCCTCCGCTCCTCCTCCACGTCCAAACAACAGGGCTGCGACCTCTCGCCATAACACTGGGAAACCTTATTTATACTTAAGTTTTATTTATCAGTGGCAGTGCCTACTATAAAGTTATTGTTTGTCTTTTTATACGACGTTATCGGAAGCAGTGCCTTCCATAATTATGACGGTTATACCGTCTTATCCTCCGGCAGCATCTGCTACAAAGACTGAACTGTTGCTCACTAAATGGAGCCCCTGAGAAAAGTTAAATAATAAATAGTTCAACTACAACAGAGAGTAAGGATATATCTAAAATATCCAACAATAGAAGAAATTATGACTCGATTTAATCAGCACTTATTGGCAAAATACACGTTGAATCTTGAGGGTGAAAGAATTGAAATGCACTAAAAAAAATGAAACCAACAATAACTGATCTGATTGGTTCCAAGATTTGCAAGTAAGCCATTTAAGATGCACAGTGTACTTTGGGGCAGTTTACACGTTATCGGGAGCAGTGTCTCCCATGACGACCAACACGTTATCGGGAGCAGTGTCTCCCATGACGACCAACACGTTATCGGGAGCAGTGTCTCCCATGACGACCAACACGTTATCGGGAGCAGTGTCTCCCATGACGACCAACACGTTATCGGGAGCAGTGTCTCCCATAATGCAAAGCAGTGATGGTAGTTTTTGCCTACCAGTGTGTGTGATTTACGTGTGTATTTATCGGGAGCAGTGTCTTCCATATTTCGCTCGGAAGAGTGGAACAACTTATCGGGGACAGTGTTTCCCAGAGTTTTATACTTGATATTTTTGTTGTTGTTATATGTGTGCGCTTCGGATTCTTTTCTTTCTTTTTGCTCACGTGAGTTTGTTAGATTTCAGTTGTTGTTGTTTTTTCCAATATAGCGACCGAATTATTACGCCGCACGTTGTCATTATATCTAACAACAAGCGGTGTGTCCGGATTATCCATGCTGGTCACTAAAAATCCCTCCAACTGTCTTTGCATGCGTTCCCTCTTCACTGCATGGTACTGTATCGCTTTAATGGGGTGTAGCTCAAGGCTGGACATGTTATAAACTTTTCTAAGGAATTAGGGTTCAACCGTTGTTTTCAGTTACAAAACGTTTTTGTATCCAAGCTGCTGTTATTTATAGTTTGACAGTGCTTTTCCCAGAATGAGCGTAATTTAAAAAGAGAAGGAAAAGACAACCTAAATTGCATTTTGAAGGTTTTGAACCAGAACATAACTAAATATAACATACGTATGTTAAAAGAACAGATTAAATGGGGCAATAAAATGAGAGTAAAATCCACTTTAAACACTCGAGACCAAAGCAAACGTCAATTTTTTTTATTATTTTATCACATGTTTGAATAAATGTATTCTTCTGCTGTCACTCCTTTTGTGCTTTACGCCATTCTCTCCGGCTTCTATTGTCCTATGTCTATTGTACAAGAATGAGAAGTTACTTAATACCCCGAGGGGATTCTGAGGTTACGCATTAGATATCCTGCTGACCGGGTAACTGTTGTTGTTTCAAAACCTGTTCTTCAGATCATATTTCTGTGATCGCCATCTTCAGTAGAAAAGTGTAATAAAACCTTTTGGCTCAGCATCCAGTAACTCTGTCTTTTTTTGTTGTTTCTCACGGTGAAGAACAGTTCACCACAGAGGATGCAGGTTTTGTGGTTCACATGGCTTGTGTGTTTAATTCATTCATTCCCGTAAGTCTCACATTGTTTTACTTAGACAATATTGAGGGCAAAATAATGATTTTTAAACCGTTCAGAACTATTCTGATTCAAACTGAATCTCGTGCAGAGATGTCAAGTGCATCTCTTACGTCAATCAACATGCATTTGTACTTCTGGCGCCATGCTTTTCACATTAAAAGCACTTTGCAGCCAGTGTTTACAAAAACCTACCAGTGAAATTGTGGTTTTGCTTTAGTCCACGTGGCTTCACTAGAACTATAATTAACCCGTGTGGCCCATTTAAAGCCAATCAAATATAAATGGAACAGTGCGTATTTTTCAATGACCACGTTGGGCCATCGCTTCTATTTTGAAGCCCGAAACTGTAAACCGGAAGTCCGCCAGCGGGCCGCTCTGTCCGTCCTATGACGTCACGCACGTTGACGCTCACGCATCCCGAGACCGGCGCACCGAGCAGCGTACCGGAATAAACGACGGGGAGAGAGAAATAACGGATAACCGCTGAATTAAACCGATTCCCCGGTAAACAGCGTGGCCCCCCCGCCGGGCTTCGGCCGCCGCGGGGCGGGGCACAGCGCGAGGAGTGACCGCTGTCCCCCTCAAAGCCCCTCTTCACAGGTCGGTGTGCGGGGTCTCTTTTTCTTCCTTCTTTCTGGCATCTTGTTCCCCTCAATGTGGAACATGCGACATTTGACATTTTGCACCACAATAAACATGCATTAAATGAAGTGAATGTCTACCCGGAGGTGGGTGGTACGGAGGGGGGGGTTCTGTTTACCGACTGACAGGCAGGTGAACCTTAACGTGACTGAGGCTTATCAGCTTGACCAGCAGCTTGATCAATTAAAACCTCCTCAGCTATTCTCAACACACAGAGCAGCTACAAAGTGCTCTGCACGCTCCCGCTCCGTAAACACACACATGTCTGATTAGATGTGTTGTCACATTTTATTGATTCAGTTAATTAAATTGTCTCACAGTGTTAAATGGGGCAACGTGGATATTATCTTGGGGAAATCCTGCAAAGCAGCCAAAGTTAAAAAAAAGAAAAGTTGTGCACAAGATTAAAAAAAAGTGTGCAATCGTCACACCTCCCAGATGAATTGACGGTAATTAAGTTTGTGCTGTTGGTTTTGTACGTCCCGAGTTGATCTCTTAACGACATACTGTATTTCTTCTCCTTGATGTAGATCAATCCATGGCCATCCATCTCTCCATCCATGGCCTCCTGCCGGTGACCTCCGGGTGACCTCCGGGTGACCTCCGGGTGACCTCGGTCACTCCTGACTGCAGCTTTAACGTCCTGATCCAGCACACGTGTGCAGGGTGAGACCAGTGACACTCACACGCGTTCTGAGATGAGAGGGAGAATATAAGTGCAATAAACATTCTTTCACACTTTTCCATCTCAGGATTCTACCACTGTGCATTTTTCTTTTTCTACTTTAGTTTATATTAGACACTGGTGCTAGTATCCCTTCTTACACACTTTACATTATTTAATCAGTTCTTAAATATATTTTTTGTTTTAGTTTAATTTTACTTTATGTATGTATTGCTGTTCTGTTCTCATTTGCACTACTGTCCATAATATTTGTTGTTATTCTATTGTTCAATTTTTAATCAAACTCACAATAACTGAATAAAGTTATATTTCAACTTTATATGAACTAAATCTCGCCGACGAATACGAACATAGTGTCCTTTCCTCTTTAATGACTGAACATTGGGAGAACAGGAGCAACATTATGTGATTAATTTGAGATTACTCAATTGAGGGAAAATCAATCATACTTTATTTTGATAATTCATTTTCAGCCTAAAATTCCAAACATCTTTTCCAGCTTCTATAAATGAGCAGTTTGCTGTTCTTCATTAAATCGCTTACACTTCACAGGTCTGAATGGTCCGTTTCCGCTCTGCTGGTGTAAACAGGGAAGCTGCAGTCTGTGATTCATTACGGAAGCACAATAAATAATCTTCTTCTTCACGTCTGACGGATTCTCGCTGCGTTTTCCGTGCCGCTGAATCAAAGCTAAATTTAGCCGTCCTATTTTTAAGGCTATCGCCCCCGATAAAAACTCACGCACGCTCGGCGAGATGAAACGCTCACATAAATGTGTGTGTGAACTGCACATTGTGCCTGTCATTTAGCCCGCGTGCTCATTTAATTCTACACAACTCAATGACTTGTGTTCTTCACTGACGTTTTTACATTTTCAGAAGAAGCCACAGGATAATATGTTATTAAAATGATATTTGATCTAATCCTATTAATATAAATGTGAGCTTTGGCTGCAATATTCTGTGTAATCAGGACCATTCAGTAAAGTATTTGCACTGGTGAGGGGAATAAAGTAGTTATTATCCTTCAAAAATGTAGAAAAGACCAATATTTTGAATTACTGTCATTGTCTTTCAGTCTATTGTTCACTTGTTTATTGTAAGTATTCGTAAAAAGGCTTTTCTGAGATCTGTATGAGCGAATGAAACCATTTCTTTAAAAAATCGTCCTGAAATCAGTTCATAGGAGGTCTTTTAAATCTGCCCCGTCACATTTTCATCACTTCATAATGTGATGCCGGCTCTCGACGTCTGCGTCCATCCAGATGCATGCTGGGTAGAACCTCCCTCTCGTTCCTCTTTGGCCTGTCCATTCATCCATTCATCCATTCAGCCACCCATCTGTCCACCTATTTGCCTCTACATTTCCTCTCCTCCGAGAGCTCCTCCCCCCCCCCGTCGAAGCCGCTGAATTATTCATCAGCGGATGGCGGAGCTCGGCCAGCTGAGCCGGAGCGGCGATGGAGAGGCAGAGCGAGGAGGTGTGGGAGGAGAAAGGGAAGCGTGGAGGAGCCGTGACTCAGCAGGGAGACAGAGGGGGGGAGACGGAGGCAGTTTATAGATAGCTTAAGGTGCTACGCCTGGAGAGAGAGAGAGGCGTCAAATGCCTCCCGCTGTGCTTGTGAACGCGGGTGCGTGTGTGTGTGTGTGTGTGCGCCTATCGATTGAGCGGAGAAGGTCATGGAGCCGAGAGGAGATTAGCAAACTGGACTCCAGCTAACGCCTCCTCTGAATAGCAGCTAGACAGAGAAAGGAGAGAGAGAGAGAGAGAGAGAAGGCGCAGGAGGACGAGAGGAGCGGCACGCAGCATGGGGGAGAGCTACATGTACCAGCGACTCCCCTACGCCAGAGGACGGGAGGCGGGGGAGGATGAGGACGAAGAGGAGAGGGACGGGAGCATCGCCGAGAGTGTCGGGGCAGAAATGGTACAACGGGAGGTCGGGGGAGGAGGGATTCTTCTCCTTTCAGTGGTAACACAGTGTGTGTTTGTGTGCAGATGCAGTGTGTGGAGAGTGGCCACATGGGGTGTGTGTGTGTGTGTGTGTGTGTGTGTGTGTGTTGTAGGTGGTTGTGTGGCTGCATCTACACACTATTCTCCGTTTGTCTTCACGTCGATTCGATCCAGCGGCTCCGTAGCTTCTCAACCTCGTTCTAGACATTGAATGCTGCCGTCTGACTAAAATGATCCTGTTTGTTTTAAATAACCTAATTTGGTAATCTTCTTCTTAAGGCGGTCTGATTCTTTAATCCCGGATGAAGTAATCTCGAGTAACAGCGCGCTCTCTCATTTTGAACTAAAGGCTCAACGAGCAGAGAGTTGAAGCCGCGTTCCGTTCTAACGTGATTGGTTGAGGGCCGCTGATCATGTGACCGCAGCTCCATCCCGTAGAGATGGCAAGGATCCTCCCAGCATGCACCGGGGCAGGAGCCATCGTTTGTCCACCGGAGAGCAATGACAAGTTTTTTGCTAAAATGTCCGTACATATCTGCACATATTCAAGAGATCACTTGAGGGGTGACTTTATTTTAAGTTCTTCCTCCAATAACATCGCTGTGATTCTAATTCATTCAGTTATTCAATTACAAAATGATTTGCAGTTTGAAGAACAATTTGTCCTCACCTGTATAGTGACCTAAGGTACACGTGTGTGTGTGTGCACACAGATGCAGTGTGAGGAGGGCACCGAGTGGCTGCTGGAGCTGCTGACGGACGTGCAGCTGCAGCAGTACTTCCTGCGGGTCCGAGACGAGCTCAACGTCACGCGACTCTCCCACTTCGACTACGTGAAGAACGAAGACCTGGAGAAGATCGGCATGGGACGCCCAGGTTCGTCTCCTTGTTTGAAAAGACGACCGGCAAGTCTGTCCGCGCTGAGACCCCGGTGGTCGTTCTGTGGTTGTGCCGCAGGTCAGAGGAGGCTCTGGGAGGCGGTCAAGAGGAGAAGAGCCCTTTATAAGCGCAAGTCGTGGATGAGCAAGGTAACGTCTCTGTGACCACGGATGCGAACCCGATTTCCAAGCCTGACAGAAGCTCGAAAATGACATCACCAGCTTCTCTGCGTCCGGGTGCTCTCGCAGGTGTTCCCGGTGAAACGGCCCGACGCCGACCCCCAGCAGGGGGCGTCGCCCGACGCCGCGGCGGCGGCCGGCGGCGAGCCGGCGGCCTCGCTCACCTGCCTGATCCGAGAGTCGGAGCTGCAGCTGCTGGAGCGGCTGGGAGACGGCACGTTCGGGGTGGTGCGCAGAGGAGAGTGGACCGGACCCAACGGGCGAGTGGTGAGAACGCAGTGCAGGGGAGCGGGCGGGCGGGCGGGCGAGAAGGCACGCCGAGGGTCACCGTCTCTCCCCCCCGTGGCGATACAGCTGTCGGTGGCGGTGAAGTGCCTGAAGGCCGGCGTGTTGGACTCGGACGGCCTGGACGATTTCATCAGAGAGGTGAACGCCATGCACTCGCTGAGCCACCAGAACCTCATCCGGCTGTACGGCATCGTCCTCACGCAGCCCATGAAGATGGTAAAACACACACACACACACACGCACATGCACACGCACACTCGTTGTTCATGCACACCCCGAGTGACGCCCGCGTGCCGCGTGTAGGTGACCGAGCTGGCGCCGCTGGGTTCCCTGTTGGATCGTCTGAGGAAGCGCCAGGGCCACATCCTCATCTCCTCTCTGTGTAACTACGCTGTGCAGGTCAGTTCCACACCCGACGGGGGTTTCATCTACGATTGTGGGTCGATTACGTGCGACAATGTCGGATGTCGGCAGTTTACATACTGTAAATGCAGTGAAAGAAAACAAACAAAAGTCGTGTTGTTGTTAAAGTTCTGTTCTTAAACCTAAAGAAAAAAAAAACTCATGAAGAGAAAGTCCAATAATGTAACAAGTGCAGTAAGAGTCAATATTCTGCTGTTGTGTGTGATGCTAACGCTAACGTTTATAATCGCTTAATTCATACTATCCAACGACATCATGCGCTCACACAAATGCAGTGGAGTAAACTTCACGCACGCACGAGCACCTTAAGTTACCTACTAACGTGGGGCACTCTGAGTAGATGCCTTCAGTCGCGTCCCGCCGCTGTGTGTCTGTGAGGGCGTGTAGGTGGCGTGCGGCATGGCCTACCTGGAGCAGAGACGTTTCCTCCACAGGGACCTGGCCGCCCGCAACGTCCTGCTCTCCACCAATGAGACCGTGAAGATCGGCGACTTTGGCCTGATGAGAGCGCTGCCGACACACACCGACCAGTACGTCATGGAGGAGGGCCACAAGATCCCGTTCCCGTGGTGAGGAGAACGTCCCGGGTCCCCCCCCCCCCCCTCCCTCCCCCAAACCTGCCGGCCCCCCCCGGTGTCGCTCTTTCCCTCCTCTCAGGACCTCCGTCTCCGTCCTTGTCCTCCCGCAGGTGCGCGCCGGAGTCCCTGAAGTCTCGTACCTTCTCCCATTCGTCCGATACCTGGATGTTCGGGGTCACCCTGTGGGAGATGTTCACCCACGGACAGGAGCCGTGGCCGGGCCTCAACGGAAGCCAGGTGCCTGCCAGAGTTCACAGGGGGGAGGAAATATCTCACGCACAATAATCGCAGCCCCCCCCCCTCGAATCAAAATGTCAAACGTTACCGTGTCCCCGCGCAGATTCTCCACAAGGTGGAGGTGGACGCGGAGCGGCTGTGCAAACCAGACGACTGCCCGCTGGACGTCTACAACGTCATGCTGCAGTGCTGGAGCCCCAAACCCGAGGACAGGCCCACCTTCGTCGCCCTCAGAGACTTCCTGCTCGAGGTACGAGTATGGCGGCAAATATCTTCAAATATATCTGCAAATATCTCGCGCGAGACAGAGATTTGCTCGCTCGCAATTTTGATTTGCCGCCACACACGAGGCCATAAACGCTCCCTCTCAACACACTCTTGTTACGTCAAAAGTCCTGCAGTCAAAAGTTAGAGCGGACGAGTTAAACTCCCTCGGTAGCACCGTCCTTTGGCAACAAAAGTGGCACGTCGGTCAAACAAAGGACGACCCGGGCAGAGCGAGCGGAACGCCATAAATCCCCATTTACGCCAGACGACAGCAGGTGTTTGGTCACTTCTGATCCCGCCGACGGCGGCACTAAATCATCGGTTTGTGTTCTGCAGACCATGCCGACGGACATGAAGGCGCTGCAGGACTTTGAGGAGGAAGACAAGCTCCAGATTAAAATGAACGACGTCATCACCATCATCGAGGGAAGGTCGGTCGAATGCATGAGAAGAACGTCCGTTCTAATAAAAGCACCGTGTGTGTCGGGGCCTCCTTTCAAAACAACGCCTCTTTTGTTGACATCGGATTTCTTGAATTGTGGGAAATTACTTAATTATATTACGAGTAATTACTCGCCCTCTTACCGGCTCACTACAGAAATGTTGTTGTGTGTAATTAATTTAGCCTGATTTGCTGCCGTCTGCACGTTCCATCATGTGACAGAGATTTGTTTCGCTCCACGCGTGGTCACGTGGCAACGCATCTTCCTCGTCTTACAGGGCGGAGCACTACTGGTGGCGAGGTCAGAACAGGGGGACGCTGCGCGTGGCCCAGTTTCCTCGCCACGTGGTGACGGCGGTCGCCGGCCTGTCCGCCCGCGACATCAGCCGACCGCTCAAACACTCCTTCATCCACACCGGGCACGGGGACACGGACCCCCACAGGAGCTGGGGACATGCGGATCGCATAGACAGGTCAATAACATTTCTCACACTCGACTGTACCCAATATGCGCCATAAAACAGCGCTTGGTTCCATCGGCTCCATGGAGCTTGAGGCGTGTTCCGTTGCTGCCCACTGGGGCGCAGCAGTGCGTCGCTTCACCGACGCGCCGACCACCTTGTTGCTGCTTTAACGGACGGAAAAGGCGGCTGAATTCGGTGATGACAGCAAGCGAGCCGTCCCCTCAGTCAATGGCCGATGCACAGAAATGTCTTTGAATGTGCTCGTGCTCCTTTCAGTCTGTACCTGGGGAACCCCATGGACCCCCCCGACGTCCTCGGGATGGAACCGGGCATCGCCAGGCCGACCAAACTCCCCAACCGATCCAAGAGTAAATTCATCCATTATTTCCATCTAAATCTTTTCTATTGCCCTAAACTCACAGTTCAGGGATTTTTAATTGGAATTATTCAGATAAACTGAAGGTTTAAGTTTAACTTTGACTTTTTTTGAAAAAGCGGCTCTACAAACAACAACAATTATACACAACATGATGCTTTGCTGTAGACAAAACTATAACGCAATAACTCACGACAGCATTTTAAATGATTCAAAACTGTCTCCACCAGAGCAACCTCCTCCTCGCCCGCCTCAACCCGCCGTCCTGCTGAAGAGTGAGTGCTGCTCTCCCTCCCCCGGGCCGCCTAACATCTGCCCTTCAGATACGTGTTCCCTTACCTGTGTGTGTGTGTGTGTGTGTGTGTGTGCACGCGCGCAGAGCCGTTCTACGACTCGGTGATGGACGACTACGACGACGACGACGGCGGCGGCGGCGCCTCCTCCTCCTCGGGGCTGAAGCGGCTGGGGGCGTCGCTGGGCCTGAAGCTCCGCCCGTGGGACGGGTCCGCCGTGCGCCCGGCCAAAAGCGAGGTGTCGCTCATCGACTTCACCGACGACAGCTTCAGCTCGACGACGCCGTCGCCGCTCGCGGAGACGCGGCAGCCGGATGAGGACACACTGAAGGTGCGGTTGATTTATTATTCACAAAAGCAGCAGCATATGATGATGTGAACATTATATTATGTATCCACGGTCACATGAAAAACCTTCCTGACGGTCTCTCTCCGTTTGTGTGAAGCCATTTATCTCGATATGAAGGATGATGCTGTTCAGACACATTCAGGCCTTTTCGCAGGTCACAGGTTTTACGCTTCACGCGCATGATTTGCCCCCCTGGTGATTTCAGTTACCTTTTAACCTTTGTGCTCCTCCAGCGCACGCAGAGAGCAACCGTGTTCCAGCATGACATCATCTTCAAGTCAAAGGACACCCCACACCCTCTTTGTTCCCGGTTAAGAAATCCTATTTTCTCCTTGGATGAGATGAACATTTCAAGGCTCCCTTCAATCATTGAAGTGAAGCTGGAACTCGGAGTGGACTTTTTAACATGTTGTCTAACAGCATTGAAATGTCATCTTCTAAGCTTCAGTCTGAACTCATGTCAGTGGGATTGAAATCAAGGTTTTCTTAAGATGACGCAGAAAAGCTCCTCTTTTTAATCCAGTCGTCGTCGTGTTCTTTTACTCCACTGTCCATCGCTCTCGTCCTCAGGACACGCCGTCCATCTTGGACTGGCCTCTCCCTCAGCCGACTTACGACGTGGTCGCTGCGGAGCTCGAGGACCAATCGGAGGACCAGGAGGTGCGGACTATCAACAAGGGTTCTGCTGAGGAAGCCGCGGCGGCGCCCAGGAGCGAGTCGCAGTCGGCCGACCTCTTCCAAGAACTACAGAGAGAGGTGATGAGGGCGGAGCCTCAGAGGCGGCTTTGACGACGCGCACAAACAGGCCGCTGCTAACATTTCTATCCGGATGCAGGTGATGGTGAAGCTGCAGGTTCCCATGGCGACGGGCCGCTCGCTCCCCTCCTCCCCCCTGCCCATGCCCCTGGCTCCGCTGGGCCCCCACCGACAGATCTACCTGCCGCCTCCCTCCCCCACCGCCGCGTCCTCCTTCGCCTGCTGCTTCGAGGACCGGCCGGTGCTGCCCCCCCGCAGCCCCGTCCCCCCGCTGCGGCCCTCCAAGCGCAACCTCCCCACCCGCGGCGCCCACTCGCTCTGCCTGGGCAACGGGGAGGACACGCCTCCCCAGCTCCCACCCAGAGACCACGCCTTCTCTCAGCCGGGCTCCCGCTCCTCGTCGCCCCTCCCACTGGTGGTGCCGCCGCTGTCCTCCTATCCCCTGAGCCTGCCCCCCCCTCCCCTCACCGTCTCCCCACGCCGGGCGTCCGGACACCTGGGCCCCCTCCTGTCCACCAACCCGTCCTCCTCCCCGGCTCCAGCCACGTCCAGGCTCGCCGCTCGCGGCTCCTCCTACTCCTCGGGCGCCTTACTGGATCCTCTCGCCTTCAGCGAGGGGCGTGGCCTCTCCTCACTGGTCGACAGCTCCGCCCCCGCCCCGCTGCCAGAGCGCCCGGCTTTTCTCGAAAGGTGCGTTGCCCAAAACACTGTCTGACCTGTTGCAGGTTACGTTCTACATATTTGTCATAAAATCTTTGATTAGGTATTTAAATGGAAAAGAAACATCGTCTGTTGAATCATTGACTCACGTCTACGTCACGTATGTCGTGTCAGATATGGAGCGGCCAATATGGCGGCAGTCAAACCCATGATTCAGCAGCCCGGCGGAGCCAAACCAAACTCCTCCTACAACAACAACAACAACGGGCGGACGTCAGCTCCCAGCATGCAACAGGAGCAAAGTGTCACCCAGGTAAAGACGGGAAGAGTGAATCCACAAAATGTTTTCATTCGGCACCTCTGACAAAATGTACAACGCAACAGATGTGACAGGAGCGGGACAGCGTTAGTGGTTCAAGCTGCCGCGTTGTGTGCACGTTGTGATTGACAGGTCCAAGGGGCGGTGCACGGTGTCACGCTGGAGGAGTGTCAGGCGGCCCTGCAGAGTCACAACTGGAGCATCTCTCAGGCCATAAATCATTTGAAGGTAAAACATCTGTTGTGTCCTCGAGCACATATAAACTATATGTAAAGGGGCAAAAGTTTCTTTGGTGAATTTAATGTGTTTGCACTCTCTTACTGGGAAGCTCACCACAGTGAATCAAGTCTGATATAATAATGTTTTACGATTATTATATCAGCGCATTTCACGAGCAAAATAATGGGTGCAAGCTTTCGACACGAAGCGTCCCCGAGCCGAGCCGCACTTCAAAGACACTCGGAACAATAAAAAATGAAATACAGCAGTCGAGTTCACGCTGACACACAAACGCCGACCCTCCTCCCCGTCTGCGTCGTAGGTGGAGCAGCTGTTCCGTCTGGGCCTGCGGTCGAGAGCCGAGTGCGAGGAGCTGCTGCAGCGCTGCCAGCTGAACCTGGAACAGGCCAGCGCGCTCATGCTGGACACGTACGGGCCCCACCGCAACAAGTACGCCGACCTCGCTGTCCGTACAATGAAAAACGTGTGTGAATGGGGGGGGCGGCGCGCTACACGTCCGTGTGTTTTTGTTTCTGATTACAAAACCCTCTCGAGTTCCCGTGGCAACAGAGCCACTGGTGGAATAACGGTGTTGGCTGCTCCTCTGCACTCGTCTGTCAGCGAGGATTCAGGCTTATAAACCATCATCTACCACTATTTATTAATTGTGTTCTGCTTTGAAAAAAACAACTGTTTTTTATTATTTCCAATAAGTTAAACGAGTCATACTTTAATATCTACGCATCATAATGGGGAAATGACCAAAGCAGTGACCTGAAAAAGTCTCTTACAGTATTTCTAAAGAGAAGTCAGAACTTTTCCTCAAGCATCTCTGCAGAAGTGTCTTGAGTTTCGTGATAGATTTTCTCACCCTGCACGCCTGACGTGACCTGACTCCCTCGTTCCGTCTGACAGGAAGTGACAGGCGAGCTCAGCAGCACAGAACCACCTCGGATCCCCCGGTGAGATCGGGACCAACGCGCGGAGGAGCGTGCACGTGCCTCGCCGTATTGAACTGTGAATTAACTGCTCTTGCTGGCGTCCCAACGCTCGTCAGAAGCCCCCGGAGCAGCTTGTGGAATGTCTCATGGTTACTTGAAGAGTTGTTTTTGGATTTTTTTTTTTGTAATTCCGTTAATAATGAGAGGTGTTGCTTCGCGTGAGTGTGCTTTGAATTTGTTGCATGTGCAGGTGTGCACGTATTCGCTTACACTAATGCTGGAACTCAGTGGATGCCTGTGACTTCCTGCTGTCGATGAAGGGACAGTAAACACCACAGCAGTATGTTTTCATGAAAATGTACTGATAAGACGCTGTATTGTGTTCAGTACTAAACTGATTGTGCTACTTCTGAGGACACAATAACTGCTGGTCGGAATAAGACGTATGTAGTTAGCAAAGTGAACAGGACGCAGGCGATCATTTTAGATCTCATTGTAAGCAATGAGGCTCCAAAAAACCGAAATGTGAAGTCGTCTATAATCTCCGTACGAGTTCAACCTCTACAGGTGAGTTAGTTAAATCACCTAAATTGATGTTTTTCCTATAAAACTGCATGATCATCGGAAGCACCCGAAGCTCCCAGGCGTGATTCACCTGTTAGTCGGCGGCTGCGTTGAGTGTTTGCATGCGTGCGCAGCGCCGCAGGTAGCGAACTGCATACAAAGCATGTGTGTGTCCGCGCAGACCGGGAGCAGAAATGTCACCTCTTAAGAATTCATGAGCCTAACCCTCTCTTTTGTTGCATTGGCTGTACGCTTGTCACTGGGCTGTTTGCATTATACAATATAGAGCAGTGAAAATATGAGCAGGTGTTTTATAATAAAGTGAAGTGGAGTCGCTCGCTTGTCTTCTCTCTTTCATGGATGTTAAAGTCTAGCAGAGTGGATTGAGTCTGATTTTATGTCGTCCCGTTGGTTCCGCACAGACCCCCCACCTCCCTCCCAACCTCCACCTGAGCGCCTCCGCCCGTTTCCCCACCCGCACCTCCTTCTCTGGTCACGTTGCCTTGAGTCAAAGTGTTCAGTTCAACTTCGAACCTCAAGTTGTTTCCCCCAAGTTCCCGTTGCCGTTAGACGTCCACCTGCTCAATCATTCATGGCAATAAATGTTCAGTTTGGAGGAGGGTTTTATTTAAATATAGTTGCATAGGTTCTATTTAAATATAGTTGCATAGGTTCTATTTAAATATAGTTGCATAGGTTTTATTTAAATATAGTTGCATAGGTTTTATTTAAATATAGTTGCATAGGTTTTATTTAAATATAGTTTAATAGGTTTAATACGGGACAGCAGGTGAAACTAGAAGGAAGACTAATAGAATAAATCCAATTAAAAAGGATGCTTGAATAACTTTCCTATTGAATCTGTTTCTTATTAATTGAACCTTCATAAAAATATTTTTTATTTCAATTAATTTTTTCACATTTCATTTACTCCGTCACTGCAGACTCACACTTGAAAAGGTACAAGCGGATTTAAAGTGTTTCAGTTTGGCTTTTTGCTTTGATTCCTCTGCACACACACTCTGTTTGCAACGTCGTCGCTTCTTATTTTTCCACCGGAGGTAAATTCATCTCTAAACGTGTGAGCAGAGTGACAAGTTCCACCGGGACGGGACTCCTTCCTCTAATGGAAGACTCGTCTCTGCTTCCTCTGGGATCAAACCTGTGACCTCTCCATTGTGGCTCCCTCCCCCCTCCTCCCCCGTTCTGTCTCCCTCACTTACTGACACATTCCCTCGCTTCCTTAAATTGATCGCCGCTGCAGTGCATTGTGGTCCCGACAGCTCGGTCTGGTTCCCTGGACTAAACCACACATTCGCTCTGCACTTCTTTGCTACAGCAGGAAGCACTCTGTCACATTCACACACACGCGCGCACACACACACACACGCACACACACACACGTGTATACACGCACACAGATTGAGAGTCGAGGGGCCACGACGTCCCTGCTTCAAAATAATCCCTTTATATAAAGAACCACTTTATATGAAGTTCCTGCTCGTTATAACAAATTGATTCCCTTTTTCGTGGCCGAGCTCAGTCAATCAAAAAGCGTCGTTACGCGCCTGCACGGAGCTCTCAGTCCACTCGCTGAGAACGGAATTCAGCGTTAATGAGATCCGACGCGATAACGGCAGCGCGTCTGGTCGGACCGAATAGACGTCTGAGTTGACGCTTTAATCTCTGGCGGACCGCCGGGCTTCATAAACGGTCATCTTCTGCCGCGCTGGTGGGTCTGACCTTCCGCGTGACCTCTGATAACGATGAAGAACTTCACCGTGAATCGCGACTTCGGGAAAATTACCCTCCGAGCTTTTCGTGCGTCATTTAGAATGAATGCGTGTCAAGGAGAGAAACACCGTCCCCCGGGGAGCAGCAGCGAATGTCGGCTTTTTGCCCCCTGACGCACCTCTTCGTGTTCATCAATCTACATCATTTCCAACCTCTGTGATCGATTACTGACAGCTACCCACTAACACATATTTCTACGGCCGGAGAGCGATCGTACGTTTCACGAGCGCGGCAAACGTTCCTTCACAACCGGGTCTCCGCTGGAGCGGTATCCGCAACCAATCGGGGTCCTGCGTTCGTTACACTAAAATCACAGGCCTCAGATCGGGGCCCGGAAACAACAACAACGCCGCCCTCCCGACGAGCAAAGGGCCGAGCAGAACAAAGATAAGCAGCCGCGCCTGACCGGCGCTCTAATGAGTGCACTTGAAAGGGTGGAAATCTTCGAGAAAACGAGCTCGTCGGACACAAAACAACACACACACACACACACACACGCGCCCTCGTAAACGTCTGTTAGAAACTGAGTAATTGCATATTTGCAGGAGGAGACAGACCACAGTAAAGCAATCCCCGAGCGAGGGCCCCTCTGAAAGGTGCCTTTGTTCCTCAGCGGCCCGAGAGGAAGATGGTCGAGTCCGGCGGGTCGTCTGAAAACCGGTTTGGGGAAAGTCTTTCAAGATTCGGTAATTTGATGAAAACGGCATTAGAAAACACAAAGTGTCACTCTGACATTTAAAAAAAAAAAGGAGCTTTTTCACCACTGCAAGTCAAAGCTCACGCCTTGTCGCGCTGTGTGAGGAGGGTAAATATAGCAGTTCTTCTGGCACCTTTCTGAAGGCTCCACGGGGGGCCTGACGCCTTCAAAGACCCCCCTCGGTCAAAGCTCACAGCGTCTCGCACTAATGTCGTGATTCCCATCGCCGCGTGGGGGGGGGCACAGAAGGGGCATTTGTTCGAGCGTGGGGGGGGGGGGGGGCGCGGCGCTCGCACACTCGGCGAAACCTTCTTGAGGGTGCAGGCTGTTTTTCATCTAAACGGACCCCGTAAAAAGTTACGAGGAAGAGGAGCTAAAATGTCTCGACTTAATCTCATCACGCGACGTTTACAGTCAATCTGGATTCGTCTCTTTGTCTCCGGTGCCAACAGCTCCGGCTGGATGGGACGCAGAGCGCCGAATGCCATTTCACCTCGTGTGATCGGACAGAATGGGAGGAAGTAATTGGACGCTTATATAAATAATTACAGAGAAAGAGAGAGAGAGACGAGAGGCCGAGGGAGAAAATGACTCGTCCTTGAAATGGGCTGAGATCGAATGTGTCACACAGAGGAAAATGTTGTGCAGGAACAGGTGCATGAAGACAAAATGAAAAAATGCTGCAGAGAGACACTCTGGCATGATTACTGTTGATGATGATTAACTGGCTTCCATCTTTGGGCCTTCAGAGAACAGCAACCTCTGATCTCATGTCACGCACATGTTCCCATGATCTATATCTGCTATCTTGGAGATTTCCTTCCCCCAGAAAACTTTTCAGGTCTAATTAAAAATATAATTCCCGTCGCGCAGCTCTCTCAGGTGCAAATGAAGAAGTTTGACAAAGCGTCGTCGTCAACAATATGAGCATAAGGAAGTCGCTGCGAATCAGGAACGTCGTCTCCCTCTGATGTTCCTCACCTGTCCTGCAGCTGCCACTGGGACGTACCACCTGACCTGAGTTACCTGCCTGCCCAGCTGCTCCCCACCGCCAAAAACACACTTTCTCACAATGAAACAAACACTCATCAATGGTTACAAACAAAGGAAACAAGCTCATAGTCGCCACGAAGAAGCTGGAACCACAAAATGTTGACCTATTAAAAATAATGTTCAAATGGGTGCAGTTTAATTCAGTTTTGACTTTAGACTTTAGTTCTGCAGACTTAGTCGTACTTTGCCTGCCTGTTTCGATGATGCCTTCTTTTTGACATTCGCCTGCCTCTCCTCTCTAACTCTGTTTCCCTTATCTGTCTTTATATTGCTTGTCTTTTAATCAAATAAAAACTGCTTTCCCACACTGCAAAACCCGCTGAGTTTGCATATGAGACGTTATCTTTCATACATCTCCAGAAGACAAAGCCAGGGTCAAAATATCCATTTTCTTACCATTTTTTAATTTAGTTTTTTGCAGAAAGAACTTCCGATGTCTCTTTACATCACTCAAGAAATTGGAAACTTTTGTCAACCTGTTTTTAGACACTTGAGTTTGTATAAATCAAGCTATGTATGACGAGTGTGACCTTTGACCCACAAAACGTTGTCTCCTGACAATCTCTCCTGCTGTGATCACCTGTAAGAGGCGTTATTGATCGCCTGATGCTGCTCATGCATCTCCTCTCTGCTTCCTCAGGGTCACTTTGACCCAATCGATGGCAATAATGAGCACCAATAGGATCAATGCACACGCGGCTCATAAGATGACGCTTTGGTGTAGACATAGAAACGCGTTTCCGGGGGATGCGGTCAATCTTCTCGCAGATTTATCAAATGGGAAAAGCATCGTGAGGCTTCTGTACAAATTACAGAAAAGGGTGGAGGATTGCACAGAATTTTTTCCACATTTATTATCAAGTGCAATGGACTAACCAGTCGGATAAAATCGGCGCTTTAATTGGTCATTATTTCCCACAAATTTGTAATTTAGGCCCAACATTTTTCCACATTACTGGGTTTATTTATACGTCGCATGCTTCAATTGATGATCTGCATCACGGCGCTGTGTTATTATGTAAATGTACGTATTTCATCTGGTACATTAAGAGACCTCAAACCTTGTTGACCGGCGGAGGCTACAAATGGGTCGTAAGTACGAGGTTGCTCCTCAATGGAGTCGGGAGGAGCACATCTGATGGCTGGACCTTTGACCTTGAACTGGACATGTCCTCGAGTCCCGCTTGTTGAACATCTGTCTACAGCAGTTTGGATAAGAAATGAGCAAACACTGAAGAAGATAAAAATCCACTTTGGGGAAGGAGAAGGGGCTGAAGAGTTGTTTGCCCAATCGACCAAGATGTGGCTGGTTGGAAGAGGAAGAGCCCGTCGGTTCTTTCCGTAAAAGGTTGAAGTGGATCGACGACGTGGAACAGCGGGTGATCTGCGTCTGACTGCGCTCTGCATGCGGTTTGTGGGTAACGAGGCTTTTGGAAACAACTAATTTGGTGCTTTTGTAATTAGCAATCACGTTATGAAATGCATTTTTTTTAAATTACTTTTGATCCCCACTGAACGTAATTGGAATAGTTTAATAGGAGTTTAAAATGGTAAAAGTAAAAAAGCTAATTTCGTTTTGGCAAATTGAACGAGTGAATCTGATGTCTCTTGTACATGTTGAATAAAATACGTATAAATTGTTAAATAGTAAAGTGAAATGACCATATCGGGTTTCTGTTTTTAGTTCGACATTGAACCTCCTCTCCTCTTCTGGCCTCCTGTAATCACAAGCCAGCACTCGCCAGAGGTCGAGGGGTCGCGGTGGCGGTTGGTGTGGGTAATGGGCCGGATAAATGGT